CAGCCAGGTGTGTGTGTGCTTGTTTGTTTATAAGTGGTGTGTGTGTGGGTGTGTATATCAAATGTGTGTGTGTATGTGTTTGTTCCAGAATCAACGATAAAAAATAAAACAACAACGATGATGAAAATAGATCCAATTGCAAATTGCAACATCAAAGACGACAACGAAATCATCAAAATCAAAATAAAGAAATCATCATAATCAACAAATAAAATTTAAAATTAAAAAAAAAATTTCGTTTCCTGTTGCAATTTTGTTCATTTTCACACGTTTTTTTTTGTATAAATAATAATCGTTTGCCATCGTCGTAGCCCACCACCACCACATCGTTTTTGTGTGAGGTATGTTGTTATGTATCCTATTACATGTTTTGGCAATTTTCGTTTTGTTTTTTTTTCATTTCAATGAATATCCGATCCATCGATCCAACAATAAAAGACATGTTGATGATGTGAAAAGAATTTCCTCTAAACAACAAGTGTGTAGTAGTAGTAGTAGTAGTAGTGTACCAAAAAGATCTCGCTGTGAGTTTTTTTTCTTCTTGTCGTTATTAAGCGATCATAATCAAATAGAGTATGATCGACTGGTTTAATTATAGAAACATTACATTCATCATTTGTTTGATGGTCGATTTTTTGGTCGCAAAATCGATCGGTTTTTGTTCAGTTTGGAAGATATTCGGAAGGAATTCATTCATCGTCGGTTTGTTATTGTTTACTGTCGTACGAATAATTTTTTTGTTGAAAAAAAGTCGACAAAAAAAACGGCACCTACACGATGAAAAAAAACACAACTTTTTCTACATCACCAACACAAGACAAGCCCGATTATTTTGTTTCATGTTCCGTTTTTTTTTGTTGTCGTTGTCGTGTATATTCGCTCTCGCTCTTTTTTTTCAAAATTTTACCTGGATTGCTCATACAAACAAACACACACACACACACGGATCTCTAATTGCTTAATCTGATGAATGTCTGAATAGAAAAAAAAGTACGAACAAATACGAGAAAACAGGTTGTCCGGTCGGGTATTTTTTGTGTGTTTATGTGGCAATCATCATCATCATCATCATCTTTGAAAAGAAAACATCAACTGTTTTTTTTTCTTTGATATTTTGCCCGGGACGGCCCGGATAATTTCAAGATATTTTGTTGTTATTGTCGATATCATCATCATCATCATCATCATCGTCAAAAGCGTGGTCTGAGTTTCATGTTTGATGGTGTTATTTCTTCATAATTTCAACATTTTGGTTGATCAATCAGTCAGTCAGTCAGTCAGTCAGTTAATCGGTCGGTCGACCAGGTTGGTCCATTTTGGATTGAGAGAAAAGTGTGTGTGTGTGTGTGTGTGTGTGTGTGTGTGTGTGTGTGTGTGGGGAAAAAAACCGAACCAATAATGATGATGAGAAACGAGAACGGGAAATATTTTCTTTTTTCATTTACTATGTATGGGATGTGTGTGTGTGTGTTTAGATGTCCGGATATTTATCTCGTTGAATGAATGAATGAATGAATGAATGAAAGCATGAAGGGAAAAGAAAAATTTTCTTAACATTTACTTATAATAACCATCATATAAACACATACAAATAATCGAAACGAAACGAAACGAAAAATGTAAAAAGTAAAGTAAAATTAAAATTTTTTTTCTTCTCGCCATCATTTCCCCAGCTTTCATCATCATCATCATAATGAGATCAATAACGAGAGAGAGTGTGAGTGAGTGAGTGAACATGAATGAAATGATGATTTTACTGTGGAAAAAAGAGAGAAAAAATTATCAAAAAAATACTAGTGATATCTAGCTTGTAATTAATTTAAAAAAATTTTTTTCAAAATTCAAAAAAAAACAATCGATTTTCATTTAAAATCAAATTGATTAAATGTCATGGATTGATGATCAATGCCAAATAACAACAACAACAACAAAGACAAAAAATCTTACGTCATCGATGGCTTTCCTAGAGAAAAAAAAAAAAATTCCCATATCTTGCTCTCTTTCAATCATCATCATCATTGACTTTATTTTTCATTTTGATTTCAATTTAGATTCAATTCAGTAATTGAAAACAAGAAAAAAACACACACACACACATTTCACATTTCACGAATAAATCATATATTTATACAATGGATGAAATTTGAAAAAATTTATTTTTGTTTTTTGTTTTGTTTTGTTTTTTATTTTTTTTTTTTACAATTTAGAACAGTTTTACATCAATTCGTATTTCGCATTTTTTTTTCTATTTTGTTTTTGTATATATATATCGATGTCGATAATGATGCCGTCGTCGTCGTTGATGATGATGATGATTATTAGCCATGGCGAAACATAATAATAATAATGATGATGAGAAAAAAAATGATGTGAAGGCCAGCAACGATGTGTGTTTTTTTTTAACAGGCATGATTTGCGCGCCAAATTTTTTTCAACATGAAATTTTTCAACACGCCCCTGATGATGATGATGATTATGATGATCTCAAGATTTTTTTTTCTGTTCCAAATTCATATTGAAAAGAGATTTAAATTTTTTTTTTTTTTTGTTTTGCTTTACAAGAATCTGTTGGCAATAAATTTTTGATATTGGCAATAATCATGAATTTCAATGTTTTGATCCATAATTTACAATGACATTGGAACAATTTCATTGTCATTCTTGTTCTATTTTGAATAATTTTTGTCATTGTTTTCTGCCTCTCTCTCTCTCACTCTCTCTATTTAACCGAAAACTTAATTTGATTGATTGCATCCAAGCTAATTTGTCTAAATGATGATGTGATTATTGATTAGCTGGTTGGCAATCACATCACTGATTGATTGATTTCCTTTTTTTGCACTTGATTAATGATTATTTGATTATAATTTTTTTCGATTGGTTGTAATGAAATTTCAAATTTTTCAAATTTTCATTGTTTTTTATTTGGACAAACACACACGCACACAGTAAAAAAAAAAATTTCCCGCTCATTATTTCAATATGTGAATATCTTTTGTTTTCCCTGGGAAATTTACCAGTTGTAGGTTATTTGTATATTTGGTGATGACGGAAACTTTTCCCAAACACATAAACACATGTTTTTAGAAAATGAAAAATACTCAATTTATCAAAAAAATGGATTAAATATGCCATACACATGATATGTTGATCCATGAAACCAAAACAAGAATCATCCATTGCTGTTTGATGATCATCATCATCTGATTCAATACAAAAAAGGTATATAGAAATTATGTTTGTTGTTTTACATTGAAATTCAAACATTTTTTTTTCATTTCAATTTATTGCATCATGTTGTGTTCAGATGTATCATATCCACATTTATAAACCGAATATTATATATAGACAACAATCTTTCGAATGGAATGTGGTAGAATCATCATCACCATCATCATCATCATTGTTGATTGATAATTGAAACGAAACAAAAAAAAAATATCATCCTGTACTATATACACACATTGTGTACATTACTGAGCAGAACAAGTCTGAAAATTATTATATAGAAATTGTATTTATGTTTTCATCTAACGGTAATGCATGATATACAAGCAGATGTATTATTTGCTCGAATTCTTTCAATGTGCAATAAATGAATGATCCAGAATTCTCATCACAAGAATTTTCAATGGAACAACAACCGAAAAAAACAAACAAACTTGAAATTTCAAGAATTTTTTTTTCAATATTCTTTAATATTGAAGAATTGTGGCAACATTTTAACATTCATCAATCAATCATCAACAAAATATAATTTTCATCCTATTTATTATCTCACTACTTTGATGCAGAACATGAACATGTGTGTGTGTGTGTATATGTTTTCTTTCTTTTTTTTTTCTTCAAAATTCGTTGACCTTGGACTTTTTATTTGTCTTGTCTTGTCTTCATTATTTTGTGTATACACAAAACCACTGTGATAATAATACAATAAACACATATACACATAACATTGAAAATCATCAGAACAACAAAAAAAAAATTTAGATTTTTGAACAAAAATTTTAAGTTTCATCTTATTGTGTCTATCAAACAAACAAAGCTCTTCGTTGTGGCTAATTTAACCCAATAACGTTTGTTTTTTTTCTGTTTGTTTGTTGGATGATGATGACCTATTGTTGACCAATAAATAGAAAGATAATCGTCATCATAATCATCAGCAATTTTTTTTTTCGTTTCGTTTCGTTTTGTCACCAACACATTATTATATCTCTAGAAAAAAAAATTACATTATTGACAACAAGTTGTGATTTTTTTCTTTCGTTCGTTCGTCTATTTTTGTACATTTTCATCATTTATTTATTTCTTTCTTTTTGGATTTAAACATTTCATCATCATCAGCTATTTTGTGTTATTGAATTGCAACAAAATCCAAAATAATAATAAAAAATTGCATTTTCATTTAAACACGAAACACAGCAACACAATTTGGATTTTTTTTTTGCAAATTGTTGAAACAACTTGTTGTTGTTGTTGTTGTTGCAGATATAACGTTTGAAGATAAAATTATAATAAAAAAAAATATATCGAATACTTACACATGTGTTTTGTTTTCTATATGCCGAAAATCGAAAATCAACATTGAAATTGATGATGAATTTTTTCCTGGTGGTTTTATAATCATAAACAAATCATCATCATCATCATCATCATCATCGTTATAAACAATACACTGTCATATGATGATTTTTTTTTTGTTTCATATCTTGGAATCTTTTCAATCAGCAGAAAAAAAGTGATAATTCTTTATACTTACCCGTCCACAAATTATGCATGTTGTGTATATTTGCATTCTGTAAATGAAGATTTATGAAGATTTGATCATCAACAACAACAACAATTTACATCCATAAATAATGAAAACAAATATTGAAAATTGAAAACGAAAAATCATCATCTATATAAATTCAACAAAAACTTACGTGTGCAACTTGTCAAAGTAAAAAAAAATCGATAAAATTATGTCCAATTTGAATAAAACGTCATCGTCATCATCATCATCATCATTTTTATCATCATCACCATCATCATCATTTCGACGAAATATTTCCATCAATAAAAGTAGATTATGGAAGAATTACGTTGACGATTCTTCATCATCAACAACAACAACAAAATCATTTAAATTATTAGTGGGGAAAAGAAAAAATGTAAATGAAAAAAAATTGAATCGATCACCATCATCATCATCATCATTATATTTATCATCATCAAATTGTTCACAATTTGAACAACGTCGTGTACATTGGAATCCATTTCTAGTGCAATTATTACGATCATCATCATCGCCATTAAATAATCTCAGGTGTGTGCGTGTGTGTGTGTGTCCAAAAACAAAAACAAAAACAAAATTTTCGTACATCATCATTTGATTATGTAGTTTAAATGTTAAAATTTTCTTTTTTGTCCAACTTTGATGACTAATAATAATAATAATAATAATCCTCTTTATTATACCTGATAACATGGTTATATTGATCAAGAGAAAAAAAATTTAGCGGTTAAGGTTTACCGTTTCGTTTTCTTCATTCATTCGTTCGCTTTTTGGTGTTGTTGTCATAATCTCTTGAAACTATAATATAATACATAGGGAAAAATGAAATGTACAAAAACGAGATAACGAGATTCTAAAGAATTGGAATTTAAATTGACTAATTATGAAATGTGTGAGAGAAAAAAAATTCTTACCACTTGAAACATGTGACGATTAACGAATCAATTTCATCAGAATCATCATCATTTGATGTAATTCTGCACACCTACCACGCACATTAAAATGTTGTTCGTTTACTGTTGTCGTTGTCGTTGTTGTTGTTCATCGGTTGACAATCGAATGGAAAAAAAAGATTCAATCTTGATCTTTCACTTTTTTGTTTTGTATGATGAGTTTTGTAAGGTTTTTTTTTCCTTATTCAAATCGATCAATTTTTTTCTGGTTAAAAAATATTGATCAATCATACGTCATTTCGATTTTTTTTTTGAAAAAAATCATTCATTTTTGTACCTTTTTTTTAACCTGCTAAATCCAGTATTGTTTAGGTTCGTTTTGAATGATTTTATTTTATCGATTTTAAATGTTGAATTTCAAGGGAGAAAAACCTGTGTGCATCCTCTGTTGTTATTTTTTAAGAATCCAAAAAATGATGATCATCATTTGTCTGGTTGATCAGGATTTCTTTCTTGTAGTATTTAAGACGATAGCTTTGATCAACAAGTGGACCATTCTTGTCTTTGGTCGTTGTCGTCGTCGTCGTCGAATGTTTCGGACCAAAAAAAAAAAAAAATTCCTTTCATCATAAGCACCAGCTGATTTGAAAAAATTGAAAATTTTTTTTGTTACATCTTATTGATTATTGATCTCGATTTTTTAAATTTATCAATCTGTTTTTTTTGTGTGCATTTTTTGTGTTTACAACTAAATAGCATTCTTATCAAGCAAATGGCTAAATTATTCTATTCACACGGCAAATTTTGTGCCTCCCATCCATGGGAAGTGATGGTTATATTTTTATCATTGGCTATCTGTATTGGAACGATGGGTCCTTTTGTGATGATTGAACAACAACAACATAACCATAATCACCATAATCAGCAGCAGCAGCAGCAGCAACAATCGATATTAGATAAATCAATGAGATATTATGGTCCACAACAACAACAATCAAGATGTCAACAACAACAACAACAACAGGAATCAACAACATTATTCCATAGACATTCAAAAAAATTGGATGATAATGATTCATTTCAATTTGATGATTGTTCACATAATTCACATCATCATCAGGTAGATATATTTAATTTAATTTCAAAATTTTAAATATTTTTTTTTGTTTTTTAGTCAAAACCAACAACTGTAGAATATAATAGTAGACAGCAGCAGCAACAACAAAATTACCATCATCATCATCATCATCATAATCATAATCATCATTCACAGCCGTCCAATAATGTAGATAGTACAGAAATATTGATATTAACAATATCCCGATGTTTGGCTTTATTATATGTTTATCATCAATTTCGTAATTTATATAATCAATCCAAATATTTGGTTGGAATCGCCATGTTATTCACCGTATTTTCCAGTATAATGTTCATGTCTGGTGTTTTAAATTTTTTCGATGGTAATTTTGCCGTTCTGAATAAAGCAATACCATTTTTTATATTATTATCGGATCTAAGTAAATCTTGTTCACTGGCAAGATTTGCTCTTTCATCATCGAATCGAGTAAGTTTTGTTTGTTTGTTTTTTTTTGTTGTGATTATCGTGAATATGAAATCATAATCCAATCAAATGATAAAAATGATAAAATAGGAAGAGATACAAGAAAATATAGCTAGAGGAATGGCAACGCTTGGTCCTTCGCTTACATTGGACACATTGGTCGAAACATTGGCTATCGGTATGGGTACCATTTCAGGATTGCCTCGTCTTGCCGAAATTAGCTACATTGCCTGTTTAACTGTTATCGTTAATTATATCGTATTTATGACATTCTTTCCTGCCACATTATCTTTGGTCCTTGAAGTGAGTAATAAAATTGATTGTAATCATCATGGTGTTAATGTTTTTTTTTGTTTTCGAATTTCAAGTTGGCTCATGATGGTGCAAATAAACCAGCCTGGCAGTTTAGCTCATTGGCCAAAGTTTTACAATTGGAAACCGAACACACACCTAATCCAGTGATTCAACGTGTCAAATTGATTATGTCAGCTGGTCTTATGATGGTTCATATGTTAAGCCGATGGCCATTGGTTAATGATGAAAATGATGGTGGTGTATTGGATTCATTCAAATCATCATCAGCTGTTTCATCAGCTAGTGATAAATTAGCCGATGATGAAGTATTCAATTCATTTACAACTGGATTAATGAATGCTGTTGGTACTGAACAAATTCTTATGATTGGCCTTATGTTTGCTTTGACTATAAAATATTTTTGGTTCGAAAATCTTGATATTCATTCTCGGTTATCATCATCTTCTTCCAATAATATTCACAATTCAAATGGCAGTTCGTTTGCTACTTCCAAAGATGTAGAAGAATTAAAATCATCATCATCTTATAAAAATTCCGAGCTTAAAGAAGATTGTAGCAGTGAAACAAGTTCAAATCTTAGTGAAAGCTGTAGTAATACAACATCTACCACTCCATCATCTACTAGACCAACAACGCCGACAACAATATCATCAACTGGTGATGAATCGGATAATTCTTTACAGCATTCAACTAACAAATCGAATGGTTGTTCAACGACAAATTCATCGACCACAGAAAATTCTGATACTGAAAGTGTTCTAGGTCAATGCCGTCATAAATGTAAGTTTTTAATTTTAATTTCTGTAAAATTTATAAAACTCAATTTTTTTTCATTAATTTTTAGTATCGTTCTCTTCAAATGGAAGACGAACATCAGCCAAAAATATCTGTGTTGATGATCAACTTGCAACAAGTAGTGGTCATGGTACTGATAATGAAAATGAATCGACACAACAAATTTCACATGACAATAATAACAAATCAGATGCACCGGCATTTTTTATTGGTGATGATTATTGTAATGATTCCTCGGATTGTTATTCATCCGATTCAAATGTTCCAGAATATATAGATTCTAGTACACAAACAGATACGATTCCAAATATTGTTGCCGATGATTCTTTAATCACAATTACCGATTCAACGGCGTGTAACGCAGCAGCAACAACAACAACGATTGATGATGATACATTTAGAGATATGGATGAATTGTTATCGATACTTGGTCAAGAAGATGGTTATTCTAAGCTATCAAATCGAGAAATTGAATTTCTTGTTGCCAATAAAAAAGTTCCAGCCTATAAATTGGAATCTTTACTGAATAATCCTGAACGTGGAGTATCGATTCGAAGAAAAGTGATCGAAAATATGGCCAATACACAAGGCGTTTTAACTAATGTGCCTTATCATGGTTATAATTATAACCTTGTTTTAGGAGCTTGTTGTGAAAATGTTATCGGTTATATGCCGATTCCACTTGGAGTGGCAGGGCCATTATTGTTGAATGGTCGTCAATATTATGTACCAATGGCAACTACCGAAGGTTGTTTAGTTGCCAGTACTAATCGAGGCTGTAGTGCAATAGCAGCCGCTGGCGGCTGTCGTGCTAAAGTCTATTTCGATGGAATGACACGTGGTCCACTACTATATTTCCGTAGTGCTATGGATGCCGCCGCAGCTCAAGAATGGATCAATAGAACGGAAAATTTTTATATTATCAAAAAAGCTTTTGATTCTACATCACGTTTTGCTCGTTTACAAAGCATCAAATGTTCATTGGCTGGCCGATATCTTTTTCTAAGATTCGTAGCATCCACTGGTGATGCTATGGGAATGAATATGTTATCAAAAGGCACAGAATTAGCATTGGAAGAATTAGCCAAACATGTAAATGGATTAGAATTAAAATGTTTGAGCGGTAATTTCTGTACCGATAAAAAACCATCAGCTGTAAATTGGATTGATGGCCGTGGTAAATCCGTAGTGTGTGAAGCAAGGATTCCTAAAAATGTTGTACAAAAAGTTCTCAAAATTGATGTGAAAAAAATCGCTCATCTGGGTAATTCTAAAAATTTGATTGGATCTGCACTTGCTGGATCGATAGGTGGTAATAACGCTCAAGCGGCTAATATTGTTGCTGCTATTTACATTGCTACTGGACAGGTTAGTTATATTATTGAGAAAAATCATTCTAAATTCTAAAATCGATTCATTTTATAGGATCCAGCTCAAGTTGTTGGAAGTGCCAATTGTATGACATTATTGGAAGTAGAAGATAATGGAGATTTGTACATATCTTGCACGATGCCTTCTATCGAAATTGGTACCATTGGTGGTGGTACGGTTCTTGGGCCACAAGGAGCATGTCTTGAGGTATGTAACTGATGAATTTTTTATGCAATTTTAATTTTAATATTTTTTTCTATACAGCTTCTTGGATTAAAAAATAAAAATCAAGCACCGGGTGAAAATACTAGAGAATTGGCACAAATTGTTTGTGCCACTGTGTTGGCTGGTGAATTATCATTATTATCAGCGTTGGCTGCTGGCCATTTAGTTCGTTCACATATGAAACATAATCGTTCTACAATCAATATACAAGCATCAGCTGCAGCGGCCACACTTGAAACATTGTGTCCAAGGTCATCGGTTCCATCATTCGTTGGTTCGAATGGTGGCAGTGGTGGTGGTGGAATATCATCATCATCATTATCCATAACAACACCTCCCAATAGTTATACGTTAACAGTGCCTAGGACAGGAATTTAAAAATCCACTAAAATAAAACAAACAAAACGAAAAAAAAACAAATAAAAAACTGGTCCTGATGATATCATTTGTTGGTTTTTTCAATTTATTTTTTCTTAATTAATTATTATTATTATTATTATTGATTGATTCGTTCTCGTCATCTTTATACAAATTTTTTTTCGGATTAAATCGATCAATGAATCATTATTATTATTATTATTTTTTATTATTATTATTGTTTAATCGATCGATTGATTGATTGATTGATCCGAGTCGATAAATCTCTCACTATCTCATCATCATCATCATCATTCATTCATCATTTGCCATTTGATTGTTTATTATTCTCATCATTGATCTTCACACATTAATCATTATCATCATCATCACCAGAATCGTTAGAATATCTTTTTTTTCATCTGAATCAATCGATAAAAACTCTTTTTTTCTTCCTCCTCACATTCATTTTTTTTTTGTTTATTTTCAAAACTTTTTGCACACAAATACACATCCGATAAACAAACAAACAAAATCTTACACAAATGAATGAATGAATGAATGATAAACGATATTTTATGCCTTTATTATTTATGTTTTTTCTTCTATTATTTTCCTTATTATTAATGATGATGATGATGATGATTTACCGGTTTTTAATATTCATTTCGATCGATTTTTTTTTGTAATAAAAAAAACAACCACAATGATAAACAGCAACAACAACAACAACAACAACACTCACACACACACACACTCTCTCTCTCTCTCTCTATAAATATAAATAAATATTGCAGCTTGTCATTTTTTTTTTTTACCATATAAAACTGGATGTGTCATCGATCGATCAATCAATCGATCGAATGTCATTTTTTCCTCATTTTTTTTCGTTCACTCTCAAATTGTTGATTTTTTTTATATTAAATGAGTGATGTTTTTCTTTTTTCTCTCTCTCTCCTTTTTCTTCCAAAATCTGTTTGTAAAATCAAGAACAACAACAACGAGATGATGTCATCTAAATATCACTGATAGGCACTCTTTATTTTGAAATGAATAATAATAAAAAAAACAACGATGGATATTTCTCATTTCAAATTCATTTTTATTGGATTATTTTATCACATTGAAAAAAATATGGTTACCACAATCGTTTAATTGCTTGTGGTAGAATATGTTCGAAATATTTGATAAATTGTTCCAAATGTTGTTCGGAAACATTTGGCACCAATTTGGTCCATTTATTAACACAGGCAATATTCTGTTTGCTCGTTTTTCGTCGTGAATAACAATCACTTTCGAATATTATCATATCCGAATTGATCAGATTGTTTATGGATTTTATAATCAATCCCATTCGTGTTTTACGTAATAGTGTACAGCCAATACTCCAATTGAATAGATCGGCACAGGTGAATATTTTAACATCTTCATTACGTAAATGGCGTAATAGAATCATTAGAAATATGAGATCATTTTTTTTCAATCGAGATATAGCAATAATTTGTGGATCAGTAATCAATGATAAAAGTTTCGTCTTTTTGTTATTTTCTTTATTGTCCATTTCAAAGTTATTGTCATTACGGTCATCCGGTTCGTGATAAAATGAATATTCAAAAACAATACGATTGATTTCATTGAAATTTGGATTGATTGCAAACGATCTCACTAGTTCAGATTCAATCAGTGATTTATTGGCAATGAAATTGGTTTCCAATGTTGGATTCTCTTGACAAAGACGCTGTATCCTGGACATGCAACAAGTTTTGTATAAATCATATTGTTTGAATGGCGATACTAAATGAACGACACGTTGTGTTAATCGTGATCTGACCCGTTTTTCTAAAAGTTCAATATAATCAAGTCTTCGTGTGATGCCTATGACCAAAATCGATCGGCCATGTTGTGTTAAATCCAATAGATTGTAAAGTAGTGTCTGTTGTTTTCTACAGAACACATCAAAATTATCCAATACAATAATCGAACGAAAATTTTGATAATTTTCAGTCAAATTACGAAACTGAGACATAATCTTCGGTATAGAATTATTTACTCTTTCCGACAGTTCCAGATCATCAAACATCAAGTCTCTCTCATCATCTGTTAAATCAAGATCGTTGCTGTCTTGTTGTTGTTGATCGAGAAACCGATTTAAACATCGACCAATCAAACGTATTGTTGCTAAATCATCTTTGCCATGAATGGCGCCATCAAATTTGAACAATGCAACTTTAAGATGATTGAAATTGTTGACTTTAAAATTTGCATCATTATTTTTATGATGATTCAATGATGATGATGATGATGAAGATTTTGATAATGAGGACGATGACGACAATACCGGAAACGATGTGAGACAAGTTTCAATTAATTTCGTTTTACCAACACCAGCATCACCACAAACAATCAACGAGTTAGCTTCCGATGTTTTCAAAAGATTTTCAATCATTTTGTTAATGTAAATGATTTCATCATTGTAAGAATTGAAAAGACCATTTTGACCACCATCATCAATACAACAATATGATGAATGCGTCTTTTCTGTCACATTGTCATTTACAAGATTTTTATCATCATTTGGTTTCTCAACATCAACAACAGCATTCAACGATAGTTTTTTCTTCTTCTTCTTATTCATCTTCTGATTACAATTGCTGTTACAATTTTGAGTTTCATTTTTACTTTTTTTAGCAATTTTACTTTTACTAGATCTTTCATCTTTGTTGTTTTTCGTTTTCGTCATTTGTTGTTGTTGTTGTTGTTGTCGTCGTCGTCCATTGGTGGGTGTAGTCAATGTTTCGTCCGATGCTTCAAGTCCTTTTGTTAAAATACGACAACTACGACGACGTGTTTCAATCATATTGTCACTGAATGAAAAAAAAAAGAAAAAGTGTTAGCCAATTTGTTTAGGCAAAAAAAAAAATCTTGGCAAATATTAGATTGTGGTTGTTATTTTTTATTTTTATTTGAAATGGAAAACATTTCAAATGACAACTATCATCATCATCATCAGCATCAAAAATGACCACCATACAACAGAGCCTCATCATCATCAACAAGTCCCATCATCAACTTGTTGATGATCTGATTGTTGATGCTGTTGTTGTCAATGGGAATGAAACCAGTCCTGAGAAAGTTCTTTGATCTTGCTACAATTTACGTGTGTAGGTATAATATGTTTTGAGTGCATACCACCCATAATCACCAGAAATTCATTAATAGAAAAAAAAGGGTTAAAAACCTATGATCAACCCGAAATTTTTTTTTTTTGCTCAACTAGACAATCTCGTTTTTGAAAAAGTATCTTTTTTTCATCGTCGTTGTAATCAATTTCTTCAAAGTCATCATTCGTTTTTTGTATTGGCCATCAGAAAAGAATCATCTCATCTACTATAGGGAAATTCTTTCACAAATGTTAAAATGTGGACTCCAATCACAACAGTGTTATTATTATTAGCCATAATTATTCATCGATCTCATCAACATGGCCGAATGTTGGAACCACCATCAAGAAATTCAATGTGGAGAGCTGGTTTCAATACTAAACCAGATTATGATGATAGTGAACTATTCTGTGGTGGAATAGTGGTATGAATGACTTTTTTTGAATTTTTTTTTTTTGAGTTTTAAAATTATCATCACTAATGATTTGATGAATGATAATCATAGGATCAATGGAAACGAAATAAAGGCAAATGTGGTATATGTGGTGATTCATATTCAATTCGGCCACCAAGACCATATGAAACGGGTGGAATTTATGCTAGTAATATTACCGTAAGAAATTATCGACCTGGTTCAGAAATCGATGTCATCATAGATTTGGTAGCAAATCATATGGGAACATTTGAATTTAGTATATGTCCACGAGATAATTTTGAACAACATGAAACTGAAGATTGTTTCATACCATTAAAAGTGAATGGATCAGATAGATATAAACTTCGTTCACATCGAAATGGAATATTCACCATGCCCGTCGCATTACCACGTGATATTAATTGTAAATATTGTATTTTTCGTTGGCATTGGAAAGCAGGTATGTATGTTGGATAATTATCAAAAAAAAAAGAAATCACTTACCACAGTCAATTTATTGATGAATTTCAAAAAAATTGTCAAAAAACTTGATGATTTAAAAAAATCTAAAAAAAACACTCATTCCAATCGCGTTTGGTCCATTCATAGACAATGTTACTGAAATTTTTTTTTCAAAATTGAATTTCTCGCTTTTCTAATTTTTCTTTTCAATAATTATCAATTTCGAAACAGCTAATAATTGGGGAATATGCGCAAATGGCCGTCAAGCAATCGGCTGTGGACCACAAGAAACTTATCGAAATTGTGCCGATATAGTTGTTGGTTATGAATCCGGTATTCGTGGTCTGAATTATGAGCCACCACCTTCAGTTGTAAATGGATTCGATCGAATGATAATGAGTAATGAAATACCTAAAGATAATTTCATCACACATCATCGAATTCATTGGCCTGGAAATCAACGTCATAATCCTAATCACCACCATCATCACCATCATCATGATCATCATCATTCTCATGATTTTGAATCAACAACAGCAGCAATGAATGATTCTGAATTTACAATTACAATGGCTACGACTGAATTGCCAATCACATACATCGATCATTGAATTGTGAATCTTAGTTTTTTTTTGGATAAAATTTTTTAAATTTCATTTTTTTTATTTGGTTAATTAAAATCTAAAGAGAAAACATTAATATGTTTCTCTGTATGTATGAAATTCAAAACTTTAGAAACATGTACAAAGACAACAAAAGCAACAGGTACACCAACAGTGGCCACGTCCGGCATCAGAATCGTCATTTATTTCACGAATTACACTAAACAGTTGTCGTTGTTTTGGTATAAATATATGATGATAATTTTGTTCATTACGAAATTTATGTGGTGGTCTATGTCGAACTAGGATATCTTTATTCAATTCAAACATTTGCCATTTTTTGTTGTTGTTGTTGTTGTTGTTGTTCATCTTGATTCTGTGTCATGATTTTATTTGGATTATTCATATCGATCGTTTGTTGTTGTTGTTGTTGTTGATCAATTGTCCATGCTGTTGATGGTATAGCCTGTTTACAATCTTCAGTTTTTGCTTTACGAAATTTTTCCAAATGATAATAACGATGAATATTTGGTAATGGATTTGTTTTAAACATTGTAGTATTATTGGCTGGTGGAGAATTGACATTTTTTTGATTGACCATTTTGTTCTCTTTGTTTTCAACATCCAGACTACTACTACTGCTACTACCACTATAGAATCAACAAAATTCAACAAATTTAAATTCAAATTTTTTTTTTAATTTTATTATATCGAACTCTTTTTTTCTGTTATTTTTATTTTCCATTCAATTATTTCGGAAAACAAGAATTCGAAATAAAAGGAATATATAGAGAGAGAGAGAAAAAAAAGATAAGTTCTATCAAAAGAAAAAAAAATTATACAATATTTATTCGGTTCTAGAGAATTTATTGAATTTATGTCAACAATTTTATTCTTGTGTGTGTCTGTATGTGTGTGTGTGTGTGTGTCTGTGTGTGTTGGTGGGTTGATGTGTGTATTATTACTTTTGAAAAGAGTTATATTGCCCAAAAGGAAGATGAAACACAAAACACAACATTTATAAATAGAAAGAGTGAGATAGAGAGAAAGAGGTAAAATTGATGATTCGAATGAGATATGATTGATGAATTGATGTGTGTGTGTGTGCATGTGTAGGTTTTGAATTAATTTTCTGTTTTAATAAATTTTTTTTTTGGGAAAAAAAAGATTAATAAATCTAAAACACAAAAACATATTTCACACACACACACACACACACACACACACACGTTTAAAACATTATTGTAGAATATATACCAGTGTGTATCTAGAGAAATGAGATCCAAAAATTTATGTGTTGTTTGTTTGTTTGTTTGTTTAAGCAACAGATTGTAAATGAGAATTTGAATGTCCAGATGAATTTTTCAAACAAATTAAAGACAACCAGGAATCATAAAGATCTGATGATGATGATGATGATGATGATGATGATGTTTTTCGATGAAATGATGATGAGCTATTTTAGTCACATACACACACACACAAATGAAACGTCATCTAGTATTTGATCAATTTTTGACTTTGGTATTTTTCTGATGATTATTAGTTTGGATTCATGATGATGATGATGATGATGATGAGGTTACACGAGGATAATCCATATATATGAATGATGATTGATGACGGCCTATCGTTTCGTTAGTACATATTATTGTGGTTTATGTGATGATGATTATTATTGATAGAAAAATAAAACATTTCAAACTAAATAGGTAGGTGATGGATGAACAGACAGATGTTGGTGTTGTATGGAATATGGTGCATGTGGTTCTTGAATAATTGAAGTAGTACTTGAAGAGATCATTGTTAATTGATATCAACTAAAAACAAAAAAAAAATCAAATTACATATCAACATCTTGATCTGGTTCATCAGCAGCATGTGGTTGTTCATCTTCACTACTATGTTCTTCTTCATCATGACTTGATGTTTTCAATGAACCATTATTCAATGTTGTTACACGTAGATATTCAGGTTCCGGTTTGTTCTCATCATATGTTATATTCAAACCAATTTTATATTCATATTTAGCATTATAACGAACAAATTTATCCGGTGGTGTTTCACAATTAACAGAAATTGATCGTAATGTTGTATGCGATACGGTTGTCGAAGGCATTCGAAATTCAACATGAACAAAATCATAAAATGTTTCTGGTATTCGATCAAATGATGATAATGGTAAACGAACCAACATTAATTGTTGCGTATAAGCTCCTATCGTTCATCAGGATTTAATTAGTTTCCGATATAATCAACATTAATCGGGACTTACCTTGTCCGTCTTTGGGCAATTTTGGGATACGCCATACGATTGAATGATATGCATGTTCATATTTTGCTAAACCAGCTGTCACTTCAATCAATTGAGGTTCAGGATTTGCTGCAGTTCCCAGAATACGATCCAATCCCTATTTATGGTATGATATGATAAGAATGTGAATAAATTAAATTTCATCTACCATCATTTACCTTAAGTTTTCCAGAACGTCTATTAGTGGAATGAACAGCTCCATAGCGGAAATGTTTTTCTACCCTAAAAAAATATACCCAACATTCAGGTATATGAAAACGAATGGCAATATCTTCACATGGTATTTGTCCGTGTTTTCTCGATATACATCCAGGTACCAGAATGTCACATTTTAGCTCCATTTTCGATGGTGTAATATTCATATAAGCGCTGACCTGTAATGGAAGTTCACGATTCTTTGGTGGACGGATGCGAAATCGCATCATTTCAAATTGACATGCATCCGGTGGTATCAAACGAATAACTTGTTCAGTTTCAAAATATTGATCTTGTACACAGGAATGAAATTCTTGTCGTTCAACACGAATCCATTCTTCAGTCACTACAGGTAAAATATCATGCCGTCCAACAACTTCTTTGCCTTGTCTTCTTAGATCATTTATACCAACTTCAATGACTGGCATTCCTGTAAATATTTTTCGACAGAAAAAAAGAGAAAATAACTTGATCAACTTCATTAGACAAAATAAGACTAACCATTTAAAAATGCAAGAAAAAATATCCGAACACGAGCCAATTGTTTTTCAACAATACCAATTTTGTTCTGTTCAACATAACATTCATCTTGTACACAACATTGAATCTCTTCAGTACGATAAGTTAGTGCACGATCACGATGAACAGTCATACGAAACATTGATTCTTCAACAACCGTCAATAGTTCTTTAATGTCATTATATTCAAGTGTACCCAATTTAAGTAATTCACTGATTTGTGGTGAATGTTCGACAGGCATTCCAAGTTTGGCAAAATCACCCATAGATTGAATCTGACCTTGCATGACTTTGGCAATTTGTCCCGGTCGAACACCGACACGTTCACGATAAAATATGTATTGCACTTTGACAGTGAATATCTTCCCATATTGATCATATTGTTGTGGAGAAATTTCCGATAACGAATACGATGCTTGTAAGGGTAACTCCTGAAATGGTTGAGCATCACCTTTCTTATTAAACAATTGTAATACACAAGTTTCAGGTATGAAACGGACAAATATTTTCTTCCAATAACGATTTGCTGTTAACTTTTTCTTGGCCGGATGTCGCAACATCATTTCCCATCCTTCACCCAGATATGGCGGTGGATAATCTTCGAGTGGCTGAGATGTATCCTCATCATAAAGAGGTGTTTGTGGTGATGCTGGTGAATCGGTTCCAGCAGCTGTACGTTGTTGTTTTGAAGCGGCTTCACCAAATGCAGTTGGCCATTCAGGTTCTTCTGTCGTAGCCGTATCGGCAGTTTCTGAACCTCGACGATTTTCTGAACTGGCAAAAAATCTTTCAAATTCTTCATCGATAAAACTTTTTGCAGTCTTTTTTGGTTTTATTGCTGACGAACTACGATAACCGGTCAATATTAAATCCTCTTCACATAATTCTCCTTCCTCTTGTTCGATATCTTTTTCAGATTGAGGAAGACGCTTTGGTGACTTTGGTGGAGGTGGTAATAACGGAAGTGCTACAAGAAACAAAGAAAAAATTGAAAAATCAAATTTTATTATTACATTGAATTATATATCATACCCAAATTTGAATTGGCTTCCGATTGATTTGTATCATTGTTTTTAGCTCTAATAACAATTCGAAAACTTTCCTCTGGTTCATCATCATCATCACCATCATCATCGAATGAATCGGAATCTTCGAAAGAATCTCTTTTCTTTTTTGGTTTCTTGGCCACTTTATATGGTGTATTTTCAGGCTGTTTGGGCACGAATGGTTCGAACGTATCAAAACCTCCAATACCATCTTGATTATTAGCATTAGATTTTGCCGTTTTATATGGTGATGCAAATGGATCATCTTCAATACGGACAATTTTTTCACTTTTATCAGTAGCTTCGAAACGAGATTCAAATGCCTCAAAAGCCTTCGAATCGAATCCACTTGTATCGAATGGATCTTTCGATTCCAAGCTAGGCTCATCACCATCAGTTGTTTGTGCTTGATAATCCATATTGTTGTCAATTAATTCCCTTAATGAATTAGGTTGTAAATTTTCGATAGCAACTTCAGCAATATCGACCGATGACATTCGATCTGTTGCTCTTTCATCTATGTCTTTTTTTGATTGTGATTCAGGATTATTATCTTGTTCATCGTTGAAAGCATCATTAATGATTCCTTGAGCATTAACATTTGGTTGGCCAACATAATTCAAGTCAAGGCTATCATTTCTGCCTATGATATTATCAAGGCCAATAATCTTTGCATGATTTATCTGTAATAATTCATCATCAATAATATTAATGGCACTAATGCATAGATCATTAGTTTAACTTACTGCTTTGCTTTTATGCTGTGTTGTTTCTGCCATTGTCACTGATGTTGCTGAGTCTGGAACAATTTCATCATTGTTGTCACCATCTTCAAAATAAGAAGTGATTGGTGAATCAACAAAAACAGTAGTAAATGGATCAAAATGGGACGAACTACGTATAGCATGCTCATCTGTATGGTGTTCACCTGTTTTTCTGATGATTACATCATCATCATCATCATCATCGTCATCAACATCTTGGCTTTGTCTGCCTGCGGTCTTCGATACTCGACGCAATAAAATCTCAGACGATGTTATCGGTTCAAACTTTCCCTGTTCATCGTCTTCTTCTTTTTTATCATTGATTGCTATCAATTAAAAATATAACATAACATTAACATTGTTTCAATTTTTTTAAAAATTTCACTCACCTGTAAAAGCATCAAAGGCACTGCGAATATCATTCGCAACAATATTACTTGGTGATATATCGGAAAGATCGGATAGATCGGATGAATATGGTTCAATTTTTTGTGGAGCCATCAATAAATCGGTTGGACTTATCGGTGATGAATCTTCAGCATTTGTTGATACAGGTTGAACTTCAACACGATTGGCTGCAGCCAATAATTCAATTTCATTCATTGATGAATGAAATAATTCTTTGGCTTTTGATGAGGTTATTTTTCGAATATTTTCTTCATCATTTGTGGATGAAGATTTCCTTTGTTCGATTGAAGATCTTTTGGAAGAGAAATTTAGATCATCATCATTAATGGTTTGGAATGGATCGAATACAGTGGTGTCATTATTCGAATCAAAATTGGTTATTGTTTTCACTGTAGTTATTGTTGTTGTATTTACATGATCATCACTATCATGAATCACTTTATCATCATTGATTTTGTTTTGTTCATCAGCGAAAACATCTTCATCAAAATTTGTTGACGTTTTATTGATACTTTCGAAGAAATCGGCTGACATATCGGCAATGGCACTAGCAAAATTTTTCGCTGTATTTGATGTTTCATCATCATTGTTGTTGTCAAGGAATGTGGTAGTTTCATTTTCTGGTGATAGAATTTCAAACGGATTGGTTGAATTACGTCTTTTTGGTGTTCTGGCTCCGACTATTGTATAGAAAATATTAGAAATGGATGATGAAAAAAAAAAAAAACATACCTGAATATGGTGTTTGTGTTCCGGACGCAGAATATGGAGTATAACTTTCTTCAAGATCGGCTAAAAATGGATTGGACATTTTGTTGTTTTTGTTTATTTCAATTAATCTTTGATGGCCAAATCTTTTTGTATAGTCGATTCAATATAACTAGTATCAAATGGATCAATTTCATCGACATCAATGTCTTTGATTAATGTTGGTTTCAAAATCGATTCACCACTTTTAATGGCTTCAACATCAATAAATGACGTATCGAATGGATCGATCGTCGGCTCTTCAATGGCAAATAATGATGTGTCTGTTTTTGTTTTTTCACCATCCACTAATGGTATTCCTGGTGCTGGATTGGTGAATCCAAAATCTTCAATTAATTCCCGTGCAATTCGTTTTGTTTCTTCGTCAATCACTGGCTTGGTTTTGTCCTTATCTATTGATTGCTGTTGTTCAGTCTCGTCTGTGTTTTAGAGAGAAAAACGAATCCAAATAATCCAGTCTCTTACACCTATTGCAAATATTCACACATACCTTGTTTAGGAAATTGAAATATTGGATCTGATGGATTATAATCGGCTGTTTCGTCGAATGCTGCCCAAGCACCGATATTTTTTGGTGCCGTTTCGTCAAATTGATCTGAAAAAGTGGGATCTTCAAATTTGCTGATTTCTTTAACAGCTGATTCGGTTTGTAATTTTTCCAACACAGTTTGTGTTTTCGATGTTACAGCATCAGCTTTGGCTGTTAATGATAGAAAAAATTTCCACTCTTCACAATCTTTTTTACTTTCTTCTTGTTGACGTAGTTTTTCTCGTTCTTCTTTTCTATATTCTTCTTCTTTAGCTTTTAATTCTTCAAGCGATAATTTTGGTTGCTCTTGTTGTTGTTGTTGTTCCTGTTCACCAAATGATAAAGGAAATGGTTCACCAACTGTTATATTATTGACTGAATCAAAATTAGCAAAATTTGTATTTGTTGAATCAAATTTAATTTTTAACTGATCATTAATATCTGTTGTTGTTGTTGTTGTTGTTGTTAATGTCGATGGATGTGGCGGTATTTCAGGCACATAATTATCGAAATCATCATCATCATCATTTTTACGTTTGGGATTCCCAACGACTTTGGTGATTTTTTTCTTCAAATAGTTCATATCTCAACGGAACAGAAAAAAAACGACGACAACAACAACAATCTAATATTTGCTACTGATATGATGATATTCATTCCTTTTTGGAGATGAATAAATTATATTCGAAAAAGTTTCTTATTGCTGATAATAAATTCGAATAAATGTCAAATGTAATGTCAATAATAATAAGATGTGTTTATAACCAATGATGATGATGATTATTGTGGATAATCCACTTTTTTTTCGTTTAATTGTTTAATGATTCTTTCACATAGAACACACACACGTACACACTAGTCACAAACAAAACTATAGTAGACATTAAAAAAAACGAGTCAAATAAATTTCAAGAAAAAAAAACAAATCATTCAAAATTCATCCATTAGATAAATATAACATGAATGTGAGTAACATGAACATTGTTGATGCTCAATTTTTTTTTTGCTTTACTTTACTTTAATCATTAATGACGATGTTTTTTTCCATCATTTCTCTTGTTGTTGCTGTAGTAGTAGTAGTTTCACTACCATAGCAAAAAAGTTGTTCCAGAACTGTTCCAGAATCTGATGAGAAAATAACAACAACAACAACAATAAAAAAAAATCCAAATGATTCGTGATGATAGTAGTAGCAGATTCATTTCTATATAGCCATGTTTTTGAGAATGTCATTCATTTTTTTTTTTTTTTTTTTTGATTGTTTGTTTGAAATTGCTGCCGGTTTTTTTCGTTTGATGGTCCAAAAAGAAAAAAATTTGGATTTTCCCCATACACTACTACTGCTTCTCCATACCCTTCATTTTATTTTATTTCAAATTAAGTCAAGGATGTCGACACAGTCAGACACACACAACAACAACAACAACATTGACGTCATTTGGTCGCCCAAGACTATCCATCCAGACTCTTCTATATATAAAAAACTTTTCAATTCCAGAAATTCTTCATATCTTGTGATTTCAAATTTTTTTCTTCTTCTTCTTCTTCTTCTTCGTTCTATGCCTACTTCTTGTTGGCATTTCATCTATTCTATCTTTATATATAGATCGATAGAATTCTAATACCACCGGGTGATTTTCTAGTAATAATTCTGGATTCGTAGTGGTGGTGGTGGTGGTGGTAGATTCATTTTTATTATTATTATTATTTTTAGATTTCCAAATTTTTTCAGCTTGTGTGTGTGTGTGTGTGTCTGTGTGTGTCTATTATTCAATTAAAGCAATCTATATTAATGTTTATATCATTTTTATTAACCATTAAAAAAAACCATAACGAAAACCGGATGAACAACGAAAAATAAAAAATTCAGTTCAATTATGCGCAATATCATAATCATCATTGATGATTAAAGTGATTCGATTCGATTATCGATTCGTTTACAGATAGAAAAAAAATATATAATACATCAATCGATCAACCAGAATTGATTTGTTGCTGTTTTTTTTTAAAAATTAAAATCCAAATAATAAAATGATTATGATGATTGAAGTGAGAAGAGATTCTCTTTGAATGATTCAGATGTATTCGAAGATGTAAGAAAAAAACCACTTCCACTTCCTTTTTCTACCATCGCTCCACTACACATCCTCACGTATTTTAATCCCGTTCGAATGGGAAAATTTTTATTTTCAACCAGAAAACAAAAACACACACACAAAAACAATTGTCTCGATTTTGTTTCTGTTAAATAATAATAATCTATGATGTCTGCATTCTTAGTCAGTGCATACACACACAGACGGGCACAGAATTTATTGAATGTGACAAGTTTGAATGTAAACCCAATATATATCCGGACCAATATGAGACAAATAAATCTCTTTTTCTTGGAACCACCAAATTTGAATCCAATGATGAAACAAAAAAGAAAAGCACTTCTTCTATATATATATCGTTGGCTATTTTTTTTTCGAACGATAAACGGAATCTTTACAGAATTGGATCTGTTTTTTTTTCATAAAAAAAAAATGCAAGGAAAATGTTCTTTTGGTCTGTTCTAGTGGAATATTTGTTTTTTCGACTGAAATTATTTCATCAATCGAATAAAATGAATGTCAAAGTCGATAATCAAGATGATGATGATGATGATGTTAATTTTCAAGTTAACAAGAAGCTCATCAATGTAGATCATTTCAATTTTTTTTTCTTTCTCAATTCACGGTCCAAAGTGGAATAAAATTAAAAAAAAAAATTTTTTTTTTTTTCGTGCATTTAATTATTTTCTCTCTCTCTTGATTTAATGGACCGATGATGGGCCACTGATGATGATGATGATGGCGATCTTCTTATATTGCCTGCCAACATGTTGAAATGATGTGTGTGTGTGTGATTAATTTTCGTGAACAAAAAAAATGGATCAATAAAAAAAATTTCATAATTTCATTATTTGAATTTCATAATTTAAAATTCAAAAAATTGATCCATTGATGATGAATGGATCAAAAAACGTTGAATGTCAACAATCATGTCATGTCCATAATGAATGTCAATGTGATTCAAAACCAATAAAATCAATGATGAACTATATGGAAAACATTTGTCATTCATTTCCAATCCAATCTCAATCTAATCTAATCTAATCTCATTTTTAATTTTTACACAAATTTATGGAACAAAAAAAAACAGCAAAGGAAATGACTAACGATGTAAACGTGATTTCTATTTATTCGGAAATGAAAAATATTTGCGCACACACACACACACAAGATAAAATCATGACTTTTTCATGGTGATGTTATCTTCAGCGAAGAAAAAAAAATCATCACCATCTTCATTATAAAACGGATTATTATTTAACAGAAGGAAAAAAAATGTCAACAATTAACTCAACGATTTCTCTCTCTCTACACCGCAAAAAAAATTGAAATTAATGAAAATTGAAAAGCCCATCACATCTGAAAATCTAAATTTCATTGACAAGAAAATTGTGCCAGTGATACACCAAAAAAAATCAATCAATCGATCAATTAACCTTTTTCGAATGACTTTATTTTTATTTGGTTTTTTTTCATGATTACAAAACACATTGATCATGACAGACAAAAACAGGTAAAAGGGCATGGGCAAGATAAACTTATCGGATTCAATAATCTGAAGAAAAAAATTTTTTTTCTTCATAATTCACTTTCACAACAACAAAAAAAAATGCCGAGGCAGAACAAGTTTTGTGTGTGTGTGTGTGTGTATGTGATCCAGACAATCACCGACGATGATGACGACGACGACGACGACGATGATGATTATCGATCCAATATGGATAATGAATGATGATGATGATGATGCTCAGATGACCTAATATCATTTTTTTCTTTTCATTAATCAGATCAAATGTGATGATTATGAAAAAACAACCACGAAATCAAAATAAATGATGGTCATCAAATGTCACATGTATGTAATGGTTATAGTATTTTATCATCTTCGTTTGCTCAATTGGATCATATCTTGGATCAAGGTGTGTGTGTATCATTTTTTTTTTTCTCATTCAATTTTTTTTCACTTTCCTCTCCATAATTTTGATTATGGTTCGTTTGTTTTACACGTAATTTTAATTGAACGTTTCTTCAATTCTTCATAGGAAATTTGTAATGTTTTGTGAGTTTCAGCATCGGATATATAAATAAGACATTTGGCATGATTAAACTTCAATCATTCGTTGGAGTTTCTATTAGTTATCTGTATATTTTTTTCCCAACAAAATCAACATTTTAATCATCATATATATCATTTAGCATCATGTATCGAAAAGTAAAGTTTTTTTTTGTTGAAAATTATTTTTTGATCAAAAAATGTTTCCTTTCTAGGTTTGTATAATGACAGCTTTGATGGCTGTAGCCGTTAATGCATATGGTGGCGGCGGTTATGGTGGTGGTGGTGGTGGCGGCGGCGGATATTCTAGTGGTGGCGGCGGTTATGGTGGTGGTGGTGGTGGCTATGGCGGTGGTGGTGGTGGTTATGGCGGTGGTGGTGGTGGTTATGGCGGTGGTGGCCCAGTTTCAGCTTCATTGGCCGTTTACAGTAACCATAATGTCAATTTCCGACCAGTATCAAGCCGTGGTTACGGTAAACCAACCAATGTCTATGTTGACAGCACAAGTTCTCCAGTCAATTTTGTTTTCCGATCTTCATCTGGTGCCGTCAATGTTCAACAACAACATCAATCAGGCGGTGGTTCATTCAAAGAAAACTCATCTGAAGATGCTCCACATCGATTGGTTCAAACTGTCAGAAAACCAATCATACAGGAAGTCCGAGAAATCATTACCCCAATGCGAATCATCAGACAGGAAATTCAACCAGTACAAGAAAACATCCAAACTTTGATTTCCCGCGATGATGGAGCTGGTGGTGGTGGTGGTGGTGGTGGTGCAGGAGGCGCTGGAGGATTTGGAGCAGGTGGTGGTGGTGGTTTCGGAATGGGTGGAGGCCGTGGTGGTGGTGGTGGTGGTTGTGGTGGAGGTGGTATGGGCTGTGGTGGCGGTAGTGGTCTTAGCTACAGTGGTCCATACGGTAGTGGTAGCAGTTATGGTGGTGGCCAACGAGGTGGTTATTAAAAATCAGTTGAAAATTTTTCAACAAAAAAAATCCACCTATCTGTCAAATGAATAACCGGAACAAAACAACAACAACAACAACAAAAAAACTACCCAAAAAACCTGAAAAATAGACAAAGATAATGAATGAATGAATGAATGAAAAATCACCATCACCATCATCAACATCATCATTGTCAATGATTGTCAAAGTTTTTCATCACAATCATTGAACACATTCATATATTTTCATATATAAAAAACATCCACACATCCATATATTACATTACATTACATATATAAAATCATTCCACATGTAAAAATTATTAATAATGAATATTATATATTCACATTGTTAATTTGTAATAAATAAACCTTGAAAAAAAAATATTAGCCACGGTTATTCGTTTTTTTTCTGGTAACATTTGTTCATTCGGGTAGAATAATAATAACCAAAATAACCAATATTTTGGTGGTGAAAACATTATAATTCAAACACAGTCACGTGTGAATGAATCACGCACACACACATATGATGTGATCTTCATTCTAAACAAACAAATAGAAAATAGAAAAATTCTCCTTTCAAGGTTTCAACACATAATTTAAAAGTTTTTTTTCCAATTTAATAATGAGCATTGAGATCGTGTGTATATATCAAAAGATCGAAAAGGACAACGACAGATTGATGATAGAATGTTTTGTTTTGTTGTTTTTCTGTTATCTATCCAAAAATAAATGAATAAAATATGTGATCATCATAGATGTAAGTGTTGTTTTGTTGATTTAATTCAATAATAAATAATAATTTAATTTGATTTGAAATATGGCCAATACCAATCAATCGATGTGATGATGATGATGACCATTTATTTTTATATTTTTTTTTTTCTTTACAAACACAACAAATGGAATGTTGTTGTATACGATACTTGGTAATGTAGTTATTCCATCAAAAAAAAAAAAAAAAAATTTTGTTGTTGTTGTTTTTCTGTTTGTAAATGATTGCCATGTTCTTCTCATCATCATCATCATTAGCACCATTTTTTTCATTCCACCATCACAATAACGTGTAAATATCATTCAACACACACACTATCCTTGGATTTTAAAATATTCGATGTTAGTCGTCGTCGTCGTCGTCGTTGTCGTTGTAGTATTTATGTTTGCCAAGCATTTTGGCTAGCTTTTTCAGCTCACGATTTTTTTTGGTTTATGAAAATAATAATAAATGATGATGATGATGACCACCACCACCACCACCACCACCTCCCATGATGATAAGATCGCTATTCGTGTATCGTATGAATACGAATACGTGTTTGGCAAATGGCATTCAATTCAATTTATTTTTTTCCATCAGGTAATCATCAAATGTTAGCTGTAAAAAAAAAAATTGATGCGCAAAAAAAAAAAAACTATTATTCTTGACTTTCAATCCATCGAGAATTTTTTCCAACAACAACAACAACAACAACAACAACGACGACGACGACGACAACAAAAACAAAACAAAAAACAATGTCTGTTCATTGATCAATCAATTTTGTTTTTGATTGTTATGAAAATAATCATTTGACTAATAATTAATCAATTGATTGATTGATTGGTTGATTGTGAATGCAAAGAAATATTCAAAAAAATTTCCAATTTATTCTTAATGGAGAAATTCATTTTTTTTTATCATTTCATCAACAACAATCACAAACAACAACAACAACAACAACAACAAACAACGATGATGTTATGTGTGTGAAATTTTCATAATTTAAATGGTCATCCTCATAATCATAATCACCAATGTTCTGTTTAACATATTGCCAAATGGATCTATTTGATTATAATAAAAGACAATTGAAAAAAACTAGATTTGTTATTCTGGTCATATTTACATCGTTCATTATCGATATCATCGAATTTGTTTCATCATCTCCAACAACGACAACTGCAGCAACAACGACGACGACATTGGCAATGCCTACATTAATGATGAAAATGATAAATCATACAACATCATCAAATGATGAATGTGAAAATGATGATCAATGTAAACAATTGGATCAATATAAATTATGTGATCGATCAACAAGACAATGTTATTGTAATAATAATTATTATGAAAATCCATTCAATAATAGTTGTCAGGAAAAATATCGCCATCTACCTACATATAAAAAACAGGAACGTAAATATTTTAATAAATATCGTACAAACAATAATAATCGTCGTAATGGTGCTGCTGTTGATGATGATGATGATGATGATTTAGAAACAACATATCTTCAACATAGTTCAAATTTTCGACGTGATTTATTACAATACACTTTGTATGGATGTTTTGTCATTGGTCAAATCGTATTGACAAGTCATTATTTGATCCAAAAACGTATGAAAGTATTGAGGAGGCAGATTGAATTGGAAAAAACAACAACAACAACAACAGCAGCAGCAGCAACAGGAACAAAATGAAACGACCGATGAACGTGATACCAAAACTAGTGATGATGATGTTATTGTGGAAATCTGTTGAAACCCAGAAGAAACAAAAAAAAATCTGTCTGTCTGTCTGTCTTATAATAAAAATGGATCTCTTTATATATTTGGAATTTGTTTTTTCACTTTTTTTTTTTTTTTTTGAATTTCAAAATGAGAAATTGAAAAGCGCTGGCGAAAAAAATTTTCGAACAAAAAAAAATTCAAACCTTTATAATAATTGCTGACATCTAGTGACCAAAATTCGAATGAATGTCATTCGATTTATACAAATACATTGTTTATGAATGGTTATCGTATATGACAATATTGACAACAGCAAAAAAAAAAAAATTGAGCCAAGATGGCGCTTCAAGGCGTGTGTGTTTCAAATCAACACATTCACATTAATAACCACTACCACAAACATACACAAACAAACATGACGTCGAATGCCCTCTATTGTTGAACGGCCAACTCCTCAACAGAAAAATAGTGCACAAACAATTTGATTGGACCAAAATAACTCACTCACTCACTCACACACACACACACACACACAATATATGTATATTTTGTGCGAGCGCTCTCTGTGTGTGATACAGGAATTACATTTCGTTTTTTTTTTTTTCATCATTGAGCCAAGATGGCGCAATTCTTTTCACGGAAATTTTGGCGAATACCTATCCCGTTTGACCTGTGATTGTTCATTGTTTCAAATCCATTTGGAATTCCGTTCTATGATTGACATTCTACATTAATAACCACTATTCCAAATTAATTGTTCCACAAACATACACAGGGTTTTCGTTTTGTTTAAATAAATAAAACATGACGTCGAATGTAAACAAAACCCTCTATTGTTGAACGATCATTTCGCCCAATGTATAAAAATGGAATTTTAATCGCAACTCGTGTGAATGGTTCCAGACAACAGAAAAATAGTGCACAAACAATTTGATTGGACCAAATAACTCACTCACTCATCATACACACACACACACACAATATATGTATATTTTGTGCGAGCGCTCATCACCAGAATCTGTGTGTGATACACATAGTGCACAAACAATTTGATTTCGACCAAAATAACTCACTACTCACACACACTTTCATGTACGGGATTGCAATTTTTTTTTCATCATCATCATCATAAAAATTGCATTTTTCCCTGATTGCCACATTTTCCTATCCAGGTAATTTGTAAGTATTTTATTCAAATTTTTTTTTCTTGAATAATAAAAAATTTATTTGATCCAAGATGTTTGACACACATTTGTCAAACGAATATCGATGTGTGTGTGTGTGTGTGTGTGAGAGAATATCAATGAATGTCTTGTGGATTTGTCGATAGTAATGGCCTCTGTTAGGTTATGTTCCGAGTTATTCTTTCATCGCTTGTCCGCTTTGTGGCGGTTGTGCCATTTTTATTTTGTTTTGATTTAATAATTCCAAATGATGATTTTGATGATCATATTGCATAATTATGAAAATTTGTTAGCTTTTATAATAAAAAAAAAAATTTGTTAATGGATTGGATTTTCGATCAATGATTACAATGTTGCGTCTTATAGCACTCAAATGAGTTTTTTATTTTGTATGTCTGTGAGAGCCAGTTAAACAACAACAACAACTTTTTCATATTCGAATTTCTTTTTTTTCTCGTCATTCGATTTAGGTTGTTTTGTATTGCAAAAAAATATTCTTCCCTTTATTCGGATTTTGGAATCTTGAAAGCCCTTTGTTTCTGATACAAAATGACCGATGCTGTTGCTGCCGCCGAAACGGATTCCATTTCGGATATTCAGGATTATCTTCAAACATTTAATAAAGAAGTAGATGATGGTGGACAGACTACAACCGCTGCTACAACTGTCGCTGATGCTAATGATCAATCGAATTCAACGAATCAATTAATTTATACGATAGATGGTAAAGAGATTGCCGGCAATATTGTTTTGGCAGATCAAGATGGTCAATCAGAACAATCGGGTAATTTTCAGACATTTATGGTTATGAATGATCAACAATATATGTTGATCATGGAACAAGAAACCGGAGCTGGTGATGAACAACAAGCATTGGTTGTCACTGCGACTGACGATGAACAACAACAACAAACTAATGGTACAAATGATCAAACGGCCAATTCGAATCAACGACAAGAACCGGCATCGAATGTTTCGGAAACACCAGCAAAACGTACACGTGGAATGTTTCGTAAAAATCAACGAATCAAAGAAGAATTAATGGATGATGATAGTCATAATGATATCTCTGTTTATGATTTTAATGATCAACCAAATCGAAATAATGCATCACATGGAACGACGGCTGGTAGTTCTTCGAAAAATCAATCAACAGTATCGGCAGATGATGATGATCCTGATTTTAAAACACCATCAAAACGTGGACGACCGGTAAAATCTTCGGAATCATCATCACGTAAAACAAAATCTGGTTCCAGCTCATTGGTATTGAATACTTCAAGTGGCAGTAGTAGTTCAAATGTTCATGTTTGCACATATTGTACTTATACTAGTACAAAACGTTATCTTTTATCACGTCATCTAAAATCACATAGTGAAGATCGACCACATAAATGTGGAATTTGTGAACGTGGTTTTAAGGTTTGAAAATTCTTAAATAGTTTTTAATAATATGTTGAATTTATTCTTTTTTTTATGAAACAGACATTGGCTTCATTACAGAATCATGTCAACACCCATACTGGTGTTCGTCCTCATCAATGTAAATTTTGCGATGCTGCATTCACCACATCCGGAGAATTAGTTCGTCATATTCGTTATCGTCATACACATGAAAAACCTCATCGTTGTACTGAATGCGATTATGCATCAGTAGAATTATCCAAATTAAAACGTCATATGCGTTGTCATACAGGTGAAAGACCATATCAATGTCCACATTGTACATATGCATCGCCTGATACGTATAAATTGAAACGTCACCTTCGTATTCATACAGGTTGTTATAATAATAATAATTAATTTGTAATTTTTTTTCATCAATTAATAAAAATTTGATAATCATAGGTGAGAAACCATATTTATGTGATGTTTGCCATCAACGATTCACTCAAAGTAATTCATTGAAGGCTCATAAATTGATACATACAGGAAATAAGCCTATATTTAAAGTATGTTTTTATTGTCATTGTTTTGTTTATTTTGAAACATAATTTTCAACATATATTTGTTGTTTTATTAGTGTGAATTTTGTCCAACCACTTGTGGACGAAAGACCGATTTACGTATTCATGTTCAAAAACTTCACACTAGTGATAAGATGTTAACATGTAAACGATGCGATCAATCATTCCCGGATCGTTATCAATTCAAAATGCATCTAAAAACACATGAAGGTGAAAAATGTTTCAAATGTGACTTGTGCAGTTATGCATCGGTATCAGCACGTCATCTTGAATCACACATGTTGATTCATACAGACCAAAAACCTGTAAGTTTTGTTTTGTTTTTCATTTTTCGATTCAATATATGATATGAATTCATTTTTTTTTTATTTTATTTTTATCAATAGTACATCTGTGAGGTTTGTCAATTGTCATTCCGACAAAAACAATTATTAAAACGCCATAAAAATCTTTATCATAATCCAAGCTATGTACCACCGGTTCCGAAAGAAAAGACACATGAATGTGCACAATGTTCGAAAGCTTTCCGTCATAAAGGAAATCTTATACGCCACATGAGCCTCCATGATCCTGATGCTAAAAACAATTTATCAAAAGATGCTGATTTGATGGGAAATTCCCAGCTAATCGATGATGAATATTATGAAGATGAAGAAGATTATGAATTAGATGATCCTACACAAGTTTCAATTATAGCAGCTGATTCAAGTGGTAACATATTGGATTCATCGACTGCCACCGATGGCCCCATACAGATTACATTAGATCAACAGCTTATTGATTCCAATAATGATCCAGTAATGTTGTTGTTGGTATCAGGGGATGGTGGTGATACATCTTCCAATGGGCAATCTACTACAGATACGGCTACAACTGCAACTGTTACAGCAGCAACAACTTCTACACCAAGAATCATTTCACGTTCCGCTCGTGTAACAAGAAGTTCGGCTAAAGCTAACGGTATGTTTTTTTTGTTGTGGCAATAATTTGAATTTTTATTTTTATTTTCACCACTATACTATTTTTAGATGTTCAAGTTATCTATGAGGAATCAAAATCCATGTTGAATAGTGGAAATGGCGATACTTCAGCTATTTCGGAACCAGCATCTCAAATATCGTTTGATAATAACGATACAATAAACTATGAAGAACAATTACAAAAACAAAAAGATCTAGAAGCTTGTTTTGGTTTCAAGGTTTGTTTGTTTTTTTGGTTATAATATCCCATCAATTTTTTTTTAATTAAAAAAACCGTTGCATTTTCTAATCTTTAGGATGAAGACGATGAAGATGAGATTATTTTGTCTATGCCTGCCGTTCATGGACAATAAATATGATGAAAAATGATTATGATTATTCGATTTATATACAATTCATCATTATCATTTATATATCTTTTGGATTATAGAATATTTTTTTTCTTCTATCATTTGAGAGAGAGAGAAAATGCATACATCTAATTTTTTTTTGTCAAATATTGTAAAAGCTAATTCATTTATTTTATATAAATGAAATATATATAAAATATACATGTCAGTTTCACATATATATGCTTAAAAAAAAATTATAATTGTTTATCATTGTGTATCATTCATTGATGAAACACCAAAACATCATTCACCAAACGACAACAACAACAATGATTTGCTTCGTTTCAATTACACAAATGAATGATCCAAAATCATTTCAAATCATCAAAAAAAAAAAAAACCTCAATCACTTGATTATATTTCAAGCACACACATTCACATATACTCATTAAACTCATTATTGATAATCCAAAATCCATTATTCAAAGAAAAAAAAAAAACAAATCAATTCGAAATACAAGTTTTTTTTCATCTCATTAAGAAAAAAAAATGAAATAAAAAATTTTTCGAAATTTTTTTTCTAGTTTTTTTTTCATCTGGTCGATGATGATGATGATGATGATGATGGTTTTGGATACGTATACGTTTATGAATGAAGAAAAACAACGAAAATTTTTTTTTTGTATATATAGAAAATGGAATTCATTCATAATGTGTCAATCATAATTATATAACACAAACCATTTGGTTCGAATCATCATTTGCTATGGAATCAACATTTTTTGTTTTGTTTTTCGTTGCTCGAACAGAGAAAATGTTTCAACTGTATAAATGATGATGATCTGACAGTTTTTTTTCTGTCGAATGAAGAGAATTGTTTCACAAAACATTTTATTTTTGCAAATGAATGCAAGTGGAAAATGGTGTAGGAAAAAAAAATATGATTAGATTATTCTGGCTTTTGTGGGTATCCATTAAACATTATATATGATGATCCGTATTATGATTTTCAACAACAAAAAAAAATTCCAAATGGAATCTATTAATATGATTAAGCCTTGAGGCATAATCATAACCGAAATAATACTCATATATACACATTCACACACAATAGGATTCATTTCACCATGATACATGATGTGGAACAACAACAACAACAACAGCAGCAGAAAAAAACGTGCCTTTTGTTGTTAAATATAATAATTGTCGGAGTAAAGTGATAATAACTGATGACGATGATGACGAAAAAAAAACCACAACATATATATCAATGATTAATGGGAAAATTAGGGATCATAGAATCTGTCAAAAATGTCATTTATCTATATCTATACACAAAGAATATTCTATGGTGTGACATATTTTTATAATATATAAATGAATATATGACTGATATCTTAATTTCATAATAATAATAGCTGGCTTGTTGGCTGTTTTTCGCATCATTCAGTTTGACATATGAAAACCTGTTTCGATTGAAAACTAAAAACACATGACTATTGGGACTATGCCAAACAAACATTATCATATGGGTTGTGGGCTTTTACATTGACAAGTGACTTTCTTTCTTTCTTTCTTTCTATTTTTCTTCCATCATTGAAACAAAATCGTTTGACAGATTTTTTTTTTCTTATACCAAGAAAAGAAAAGAATCCAGAACGTTTATTTTTTGCACAATGAATATCATATGTTGTTGTTGTTGTTGTTGTTGTTTTTTTCAAAGAAATTTTGAAAAAATTTTTTTTTTTTTGTGAAAATCAAAAATGTAATACACACACACACGTCACGATCCAATTGGGAATTAAAAGTTCGTGCATCTATGACCATCACCACTATTTTATCCACTTTGAATTCTCGATTCTCTTTCATGATCATCATGATCATCATCATCGACATCGTCGACATTTGTAAAAAATTCTTTGAAAAAGAAATCAAAAGAAATTCTCCAATTCTTGCAAAGCATAAGTTTTTTTGATTCTCATTTTTTTTTTGTATTTATTATTCCAATGTATGAATCAATGGATTATGCTGCAGAGAAAAAGAATGGCAAGTTTACTTTACTATTCTACAGAATAAAAACAACAAAAACAAATATCAACTGAATGAATCTAGATTTATATCCATGTTATGTTAGGTAATGTCAACTTTGTTATTTTTTTTTCATTCCCATTGATCATCCTTTCATTTTATTTCATTTGAATTGAATTGAAATTCATTCGTTTGTTTGTTTATTGTATGCAAAATCATCATATCGATGGGCGGAGAGAGAGAAAGTGTGTGTGTACACATTACAGAATTTGATTTAGTTTTTTTTTATTTGGCCATAAAAAAATGAGGCTTTCAAAAGCTTGATATGTGGATGGATTCTTTGTTTTCAATTTTCAATATATCCAAAGTCTGTCTATCTGTGTGTGTGTATTGTGTATTTTCGAACAATTCTTGTTCATACAAGGCGTCCATTAGTTTGTATCTCTATCTATCTATATAATGGATACCCGAACCAATAGTACACAAGCTTTCACTGATAATAATGATGATGATGATGATGAAAAAAATCTGGTGAAGAAAAAAAGAAAAGAAAAATTCCCTTGGAACAACAACGACAAATAAAACGGGCTGTTCTCTATTGGTTCTAGGTTCTTTTGTAGCTTCTATTTTTGAATGAATTTTCTCTCATATTTTATGTTCGATATAGTAGACTTTTCAAGATGAACAACAATTGAATGATGATGATGACGTTTCCCGAGAATAAAAATAGTAAAACCAATCGGAAATCGAATCTATAATGAATACAACAGAATAAAAGGAACAGGAGAAAGAAAAAGAATAATGATGCTGGTGATGATGAAAATTCCAATGAATCATGTACATTGGATTAATGTTTTTCATTTTCATTTTTTTGTTTGTTTGTTTTTTCTGGTCGTTTATCATTGGACCATGAAAAACACACACACACACACACATAGAAGATCATTGAATCGAAAGAAAAAATGGAATCAAGAATTACATTCAATGCATTACATTCAAGAATTTTTTTCTTGTCCAAAAGAAATCTGTAAAGAATCTTGATGATAATAATAATAATAATAATAATACGCACGATTGAAGAATAAAAATTTGTGATCGAATTCAATTCAATCGAATCGAATCAAATCGTGAAAGAAAAACAAATCAAGCTTTACAATATTCTTGCCTGTGTGTGTATTGAGAATTTCACAATAAATTCTCATTTCATCCAATTAAATGCAATATTCTCTATTCTGGGCGTTGTTATTGTTTTACTTTCATTTTGTGTTTCTACAAAAGAATCGTATTGTTTTACACACCAACACACACACACACACACATGCCAACTTTTATTATTCTTGATGATGATGATTGTGGTTGTGGGCATGTGTATATATTTTATGTAATTGGTTTTTTTTGTTATCGTTGTCGTTTTTTTTTCCAAGTTTTTTTTTGTGTTTTGGTTGGTTTTCTATTGTAATATACAAAATAAATGTAGTTTTGGTTCACACCCATAGACACGGACAAATTTAACATACAGGATAGTTATTGAAGGCGGAACTATAATAATTTTTTTTTTTGTTTAGATTTTACTTTTGTTATATTTTTGTTATGCGCAAATAGACGCAGAGAGAGAGAGAGAGAGAGAGAGAGAGTGAGAACAAAAGCCACCCACAGATCTATTCAATGAAGAATCAACATTTTTTTTGTTGTTGTTGTTGTTGTTGTTGTTGTTGTGATGATGGGCTTTTACACAATTGCGCACAATGAGCTTTTCATTTTCATTTTCATTTGTTTGTTGTTTTGTTCATATATCTAGAATTTTTTGTTTCTGATAAATCAGAATCATCAAAGAATTGTGTGAAAAGATTCTTCATATATCCTGAAACAAAAAATAAAATGAAATTCATTTGGAATCTGAATCCTGTATAATACTGACCAGAATTTGTTTTTTTATGTGTGTGTGTGTGTGTATGTGGCCACCAGTCGATTTTGAATATTCCCGAATTATATAAAAAACTAACAAACACGGTATGTTGATGTTTTGCTATCTGTTTTTTTTTAAATTACTACTACAAACACTAAATTAACGTTTTCATGTGTGTGTGTGTGTGTGTTTTATCATCATGAATAATTAATAATCAAACAATGTAAATTTATCATTTTGATGAGAATTAACAAGATTTCAATTTCAATTTTGTTTTTCATCGTGAATGAAATTAATCTCATTTTTTTACATAATATTCTCGTGTATAAAACAGAATGAATACAGAATGAATCGAATTGTATTATTCTCGATGATTAATTTTTAATTATTCTTGATTCTCATTCTGTTCTTGGTTTTTGTTGTTGTTGTTGTTGTTGTTGTTGAAGAATTGTAATTAATTTACATTTTACAATGCAGTAGTTAATTTGAAAAAAGCAAATTTTTTTTTTTCATTTTACATGTTTTGTAATAGTTTGAGATTCTGTCTGATCGAATAATGGCAACAATGGTATATAAATACACAAAATCTGTCCATATGGATAAAAAAAACAACAGACTAGACGATTATTAATCGTTGTTATGTCTGTCTGGATTTTTTTTGTTTATCTTGAATTTCCGAATGGGTTAGAATCTGAATTTCGAATGAATCTTTTTGATCATGATGATGATAATGATCAACACAGATGGACCACATAAACAGATGCTGAACAAAGAGAAAAAAGTCAAAGAGCAAATTGGTTTGCATTTGTGGATGCTAAATTTTTAATATTATTATGTTATGTGATATTATAGTTGTTGTTTAGCTCAAACAAACAAACAAACAAAAACAAAACAACAGTAGTTACCAATTTAGATTGAAAATTGCGTATCGAATCATGTTGATTGATGATGATTGTTGTTGACGATGAAGGTCGATTTCTAACCAGAAAACAAAAATATGTAGAAAACACACAGAGAGAGAGAGAGTGAGAAATAAGAAAAATTGAAAATTTGAACCAATATAATCGAAGAAAATGATTTTCTTTCCATTCTTCACTGTGTGTGTGTGTGTGTTGAAAAATTACCGATTGAAACAGCAACAAAAAAAATATCAAATAAATTGTCGAAAGAAGAAAAAAAATGATTTTGAAAAACACACACACACACACACACAGAAAAATCATATCCTAGGCTATGATTACGCCTGACCAATTCGGGCCATATGACACACACACACACACACACCAAACAAACCAAATCTAACCGAGTGTTCCACTTATGATGATTATGGTGATGGTGATGTTATTATCGGTTGCGGTATTGGTCTTTGGTCCATGATCCAAAAAAAACAAAAAGTCTCAACAGCAGCAGCAACAACAACAACAACAAAAACATTCAATTGAAACGAATTGTTTTTTTTTCGTTATTCGATTCAATGATCAATTTTTTTCAGTTTTTTTCGTTCAAAAGTTGCCCATTTCTTTTTTTTTGTTGTTTTGTGGATTTTCACTACATACACACACACACACACCAATCTATTGATGGTGAAATGTTTTTCTGTAAATACACAGAAAAAATAATAATTACCATAAAATTATCATTAATAATCGATGGAAATATATCATTTTCTTTTTTCTCTCGTTTTCTTTGTTGTTCATCAGTCATCAGTGTTTTTTTTCTAGTCTATAAATTGACATTGTCGATGAAATAAAAAAACAACAACAACAACAACGAAGAAAATGTCATCGAAGCGAAGAAAATCAGCACCACCAAATAAATTATGTTCACCATCATCATCAGTATCATCCGATACTACAATGACAACATCATCTATGGATAATGTTGATAATGATGTTGATGTTGATGTTGATGGTGGTAAACAACAACAGGAACAGGAAATCATTGGTCATGATATGAAATTAGATAATCAATTTCATGATATGGATATGGATCATGAAAAAATTGTTGACTTTTGTTATGATGATGATCATGATGATCATGATGAAGAAGATCTTGAATATTTAGATCTTGAAGAAGAAGATGATGATGATGACGAAGAAAAAGCTACAACGACCACCACTCAATTCAATAAAGAATCATCTACTAGTAATTTAATGGGCACTAAAAAAAATACAACCAACTCAACAACAACAACAACAACAACACCATCATCAACAACAACCAAAGCATCATCGTCGTCATCATCACCATTTGTTAATCGTGTCAAAGTTTTTGAAGAATTAATTGAAAATTGTAAATTAAATTGTATAAAAGAATCATTAATACAATCAAATGAGATCAGTAGCAATGGACAAATGGACAAAACAACCATATTGATGGCTGAAAAACGTTTGAATCAAATTATTGATCAATTATCACGTTTACGGCAACGTTTTATACAACGAAGTGAATCATCATCATCAACATCAACAACATCGTCATCGTCAACGGATCATGAGGTATGGTTGTAGAGATTTTTCTTTTTTTCCATGATTATTGTTTGCATGTGGAAAAAAAAGTTGTACACAACTTTGTGTGTGTGTGTGTGTCGGTGTGTGCATGTTTTTAAGAAATTGATTAATTAACACAATCAACAAACACCTAACACAGACATAGACACCAACTTTTCTGAAAACTTTTTCGCCTTTTGGTAGGTGACAAACTCACTTATTGTTTGTGTGAGTGTGAATGAAAAAGGAGAGCGACTTTGTAACTTTCTGAATTCTGTCAACCAAAAAAAAAAGAAAAAATTCATCAATCATCAGCTACACAAGGGGTTGTTTTTAATTAGTCATTTTTCATTTGCTTAATTTATTCTAAGAATTTTTTTGTTGTTGCACACAGATAACATGCATAATAAGAAACTTGTGAAACAAAAAAAAAAACAATCACCACCATTCTCGCTACATTTGCATTGTGGTCGTAACCGAAAACATCGATTGAATCACAATCATTTTTTTCGGGGAGAGGGTTCCATAGATCAACAACCATTGAGATTTTCCCTCTGATTATAGTTTGAATGTTGAATCGATAACTTGAAAAAAAATCAATGGAAATTGATGCAGAATGAATTGGCATGCATAAAATAAAATAATGAAAAAAAAAGATTAATCACACTCTCTCTCTATGGGTCTCTAGTCGTCATCCATCGGTTATATTGGATCACTGTATGTGACACGTGTGTGTCACACACGCATACACACACACACACACAACAAGTTCATATTTTTGGCGGTCCATACCCAAATAAAAAAAAAGACCGGAATCAAATTATTCTTTGATGAATATCTTCACCGTATTCTTTTTGTTGTTCCATTATTCCATTAAACCAGCAACAACAACAAAAAACAGCAGTGAATAAAGAAGAAAATAATAAACTTGAGTTTTAGAAATTAAGTTTTTTTATCTGAGTGTTGCTGTTGATGGACTTTTTTTCTGTTTTGTTTTGTTTCAATTTCAAACATTATTCGTCAATGAATGAATGAATGATTGTACAAATTGGATTATTGTCACATAATCTCAAATAGCAGCGACAAATATTGCCCATTTTTTTGGTATTGAAAAAAAAACTTTACAACGTTGTTCAAACAACATCATAGAATATATGCGTGTATGTCCCAAATGTGATTGTGTTATTTTTTTCTTCTTGTTTTTCATCTGATAATAAACATATTCTGTAAATGAATGACGAAGAATCGAATAGAATAGGAGAGCAGAACAGAATCTGCTCAAATGCAAATGAATTTGAAAAGATAATGTTTTTTTTTTTTTTTTTTTTGTTTTCACTTTCAACGATACATTAATTATTCTAGACTTTATTATTTGAATGAGAAGTAAAAAAAATTTTTTATTACAAAACAAGGGTGATGACAACGGTTGATATATCCAAAGCTAATTCATCATCATCATCATCATCATATTGATTCATTAGATTTCAACAGAGAAAAAAAACCAGAATCTCTTGATTCTGGGCACCATTATTCACCCTCTGAAAAAAAACTGAAGAAAGAAATGGAAAAAAATGTGAAAAAACCCTTTTAATTTAGAAAAATGTAACAGAGATTTTGATTTTGCAATTTTCTTTTCTTTTTTTTTTTGATGATTCTGCTTGATTTGAAATGGATTCTATTCCATTTTTTTGAGAAAGAAAAAAAGAAAAAAAAAGAGTAAATGTAATTATCATGGAATCATCATCATCATCATCATCATTAGATGTTCATCGGATCATCATCAATATTAAAAGCTCCAAATGAGGATCATGATGATTCAAAAAGAAAAAAAAACATTTCTCCATATTATTATCACGAGTAATAACGACAAAAAAAAATAAAATATTTTTTTTTTGTTGTCGTTGTTGTTCGGCTTGTTATTTCTGCCACGAACAACTGCTCTCTGCCGCTTTCTATATACATATTTGAACATCCGATTTGGTTGAAAACGTTCTGTTCATCAATCGGTAAACTAAAAATACAAAAAAAAATCGTAATAATAATGTGAATGTGACACGCGTTACCATTATCAAATTACTCTATTCATATAAAACTACCAATGATGATGATGATGATGATGATTACCATTACCCGTAACGGGAATAATGATAATCATCATCATCATAACAACGGTATATTACGTTTGTTGTATAATGTATGTGTATGTGTATGTGTTTTATTTTTCATAGAAAATAAATTGAATTATCCATATTTGAGTGTGTCCGTGTGTCAATTACGAATTGGATTTTTTGTTGTTGTTTTTTTCGTGTGTGTGTGTGTGTCGATCCATTCTCCATTCCATTCGGTTTTTTTTCCATTTTTTTTTTGTTCGACCACAAACTTAATAGCTTAATTTATTAACATTAAAACGAGAGAAATAAAAACGTGTCTGATCTCTTTCGCATATGTTTTTTTTTTTTTTTAGATAATTTAAATTGTCTTTTTGTTTGATTCTGTTTGTCTTTTTTTTATTTTGGTTATAGTTTTCAAAAAATCTAGATGGCTCCGCTTCCGGAACTTCATCATCATCATCATCATCATCATTGTTTTTAGATCAGAGCATTATTCAATCACAACAGCAGCAACAAAATTCAGATTCACCATCACCATCATCATCATTGCATCCAATACAATCGAATAATGCAATTTTTCATCCTTTGTTACCGCCACCACCATTGCCGCTAACATCGCAACCAGAATTGGATTCCACAGCTGCGACAACGTTGACCAATGAAACAGAAATTCTTCAACGAATCTATCGTCATTTAAATTTACAACAATATCGAAATCCAGATCCGAAAGACAAACAAACCAAAATCAAATCCATTTCACCGTCAACGTCGTCGATTGATTTCAATAACAACAACAACAACAACAATGAAACAACAATGTTACAATTATGGGAAAAATATCATCACAATCCACAATCGGATTTGATTTCAAATCCAGATGTTTTAAATTTAAAAGCCACAATTCAACAACAACATCTTCAGGATAACATTAACATTTTTGCTGCATCCAAAATTCATCATTTATCACAACAACAACAACAACATTTGACAAACACTGGTTCATTATATGAATCATTATCGGCCAATACAATTCAAACCCTTATGAATTCACGTAATAATCATCAAACGAATATGAATCGATCGATGGTGGAATCCAATAATAATCCTCATTTTCGAAACAATTCGTTGCATAATAATCAAATTCATCATCATTCATCTCCTTCTTCTGTACACCAGTATTTATCACAAACCAATCTTTTACATAGAATAAGCACAGAAAATCCATCGACATTTAATCTGGAAAATTATCTTCATGGTCGATCATCAAGTAATTTATTTTTGAACAATTTACTTCTTTCAACATCACATCAACATTTCCATCATCAATCCACATCAGATTTACATCAGAATCAAATAAAATTAGCAACGGCTGCAGCTGCTGCAGCAGCAGCGATGGCTACAACAGTAAAAAATTCAACAGATTCATCAACTGGAATTGCTCCAATCAATATGGAAGCATTGGATATTGAAAAAATGTCAAATTCAATTCTGAATCATTATAATGCTGCCATGTTGATGCCAAATTTATTGAATAATTTTACGGAATTAAAATCCAATCCTAAAATGGAAACATCATTGAAGAACCATAATAATCATCACCAACAAGAATCATTGCATATGGATCATCAACAAGAATCGACCAAAGAATCATTGATTAATCAACTGCAACAAAAAACGGAAAAAATTCTCGATAAAACTATGAATAAAAAATCAAAATCAAGAGATTCATCTTCATCATCAATTCTTTCATCGAATAATGGTAGATTTATTTCGAAAAATTCTCGTTCTTCTACAGAAAAATGGTAACTGTTATCAAATAAATTCCGGTACAATCTTAGAGGCAAATCAAATTGCACCAGAATCGATGATAATCACTCGAATGAATGGCAGTGGTGGTGGTGGTAAAATAGTCGATCATCGTCTAGTAAAAAATCTAGCCAAGAAAATCGAAACAACGTCCACAATGATAATATTCCATTTTTGTCAAGAAATCCACATGAACATGGACATATAAAACGGCCAATGAATGCATTTATGGTTTGGGCAAAAGATGAACGTCGTAAAATATTGAAAGCATGTCCTGATATGCATAATAGTAATATATCGAAAATATTGGGTGCACGTTGGAAAGCGATGACAACCATTGAGAAACAGCCATTCTATGAGGAACAATCACGTTTATCACGTGTTCATATGCAACAACATCCAGATTATAGATATCGGCCACGGCCAAAACGTACTTGTATTGTTGATGGGAAAAAATTACGTATATCCGAATATAAACAATTAATGCGATCTAGACGGCAAGAAATGCGTGCATTATGGTAAGTTTTATAATAATAAAATAAAATAAAATTTAGTTTTACATGCAAACAAAGAATGAGAAAAAAAATCGAAAAACATCAAATCAAATAAATTCAATAAATTGAAATTGATAACATAAAAACAAATCGATCAATAATGCATAGGTATCTGGATGATGATGATGATGGTATCGATATCGATCAGAAAACCATAATGATCAATTCAAAAACAAATGATTCGGCCACAAATAATGGCAAAGATAAATTGACAAAAGAAACCAACATTATGACATCATCACCAAAAATTAGCAATAGTTCAATATATAATCATTAATTTCAATCATTCAACAAAACATCATATGACATTAAAACGACGTAAAAAAAACATTATAAAAATCATCATCAAACGATTTCTGATTCATCATCAATATCTACAGTAGCGACAAATTATGATTAAATCGCCGCAACAACATGATATAAACGATACCAGAAATGACTACTACGACGATGATGATGATGATGATGATGAAGATTTAATCGAATAAAACCACACACACACACACACACAGGCATCGATTTATTACCCAAAGGTCCAAATAAACAAATTTTACGTACACACACACACGAATCATAATCAATGATTGATTCATTTTGGATTTTTCTGTCAAATTTTTTTTTTTTTTGGCTGATGATCAATTTTGATTATAAAAACCACACACACACACACACACAAGTATGAATCAATGTATCAAAAAAGAAAATTTCTGAAAATTAGATTAAAATTTTTTTTTTGAAAAATTTTCTTTCCATTTAAATTTCTCTTGATAATCATCGTCATCATCAGCAACATTTGGGAGATGAAAAATTTTGTTTGTTTGCAATTTTTTTTCCACTCTTTTTTGTTTTTGTTTGTTTGTTTTACCATTTTCTCGCAATGTTTGTTAACAACAACAACAACAACAAAAAAAATTTTCTTTCTTTCCATTTCATAGACACACACACACACATATATACCTCATTATTATTATTAAATTGATCTGGAAACATCCATTAACATGCCCATTCAAAGGCTTTTGTCTTGTACATTTGTTTGCATGTGTGTGTGTGTGTGTGTGTGTGTGTGTGTGGAAAATCCGAGTTAAAAGGTTTTTTTTCCATGACTATCCGTTGTTCCACTGGATCAATTGTGTCATTGTTTGTCAACTGTATACAACAAAATAGACACTTTTATCCCTTCCAATTTATTCTAAATGTTTGTAACAAACTGGCCAACACACACAAGCACACACAATATGAATATGAATATATTCATTGATACATTTTTATCCACTAATGCCGATTATTATTATTATATTACAATGGAAAACTTTTTTTACTCTCACCACCATACAATAAAAAACAAGAAATGGATCTGTCTCCAGAGATCAAATGAGAGAGAGAGAGAGAGGAGCAATAACCAATGGGAAAAGCAAAACGAAGAAACATAAAAATCATAAAAAACACCGTTTCCAGCGCCCTCTTTATCCACAACAACAATCCTCATCATCATCATGATCATTTACAATGTGAAAAAAATAAATTAAATTGAATCATCATCATATCAACTTTTACTTTATTAATTTTTTTTTTTTTTTGAGAAAAGATAATGGCCATCATCATCATCATCATCATGATTAAAACAAAATTATAATCTCTCTCTTTCCATCTCTTTCCACACACACAAAAATAAATCAGCTACTAATAATAACCACACATACAGAGTTCAAAGAATATTATCATCAATTATTCAAACATTTTGAATCTTACTTATACTCATCCTTCAATTCTTTTTACTCAAAATGAAATCTAAATTGATTTTTGTTTTCTCTTCCACTTTTTGTCTAAATGTTTTCTGTGTGCATCATTTTTTTTCTCATCAAAATTTCTTTACCTTTACTATTCGTGTGTGTGTGTGTTTTTGAATCCAGAATCCAGAATCCAGAAAACAAAAAACTACTACCACTACAAACAAATTGTCGTCATATATGAAAATTGACCATTTTTTTTTGTTCTTACAGTGTAATAAAAATGACCAGTTTTTTTCCTGGAAAAAAACAAAACAAAACATAAAACTTTCAAATTTTTGTGTGTGTGTAGATTTTCATTAAGTGTTTTGATGGTTGTGACAAAAATGCAACTGAAAACGTTGTGTAATTACAATGAATATATGAGATGATTGCGTGATTGACCACCATATTGTTTTTGTTGTTGTTGTTGTTGTTGTTTTTCCTATTGACCACAACCACAATGTGAAATTTATGAGCTTAATGAGCTGATAAAAATTACATTGAGTAAATAATGATGAAAAAAAAACTTTTATTTTCCTCTAATTTGACCATATAATGATTATTATCATCGTGGACTAACTCTTCTATTTTTTTTTTTGCAATTCTAGTGATGATAACGATGTAATTTCTTAATTCTTAATTCTTAAAATGATGAGCTGAATTATTCTGTATGTTTAAAGTTGACTTTTGGGACTACGGTAATTTTGTCCAGTGTTTTTTTCTTTTTCTTCTTCTGGAATTATGTGATCATGCACGATAAATCCATTTTTTTTGCTACGGCAAAGCGAAAATTCATCGGAAGCCTGGGAATCCAAAAAAAAATTGAATTTTCCACTCTTCCGTATATTCAGTAAAATTCAGAGTACCACCATTATAATAAATAAATAAAAAAAAACAAAATTTCAACCGACCACTTACCTTGATGCATCCACATGAAAAAAAATTGTATATTCCATGATTTCAGGAATATTTGAAACTCTTTGAAAATTGGTTGTTTCTCTCTCTCTCACTCTCTTTCCATCGATATAAATAAATACAGAGATAGAGAAAAGTTTCAAGTTTCAAATCCATTATTGAAACAAATAAAAAAAAAAAAATGCTGCTTGGCCATTGCATTACGTCGTATCTGTGTGTGTGTGTGTGTGTTTGTATTTGCATATTGGAATGGTCAGAAACAAACAAACAAACAAAAATTTACATTTTAAATCAAATCAAATTAAATTAAAGCAAAGATATGGTACTATCTTGCTATGATGGCACACGATCATATATCGTGTTGTATATATACAAAAATATTAAAAAAAAAAAATCTAAAAAGCAGCCACAACAACAACAAATTGACGATTTGCATTTGCATGGAATATGTGGACATGATTTTTTTTTATTTGATTTGAAAAAAAAATGAAAACAAAAATCAAGAATTGGAATCATATATGTATGTAGTTGGTTGAAATGATAATAATAAAATAAAATAAATAAATAATCAGCAAACCAGATTTTTTTTTTTTTTTTGGTCATCGTTAAAACGAACGATTGTCTAAAACCATCGAATTATAACCGTGTTTTTGTTGTTGGCCATTAATCATCACAACACACATACACACAAAACATGTTCTCATCTGAAGAAAAAATTTTTTTTTTTTATGGTCAAAGTCATCATGATCGAAATCATCATGAAGCGTCTATGCGTATCTATTATTTACCATCATCATCATCATCATCATTTGGGACAATTGAACTTTCCATCTTCTATTTTTTTTTTCTTTTAAATGACAACAACAACAACAACAACGAATGAAATCAAAGAATAATAATAACCACAAGATCTTAATTTTTTTTTTTTTTTTTTTTTTTTTTTTGGTTTTTGGTTCATAAATAATGAATATAAATATTCCATTGGGGGTATATAATAAACATATATATATGACGATGATGACTCAACTCAACTGTGCTAATACTGGAATTTTCCAACAACAGTAAAAAAAAAAAAATCATTCGATAATCGATTCAAATCAAATCAAATCAAATTGACCTTCTTGATTTCTTTTCTTTTCATATATACACATTGTGGATGTGAAATAATGGATCGATTCTTGTGTGTATCATGAAAACCGATATATGATAATGATTATTAAATAATAAATGATTATCTTCTTCTTTTTCATCTTTTTTTCTGTTTTGTTTTGTTTTTTTTTTTTCGAGAATATGAAAAAAAAACCACATACAAGCAACAGCCAACAACAACAACAACAACAACAAAAATCATGGATCCAAGCTGTGGATATATAAATAAATCATCATCATCAATTTTATTCTCTCTGTAGCCACCACCACCACCAACAACACAGACAAACAAACAAAAAAAAATCGGTCTGGTCGGAAATCATTTTGTTATTCTTGCTATAGTGACCAAGTTGGATATATGATTTTTTTTTGTCGTCGTCGTCGTCGTTGTTGTTGTTGTTGTTGTTTGTCATCATCATCATCATCATCTATACCAAAAACTAAATAATGATTTTTATGAAATGTAGAATTGCTTACTTCATTGAATATTCCATTTTTTTTTTATATATATATCCGGCTAGTATTGAATTTGCTTTTTTTCTCTCTCTATCTCTCTGGTTTTCATATATTCTTATTATTTATTCTTTCATAACTAAATAAGATTTGATTTGTTTTTCTCGCTCTCTTTCTCTCTTTCCAGAAAGTGTCCCATCGACAACAGCAATAAGCATATGGATAACGATGATCATGATGATGATGATTCTAGTGGCCAAAAACAAAAATCACACCAAAATGCACTCATGTAATACACACACACACACACACACACACACACACACAGTATCTGGTCATTATTATTTCGATTTTTTTTTTGTTTTCATCATCAATTCGATATATATCCTTATGTGATTATAATTCATTTTTTTTCTTCGTTTCAGATATATTTTTTGTTATTGAACGAGAAAAAAAACAAACGATAATCGATAACTGATATGTCGTCATCATCATCATCATTATTTAATTTTCATATTAAATGAATTGGACGATGGGATTTCGGTGTGAATCATGGAATATAAACAGAATATAAAATTCTGAATGTAATGCAATATAACAACAACAACAACGACAACGAAAAGAGAGAGAGATAATCTTGGATCATAAATCAATTTTTTTTCTTTTCTTTATCAGATTCAACATTTAATAATAATAATAATAAACATTAATCCACAAGACGAGATAATAATAATTTGGATTGGATTTAGATAGATAAAAACAAACAGTTCATCATCCTTAATCAATCGATGATATAATCCTATAAAATGAAGAGAAAAAAAAATGAAACAAAACAAAACAAAAAAAACAATTGCTATATAGAGTATACAAATGGAATTTCGTGTTGTTCTGATTTTTGACAAACACAATACAATTTGAATTGAATGACTATTTCTTTGAAAATATTTTTTAAGAGAGTCGCATAAATGGGGAGATTTTCGATTATCATCAATGAATGAGTGTGAGCAATAAGGAAATTCTGGTTAAGAAAAGAATTTTTTTTCTTCTTTGTTTCTTTATCGATAAATGTTGTTGTTGTTGGACCATTGTTAATAAATGTTGCAAAAGTGTTGTTGTTATTGTTGAGGATATTTTTGGTATTATGATGATGATGAATTGTGAATTTTGGAAATTATCTAATGAAAATTTGTTCATGATTACGTAATAGAAATTCTGTAAAACTATTTATTGCCGTAATAGAATCCAATGATGAATCCAATGTTTGATTTGTCTTGTTTGACCACAAAAGATTTGGCCCAAATACAATGGCCAAATTTGATGCAGTCATTTTATTGAATTCTGAATGATCCATTACTTTGACTAAAAATTCAATGATATATTTGAGTAGCTGTAACATAAATCAAATAGAATATAATCAATTAATCGGATATCAAAATTTAGAAATAAATGAATAACCTACTTGATAATTTGGTTCTGGCAGACGATTGAGGACTAGATTCTTTGCAAATGATAATTTTTCTTGCCGCTGTTCAGGTGATGGTCCACCAGATATTTGTTGGAAATTAATCACATCTTCATACAATTGAAATGTTAAAAGTGGTTCAGGTAATTCGCGTAAAAATGATTTAACAATAACGGCAGCAACATGTACAGTTGATTCTAGCGACATCTCGTTGTTTGTAATCAAATTTTCGAAATTTACATTTTCACCCAAATTGAATGATTGTTGAACATTTTTTACGATATTAACTTTGGCTGAACGTCGAAACACGCCTTCTACATCCAATGATGAATCTTGTTCCAAAAATTTAACACAAGTTTTAATTGTTCTTGGTATTGGATCACCACCATTCTGTTCAATTAGACTTTTTATGTCAAATAACAAAAACAAATCAATTAACATGGAACTTAATCATGAAAAAATGGTTCATCATCACTTACACATCAAGTGCTACACGAAATTGTTGAGTATTTGGATACGCAGAACTGGAACGATTCAATGAATTATTACTGGCACTACTTTTAAATCGGCCAAATACACGAGATTTGAGCTGTTTTTTATCATGACTGTTTGAATGATCATCATCATAATTAGAAAAAAGAAAATAATGAAAAAAAACCATTAGACTTACTCAAGAACTGATTGAGGAATATGAATACGTTCTAAATGTAGATGAGCACGTAATTCATCAAGATGATTGATATAATGAAGTTTTCTACCAAATTTTGCCGATAAAAATGGCCGAAACAATTGCAAAACAATCCGTATGAAAGATGTAGGATGAACGATGAACAATTCTTTCAAATTTTTTTTATATTTACGATCAAAAGCACGATATGCTTGCCAAAGCCAACCAAATGATGGTTTATTATCACTTGTTAATCCTTGATGAAAATAAACCAATGCATAATCATTTTCAACGTATCGATCCAGTGTACGTAAAAGATATCTGTGTAAAAACAGAAAAACAATTCAGTCATAATCGACAAATGAAAAAAAAATTTTTCATAAAACTAAAAATATCATCAATTAATCAAATTGTTTACCATAATTATCTTCATCATCATCATTATAATTATCGCTATAAAAAAAATTAAGTCTCTCTCTCTCACTCTCACACAATATTTCGATCTAAAATCATCATCATCATCATCATTAAATCATCAAATTGTGTGATCTCGTTAAAGAAAAAACAAATGAATTGAATTTAAAACAGAAACAAAAATTCAGATGAAATCATTCAGGTGAAATCTGTGAATTGATTGAAAAAAAAAAAAAAGTGAAATGTGACATCCAAATGATGATCATCATCGAAAAAAAGGGTTTTCGATTGTCATTGTGCGTGTGTTTATGGGCGCAATCTCATGTGTGTGTGTTTGGTATGTTTGAATTGTGCACGGGTCAATGAAGCGTTGAAAGTGGATCAAATTGCAAAAAAAGACTTATAAACAACAACAAAGAATGATCATCATAATCAGTAAAAAAAGAAGAAGAAGAAGAAAGAAAGCAGAAAAAACAAGAAAAAGCAAAATTGTCAACAATTTCTAAACATGAATATGTCTGCCTGCCTGTGTGTGTGTGTGTGTATGTAACGTTATACTCATCGGTAAACTAGGACAACATTTATTATGAACTTAGAGAAAAGATTCATTCATTCATTTCATTTCATTTGTTCAAAAGTTTTGATGAACAAACGAAATGAATGATGAACGAATATAACGTTCATCTTCATTGGACATGATGATGATGATGAAAAAAAATCACCATCATCATCAACAACAACAACAACAACAGCAGAAAAAAATGTCATCTACAATTGGCTTTATCTTCATTTACGCCCCCTTTTTTTATCTCAATCAAATCACATAATGAATAGTCAAGAAAATTTTTTTTCATTTTCAAAATTGTTGATATATCAACTACTACTACAAGCAACAAGATTATATATTTGAAGGTAAAATATTAAACCTAGACCTAAATGAGCACCTAAATTGGGATATAAAATGCAAAAAAAAAAAAAAAGAAAATCTCCCCACAGAAAAAAAATACAAGTGAATTGAAAACAAAACAAAAAAAAATTCATATATTATGTATGTATGCATGTGTGGATCTGATCTGATTGTTGTTGTTGTTGTTGTCTAAAAATAAACAGTTTGTTATTATTGTGATTTTGATGATGATGATGATGGGTGATCACCATCATCATCATCATAATAATCATGGTAATGGCAATAAAATTAGTCAATAAAGCACTCATACACACACATAGACATGATAATGCGACAATGTAACAATGAACCAAAAAAAAAAGAAAAAAAAATTGCTAACCTAGAATGATAATGATGATCATCATTATATATATGGATATATATTTCACATTTCAAAAGATAATAGTAAACATTTACATTTTCAATCAAATGGTTAGTATATGAAACTATCAATGTCGATGAGTATATTTTCGGACAAAATTGCTCGAAAATAGTTTTTTTTTTTAAAAAGATTGATTATTCCATCACAAAAAAAAAAAAAAAAAATTTGACATGCAAAGATCAATTTTTTTCAGTATAATTCTATTGTTTTTGTTTTTTGTTGTTGTTGTTGCTACTGTTGTGGAAATGTTTTAGGCCAAGATATAATCTATAACAGATCGATGATCATCATCATCATAATTAAGCTTCTTGATGATAGCCTCAAACAATCCATCATATTTCTCATAATAATTATATGTGAATGTGTGTCCATTTGATTTTCTTTTATTCAGAGAAGAAAAAAAAATTGAAAACACAACACACACACACAAAAATTTGTGTTAATTGAAAAATTTTTGAACAATAACTAAAAGATCTGATGACTTTACTATCTTCATCATCATCAGATCATTGAAGTATTTCAAACGAAAAAAAAAAATAAAACTTCTGTGGGCCAAAACTTTTTTGATTGTCCGACAAACACACACGCACACATAATCGATTTGATTTATGGAACATGTATGTATATACAATATATATTTGTAAATCTGATTGCAACGAAAATTGTATTGTCTCGTAATCGTTTTGATCATTTATCGATAGTATTGAAAGCACACACACACACACACATAAATTCATCTTCACCATAATCATCACGATGGATGATGATCATTGATCAAAATGAAAAATAACGAGGAAAAGACACATTTTTTTGGGATGATGATTATGAATGTACAGAAGACAAGAAGGAAAATTTTCGCTTTCAAATACGGCGGAAATTTTCAAACAAAAAACAAAATGAAAATGTTCGTGTATTATTATTATTTGTTGTGGTGTTTGTCAGTAAAATATATGAATATATGAGACATACCTGAGAAATTTTCCATAGTTAAATGTCTTATTTGATGGTAAACGACAAGCATAAATGGTTATAATTTTTCTTGCAAATTTATCATCACCAGCGACGCCAACAATACCATGTTTAGTAATGTCATCGAAATTTTCATCACAATCACCACCGGACAATGCTAAATCTAATGCTGGATCCAATGGTGGTAATGATGTATATTGTTCACGTAATGCTTCCTCAAAATTTTCCTCCAATAATTCATCCGGTGAATGAAGATAGATTGATGAAACATCAATTGGTATGATTGGTGTTGATGACATTGGTGATGATGGATTTGTATTATGATTATTATTACTGTTTAAACATTGAAGATGTGTTGGTCTTGTTGCTTGTATGGTCGATTGATTTTGTATCGATTGGTCGCCATTATCATCTCCATTGTGGTAATTATTATTCTCATTCAATTGTTGTTGCTGTTGTTGTTGTTGTTGTTGATGATGATCATCATCATTTATGTGATTGAGACCATTGAAATCTATTGTTGTTTGTGATTTATTTTGTTTGAGGAAGCCATTTGAAATGGAAAATTGAGATTTATTATCACTATTATGATTCGAATCATCATCACGGATTTTATCACAATAAAGATGATTTTCTTCATCATCATCATCATCATCATCATCAAAATGAGTTGTTGAATCAATACTGAACAATGGATTATCATCTAATAATATTAAAGATCCATCAACAACATCATCATCTTGTACAATATGATGATTTATACAGTTACCGGATGTTATTGTTGTTGATGATGATGATGATACAACAGGTGGTACCACACCTATACCATTAATATTCAATGGATCATTCATCTGGTTATTATTATTATTATTATTATGGTACATATAAAACGATGATTGCTGAGTTGCTGTTGTAGTTGTTGTTGTTGTTACTGTTGCTAATTCAATAGTTGCTTTAACTAATTCTGTATCATCAAATTCTAATGCTGGTTCATAATCGAGATCTTGGCCAGCTTCATTTCCTTGAAATGAATGTAGATTAGCTTCACTTTCATCATCAATTAAATCGATAACGCCACCACCAATACCATTGATTGTTGCAGATGATTGAAATTGGTGTACCACTGTTGATGATTGCACTATGTTTTTGTAAAAGAAAAACAAATAAAACAAACAGAAAAAAATGCAGGTATTAGACAAATGAAATAGGAAAAAAAAATAACCATCATATGAGCTTGTAACTTTAGGGATTATCAATAAGATGATTATGATGATGATGATGATTGTTTCACAATTACAAAATGCCTTACCCTTTGGATCGAATGTTGTTGGTGTGGCCCTTTCCATTGTTGTCATTGTTGTTGTTGTTGTTATGGTTATTTCATCGGATTTCACAAATTACAATGTTGTTGTATTTATGATGATAAAAAAAAAAGAGAAATTTTTTTTTCACTAATGTTTACCGATTGATTAAAGATGAGCCACACACACACACACACACACCAAACAAAACAAAACCAATTTAAAGTGGCAAAAATCCGATTAAGGTGAATATATAGATTTCTATAATATCTGTTTTCTATTGTTATATAAGATTTTGTTTTTTTGGAACAAATGGAGATAAAATTTTCTTCTTCATTTATCTTTTCATTCCACCAAAAAAATTAACATATTGATATGGTGTCATAATATAACGTCATGATGATAATCGTCATCACTTGTTTGGATTTATACGAAGGATGTTTTTATTTTCTTGCATAAAATGAGATCCATTTGGACGCATTGAGGTGAATTTTTGATTTATAATAGAATTATATGATACACACACACACATAAAAAGATGGATGGCTTAAATATATTCATATTTTGAAACAATTGATGATTTAAGCAAATTAGTTTCTATGATAACGATGAAAATCTTGAGCAATTCGATGTCAAACAAATTTGTCTTTACATTTAATGTTATTTAATACGATTTATATCGTATTAAATAAAAACACTTTTTTGGATTACTTATCATTCAATTGGAAAAAAAATAAAAATTCATATCGGATATCAAAGCATTACGATTATGGATTGATGATGATGATGATGATGGTGGTGGTTTGAAATGCACGATACAAATGCATAACCGAATGAATTTTAAGCTTATTTTCTTTTTGTATCTTCTTGTGGTTGATGATTATGATGATTATGATGATCATACGTTGACAAACACTAAAGATTGAAAGAAAAAAAGAAAGACAAAAAAACGAGATTAAAATTTGCAAATTTAAAAAAATTTTTTATTCAAATCGATTTTCTTCAAGCAAACAATAACAAATGAAAGAATCTTTCACATCTTTCATGATGTGTGTGATTCATGGTGATCCAAAATCATGAAAATAAAAATTGAAAATTGAAAAGTTTTTAAAAAACAAAAATACATTCGAATACAATTTTCTCGATGCCAATTGAAAATGGGTCGATATAGAAAAATTTTCTATTTCGACCTCAATAGCAATGTTGACCTATCATCATCATCATCATCAGCAGCAGCAGCGTTTTTGATTACTAAAAAAAACAATACATTGATGAGATCACATTCGATGTCATTATGCCATGAAAAGTTTGGTTTGATTGGAATTTGGAAACCAAAAAAAAAAACAAAAGAAAAATCGATAATAACAAAGTTGATATTGATCATCATGGTTCATCATCATCATGTAAAATTCATCATGCATATATAAAAATAAATCCATCACATTGAAGATTTATTTGATCAAAAAAAAATCGATTTTTTTCAACTTTAATCATCTATATATCGCGATTTGGCGATCATATATACATTTTTGAATGTTCCAACAACAACAACAACAACAACGACAACATAAACATGTGACAACTGGCAATTTCTCGGCGCAATTTCATCAATCATCGAACCATGAATATATGACCATATATGAAATGGATATTGTTTCCAATGTTTCCGCTGCTGTTGTTGTTGTTGTTGTTGTTGTTGTTACTGTGTTTATTTAGTTTTGCTGTAAAATCAAGCTTTCGGCTTTTCTTTTTCATTGCTACTATGGTGACAATTTTTTTTCCTCTCATATTAAAATTGTGTTTTCCGTTGTAATGATCGCTGTTGTTGTTGTTGCCGTTGTCACCAAGATGATTTTCAATAGAAAACCACCATCAGCAAATCATTATAACACAGGATAAAGATATAAAAAATTGGCCAATTGTGTCAATTAAACATTAACGTATTGGGCGTTTGTATTTGTATCTTCTAACAACAACAACAACAACGAAAATGGCCAACCAACCAAACCATATACCAACCAATGGATATATACATGTAATCTTCGTCATTCTACATAATGATTATTTTGATGATGATGATGATTATGATGAACCAACCAACATCATTTGTTGGGAGCCATTGAAATGTGTGTGTGTGTGTGTGTGTGTATGTGTGCATAGAATTTGAAAATGAAAAATTCAATTCAATGGACATGTAAAAAAAATAAGAAATGGCCAAATAACTCAATGGCGTACACATACATACGCACAACAGAGAGAAAGATGGAGAAATTGTCACCAAAAAAAAAAAAAAAAATCAAAACGATGATGATGAAAAACAGTTATTATTATTATAAAAAGAATGAAAAATATGAATAAACCACAACAAGCAACAACTATATACTTCTACTAGCACATGTAATGTTGGTAATGATGGAATTTTTTCGTTTGTTGTTGTTGTTGAAAAAAAAATAACTGAAACAAGATATATACGATAATGGTGATGATGATTACAATCACGATGTAAAATGCTGCTGCTACTGCTACTGGTATGATGCAAATAATGAAATGTTTCAGCTACTGGTGACAATATATAAAATATAAAGGGCGATATAAAATGAAAATTTATCACACACACACACACACACACATGCGAATATACACGAAGACAATATGTTGTCATTTCTTTTGGTGCTTGATGATGATGATGATCATCATCATCATTGTTAGATGGATTTTTTTTGAATTTGAATCTGAATTGTGTGTTGAATTGAATATATATTGAAATATCGTTCTCTCCACCAAATGTTTAGCCATTCGTAAAAAAATTTTTTTTCTTTTTCGAATGCTCAATGTATATATATTCATAATCATCATCATCATCATCATCATTAGCAATCGACAACAACAACAACAACAACAACAACGACCATTGGATGATGATGATCATTTGACAATTTTTTTTGTTGTTGTTGTTGTAAAATGAAATTTTCTTTCCATTCATTCATTCGTCTATAGTAGCAACGATTAATGTAATCTTCGTGTGTGTGTGTGTGTGTGTGTGTGTATGTCAAAAATGATGACCGATATTTAAATTTGAATTTTTTTGAACTTTGATCTCTCGTGGTGATAACAAAAAAAAAACACAATAAACTGGATTGATTGGATGAAATTCTAGCTAAAAATTATAGAAAAATGTCTCAATTCTCAATAACATCTACAGACAAACAGAGAGAAACAGACAAAAATTTTTTTTTTTTCATGTTTTGTAATACATTTTTTTCGCTATATTAAAGTCATCATTCATGATGATGAATTGAAAAATGTTTGGAGAAATAATAAAAACAAAACTAAATTGCCCATAAATAGTCATAATTTCTTGTAGAAAACAAAACAAAAAAAAAAAAAAAAATAACTTACTTTCAAATGGCCACTGTTGATGATGATGATGATGATGGTGGTGGTGGTCGGTCAAATCAAATTCGTCCAAAATGAAAACCTTGATGATGATGTTAATTTCCATGTATGTTTGTGTGTGTGTGTGTTGCAACTTTGGGCGTCAAAATTATTTATGATGATGATGATGATTAATAATTGATCTCGAAATTGGTCCAACAACAACAACAACAACAACGATGATGATGATAATCTCGGATCCAATTCGATGATGTCAATTTGGAACCAGAAACAAACAAAAAAAACAGCAACACCAAAATCACAACAAAACACAAACGTAAAATTAACTGCAAAACAGTCAACGCACAAACACACACACACACACACACACACAGACACAAGAAAAGACCATAGAAAAAAAATGTGTGATAGAAGCATACGATGGAAACGCCGAAAATGAAATATCAAAATGTGCCAAAATACACGAACCGTTTGTTGTTGTTGTTGGACGACAACGACGACAACGACGACGACGACGAAATCCACACACGGAAAAAAAAAATTTGTACATACGAACAGACGATAATAAAAATATTTAGAGAGGAATTTTTTTGGAAAAAAAATGAGAAAGATCATCATCATCATCACCAAGAAAACTTTTGGAGAGCTTTCTGTGTATTTGTAACAAAAATGATGGTGGTGAAACAGAGTGAAACAGAAAAAAAATAACAATCCAAAGAAATGCAGAGTGTGGGTGAAACACATAACGAAAAGAAAAAAAAGAGCATGAAACTTAGACAGATAGCTGTAGAGAGAGAGAGAGAGAAATATGACAATGAAACGAAATGAAACTTTTCAATATAATATCTATATAGCTAACCAGAAAATCAAAACGGAATCGGGCCATATAGCTGGGCACCAACAATGGTATCGGCATTTTTTTTTACGGTCCGTGTTGTTCTTGCATTTCGATATTTAGTATATATAGCCCGGTGTGTGTGTGTTTGATGGTTTTGTTTGGATTGAATTTGGGCGTTCATTCGTTCGCTATAGCAATATATAGATGAAATGCCGCGTGAATGAATCTGGGACAAAAAAAAAAAAAATACAAATCGCTAATTAAGTATATCGAATGTTTTCGAGAAGCGAGATTTTTGTTTTCGTTTTGGCGGTAATTTTTTTTCAAACAGAAAAAAATGGACCATGAACACAAATTGTTTGGCATCACATTGTGATCGATCGTAACAGGTGGTGACAATTTTTGTTTTTTTGATGAAACAATGAAAAACAACAAATTAAATTTCGAACCAAAACCAAACATACGAACAAACGAAATTCAAACACAAATGATGATCATATGGATGGATCGTAATTAAAAAAAAAAAAATTTTTCGAGCCACTGAGAAAATTCGAATGAAAAAGACATCAGAAAAAAACCAGAAAAAAACCGTCAACCGTCACACAATTTATTTATTTTTTTTTTTTTGTTTGCTGCAACATCACATTTTCTCAGACACACACAATGAGAATAAAAGAAAGAAAGTGAAAAAAAGTGCGAAAAAAATGCGCGTTTTTTTTCTATTGTCAACAGCAACAAAAACCAAAAAAAAAAAAAAAAATGAAAATTGAAAAAGTGAAATTTTTTTTTGCAGTAATGATGATGCCAAACATCATCATCATCATTAATGGCATTTTGGCTGTTGTCAACCAAAACTTGTTCAATCATCACCATCATTCGATTTAATTCAAGAAAAAAAAATATCCGTTAATGATAAACAGATGATGATGATGAATATATCGATGATAGATTTCCATCAACAACAACAACAACAAATCCTATTACGGAAATATCATGGATCTATATCCGTTTTTCTTTTGTTCAAAATTAGAATGATGAATAGGTGTGTGTGTGTGTGTGTAAAATGGAAAGTAAAATTTTAAAATTTGTGAAAAATAAAAAAAAATACATGAAATGAAATGAAAAGAAATGTTGAATAATGATGATGACAATTGACATTTTTTTTGTCCTATGATATCATCTTTCTGGCATTATATATCGGAAAATTTTAAATTTCCATTCATCACAATGTGGTTAGAATTTCTGCACAATTACTTTACGTGATGGATCATAATGATAATTTTGCATTGTAAATGATCGACTTTCATAAAGATTTTTCAAATGATAAATTTCCAATTGTCGTGCCTTTTAAATTAAAAATTTTTTTTAAAAATTTGAATTTTTCAAATTATTCACAAAACAGCTTACCCTTTTAGCAAATTCTGGTTCACTAATTTCAACCTTTTCAATAAAATCATCATCATCATCGCCACCCATATTGTGATCATTACGATGTGATCGATTACGTCGTAAAACAATTTCTTCATGCATCATTTGTCGTAACAATGTGAATAATAATTCGGTATTTGAACGTGAAAAATAGCGGCTAAATGTCTAGAAATTATTGATTGTAAAGAACAAAAAAAAAATCAATTAATTTTAATGCTGAGAATTTCAAACACATACCTTCATCATTGTTTTTTGTACACTATATTTTTGTGTTTCAATAAAACTATCGATAATTGTTTGAATGGCAATATTGACATCATTTTCACCGACAGCATCACGTAGATGCATACGAGCATGAGCTTCGGCACAACGAATTATACTTTCAATATGACGTACAGTAATAGGAATCGAACCGGTCAACATTGATTCACGACGTAATTCTGAATATAATCGTGTAATTTTATCTTTATCAATTTTAGCCAATCTTGGATGTATACGTTGTCTTGCATAGATAATATATTTACGTAATAAATCCTGTGGTATCAGTTCAAGATCCGATGATGTAACTTCATTCATCTGTTCTTGGCTGGTCATTTGTTCTAAATTCTCTTCAAGATTTGCTATTTGATCTTGAAGATTAGCATCTTTGATTTTTTGTCTATCTTCTTCGGTTGCATGTGGATGATGACGAATATGTGATCGTACAACGAATTTTGCCAATTGTTCATCAGCATATGGATCAACAACATCACGTACAGGACAAATAATATCAAAACGTGATATAATCGGTTCAGTTAGGTCGACATTTTGTGCAAATGTAAGGCCAACATCATAACGTCCACCATTCGGATTCGATGCTGCTATTACAGAACAACGAGCCTGTAATGAAGCAACAATGCCTGCTTTTGAAATCGAAATAGATTGTTGTTCCATAGCTTCATGTATTGAAGTTCGATCTTGATCACTCATTTTATCAAATTCATCAATTAAACAAACACCACGATCAGCCAATACCAATGCTCCAGCTTCCAGTGTCCATTCTCTTGTCAATGGACTTTTGTGTACCGAAGCAGTCAAACCAACAGCCGATGCACCTTGACCAGTAGTGAACACGGCACGTGGAGCAATTTTGGATAAATATTTCAAAAATTGTGATTTAGCCGTTCCAGGATCACCACAAAGCAATACATTTATATCGCCTCTGATTCGATGTTTATCACCAGGATTTTTCGATTCACCACCAAACAATGCCAATGCTAGGGCACGTTTTACTTTTTTATGGCCATAAATCGATGGACCCATTGATGCAATAATACGATCAGCGATTCGATAATCTTTAGACAATTTCAAAATATCTACAACATCATCATCCGTAATGGAGATGGCTGCAGCCCAATTATCTTTACGAAGAACATGATTACCAAGAATGACGGTGGAAAAAACAGGAAATCCATTTGCAATATTCAAAGATCCATCATAGGAATTGGAATAAACACCAGTCACTTCTACTTCATCACCAGGACGACATGAATCACATAGATCGCCTAAAAGAATAACATCTTTAGATCGTGGAATACGACCAGCAGAAACTTTTCCCGGTGCTTCCTGGATGGTGATTCGTTGATAATTTTGATAAATAGTTTCTTCCATATTCAATGAAAATGGACCATTACTTTGACATTCTGGACAAGAGCCAGGCCTTGTTTCGGACAATTGTGTCTGAATGAATGGTCCAAGAACATAATGACATTTAAGACAATCATATTTAGCTATAGACAATTGTGGCAGAATCGATGTAGCCGATGTGATTACACCATGTGTACGAACCAATTGATTGAGATGAAGTTGTCGTAATGAACGTATATCTTCAAGTAATGGTAAATGACTGATTCGTGCATAGATTTCTTTAGCAATTCGACTATATGCTGGATACATTTTCAACACGATATCTTTGGCAGCTGCGTTGAAAATTTCAAACATTTCAAGCGGTGCATCCGGTAAAAAATAGGCTAGAATTTGTTCTTTAGCAGCTAGAATATGATATTCCACTTCGAATGATTGGCGATTATCTTCGACCATTGATTTGATTTTATCTCGATAAATAAAACGATTACGTTCATCACAAGTGTTGATCAAAAATTCTTTGAAACGATTGAAAATTTCACGTTTCGGTGCCATTTGTACGACCCAATCACGAACAGAAAGTCCACGAGTATCTTCGAGATTTTCAATCGATTCAACCATTCTATCTTCATCTTCTAATTCGCCAAAAATTTCGGCCGTACGTCTTGAAAATCGTTTCTTTTTCTTTGCCGATTCTAGTTCAGCATCAGCCGTTTCAGTAATTTCCGATTCATCATCATAAATATCCAGACCACGTCTCATACGGCCAGCAATTCTGCCTTCAATTTTATCTCGTTGCCGTAATTCAGCTTCAGCAGCACGACGATCATCGGCCGATAATTCCGAATATGAAGCATCATCCAATTGATCACGTTCATAAACATCCAATTCAGGTCTTGGCAAATAATCACGTTCAAAATCATTGCCAAACAATTCTTCACCACTTTCTTCATCATCATCATCACCTTGATTACGAACATTTCCATCACGAACAATACGTCTTGATTGTTGTTGTTGTGAAGAATCATCTATTTCAGATGTAGCATCATTGAATAATCGTTCGACTTCATCATGATATTCACCATCCATTAATTCATCTTCAGTTTGTTCTTGAAATGGACGATCTGGTGATACTAATCTATCCAGAATATTATCCGTATTTTGACTGGAAGAATCCATTATTTATGCGAATGTTGAACAAATACGAAAACAACGATTATGACGATTCAAAGTAAAATTTAAAAGGTAGAATGAGAATGCAGTATACAAACACAAGCCTTTTGTCTGTCTGTGTGGAAAAATTTGGCGCGATTTTATTTGCTCACACACAAAACAACACACAAACCTTTTAATCGATACCGTTCATATAGTATGTATGATTGAAAATTTTTTTAAATTGAAAATTTCTTGAATTTTATTTACATTTTAATCACGATTATTATTATCATGATTTCGAAACTGAAATGGCTAAAATTGGCAAAAAAAAATTATCTACAAATATTCTAATGATTTATCCATGAATTTTTACAACATGCAAAGATTTTTTATACGATTTTATCGCTGCTAATTCCAACACATTTGAAATTGTTTTTTGTAATGGAAATCGTTTTCCATCATCTCGACATATACCTGTGATGTGTTGATTAGATGAAAAAAAAATAATTTTAGAAAATAAAAAACTTTTAAAATCATTGCATCTCAAACCTTTTGTATCATCAAAATTCAGTGCAAATGTTACGATGCCACCCATTCCAGTTTTCACTACCCATTGAGCTTTTGTAGCGACGGATAATTCATTCTCATATGAAACCCAATCAAAACCATTGTATGCATATGGAACTTGGCTATGGAAATCAAATTGTTTAACTGTTCCAGGTAGCCTTAAAAATTCACAAACACGTGTATAATTTAATTTTCCTTTTCCGATTCCAGGTCCACTAGCCGGTAAATTGATCATATTCTGTACGATAGGAACCACTAGATTATAAGTTCGTGCATATGTCGGTACACCAATCATTATTTTTCGTAATGGCATTCCACTATTTGCCCAATATGTTGCTGTCCATGCCTGGATATTTGTATATAAAAAAAGACTATGAACAAACATAATTTCATTTCATCAACAATGTAAAACATACCACATTCAACGTGCTGAAATATGCATTATCCGTAGATCGTGGATATAATGGAGCATGATGACCAGTATATGGTTTATCTGGTCGATAATAATGAAAATCATATGACATTAAATTGACAAAATCAACAAATCTGTTTGAATCAATGAAAAAAAAAATTTGATTGATTAATGATAAATGAAAAATCATCAAACTACTTTTCAACTTACTTTTCAATTTCTGGTATTAAATACGATGTACTAGCAATCATTAATGGTGCACCAACAGCCAATGATATTAAAAATGATGATGATGATCCTCGATTATTATTATTATTAATATCATTTGGCCAAATTAATTTAGACATTTGTCGTAGTTCTTTAAGAAATTGTACCAGATTCTGTTTATCACGCGATAAACCTGGTGTACGAAACCCTGGAAATTCCCAATCAATATCGATGCCATCGAAATTAAATTCCGTACAAATATCTAATATGGATATTATGAAACGTTCACGTGTACGATTCGTACTGGTAACAATGGAAAACATTGTACCACCAAGATCACCAATAGAAAGCATCACTTTTAGTTTTGGATATTGAATTTTCATCATTGTAGCCAGTCGATAACGTTCACCATCTTCTAATGGTTTTTGTGCCACAACCAGACCATTTGTTGCAATTCTTGCATAACCAACAATTAGATGTGAACAAATATGTAATTCTAATTGATTTATTTCAATATTACCACCATCTTTACCACCATTAAGTAATAGATAACATACACGTTTAAATCTATGTGCAACAAGAATTTTTCCATCAATACGATTATTATCATCTTTGATTTGATGGAATAATTCTTCATCAATTTCTTCTTCATCACCATCATCATCATCATCATCATCATTATCATTATTTCGATGATTTTCAACATTTTCATGTTTCTTGTCAATAATCGATTTTGGTTTGTTTAAATTATGATTTTTTAAATTATCCACTACGACAGGATTCACTTGATAATTATCAATTTTGCTGGCATTAATTACTTTTAAAATATGCCACAAAAATTCTTTGGGAATTTCATCCACATGATTCCATGTTTGTGTTGGTGCCATTGCAGTCGTAGTCGTAGTTGTTGTTGATGGTGGTGACGCAGAAAAAAATATCGGTGACATTGTTGTAGTCGTTGATGAGGATCCTAATGTAGCAAGAAAATTATTAAAATTTATGAAAAAATCTGAATTTATTGGAAACGTAAGTTGAGTTGTCGCCACAGTCGTCGAGATTGTTGTTTCATCATCAATATCTTGTTCAGTTGTCATTTCATTCGATTCTAGTGTTGTCGTTGTCGTTGTCGTTGCTGTTGTTGTTTCTAATTCTGATATTTCCGTTGTGGTCAGTTCAAGATCAGCAACATCATTATCATCATCACCTTCTTTTTCTTCATTAACAGGTAAAGTTGTTGTTGATTCATCAATATCATCATCAGGTGATGTAGTCGTTGTGGACAGATCAACTGGTGATTCAATATTAATGGCTGGAATAACGATTCCTTTTGATATACGAAAACTGGGCGATTTTGGATGACAACGACTCCAACCATTCTTTTTGGACCAAATTTCACCAAATTTTTTATTAGTTTTAATTTTATTCAATGTTACATTACAAAAATTTGCCTCAAATTCATCAATATCGGATGAAATACTTATTTTTTTCGGCGGTAAACTTATGATTTTTGTTTTTGTTTTTGTCTTCTTCACTTGTTTCTTTTTTGTTGTTGATTTTTTTATGTTTTTTCGAGGTTTTTCTTCTTTTTTAACGATATCTTGTTTGTCATCATCATCGTCATCATCATTGTCGTCATCTGGAAGTATGGGAATTTTTGGTGTTGCAAATCGAAAATTATCTTTATGCTGATCAGTAGTACGACGCCATGATTGTTGATATGGTAATGGTTTCTGTTGACGATTCTGTGTTGATGATGATGTTGACAATTTACGGCCATTGTTATTGTTGTTGTTTTTGTAGTGGATTTTCTTGGATTCAATTTTCTTTTTATTAATTCCGGGTTTTCTATCATTATGAACTGGATTTGAATTTCTTCGTAGAAATGGAAATGCATTTTTAAATTTTTCTTTCAATTTTGTTTGCAATGGACTCAGATCTAAACGAATCATTCTTTTTGAAATACGATGATGATGTCGAAACATTTGAATTTTATTCTTCGTTGCTGTGAACATTCTTTTTGGTGATATTCGATCTCGTATACTCGATTTGACAGTATCACTTTCATTTTCTAATTCATCATAATCTTCTTCTGGTTCATCATCACCGGTGGTTTCTTCTGCTTCATTTCCATCATCAACATAATCTACTTCTTCATAAAGGTCACTATTTTTTCTTTTTTCATCCATTTCTTCATCATCATGATCATCATATTCTTCTTCAGGTTCATCATCTTGAATGGTGGACGGTTGTTTTGATGATGATTTTTTCATTGTTTTTGTATCATCATCATCATCATGGCTCTCTATATGATCATATTTCAAATTTTCACCATCAATATCATATGGTTGTTGCTGTTCATATTGAATTATTTGTCCATCGATTTGACCAGGTGGATTTGATGATGAAACTTCATAATATTTGATATTCGGATTATTTGGATCTATAATTGGTGTATATTGTTGTTGCTGTTGTTGCAAATATTGATATTGTTGCTGCATTGGTTGAGAATTTTGCAATAACAATGATAACGGTATTTGTTGATTTGATTGTGGCATTGACATCGATGACGGCGCTGATGATCGTAACAATGTTGTCAATGAATTCAAAATATTCATCTGATCAATAGGTGACGATAGTGGCGATGGCGCTGTTGTTTGTGTGATTGAATTCGATTGTTGTTGTGATGGTTGTGTTTGACCACCACCACCACTTACTTGAGCAAGTAATTGAACAATTCTTGGATCAAGATTAGCCAATAATTGTAGACTATTCGTTATTGAATTACCATTATTTGATGATTGATCCATAATCATTGATGATGATGATGTTGATGGTGTCGAAAATTGATCTGTCGATGATGGCGATTGAGGAATCGATTGCAATGAATTTGCTGATTGAGCAGTAGTAGGCATCATCTGTTGGAAACCTCTACGTAATTTATCATTATTTAGATTTGGTATTGCTTTATCCAGAAATGATCGCCACATTGTCAATGTGATTCCTTGCATAAATAATAATGATACAAGCATTGGCATTGAGCCCGTTAACAATCCTAGGACCATTATTTATAGCACTTTTTTTAATATTTATATTTTCAAAACAAAATAACGAATTTAACATTGAAACAAAAAAATTATGGCTACTTTTTTTAAAAAAAATGACACTATAAATATTACAATTACAATAATAACATGATCAACACACCCAATTTGATGTTGTTGTCGTTGTTGTGTTTGTTATTCATCAAAATTATCATATCGATGATGGTTGATGTTAGTTCGAACCACAGTTTCAATTGAACTGAATCAATCGGCCAATAATTCCCATCGATGACAGAAACAGAAAAAAAAAAACCAATTTGGTGAACCAGTTTCTCACACATTGTGTATTTTTTAATGATTTTTTTTGTTGTTGTTAAAAGGTAAACCCCACACCAAACAACAGGTGATTGAAATGATTCGAATGAAAACGGTATTTTTTTCATGATTATTACTAATGATGATTGCGTGATTAACCAATATATATTGGATCATAACTTTTTCGTTTTTTTTGCTGTCAATTGTGTCTGAATTTTTCATGTTGAACATTTTGGATTTTTTTTTTCACTACTCGATTTAACACGATTCGATTCATTGATTTATCCCACGCATATATAGTAGTATATAGGGTAATTAAAATTATATAACGACGACGACGACGACGATGATGATGATCATAATGATTATCATAATCATAATTAATTATTAGTGAAAAATTTGATTTGAAAGTGATCTTCTTAAAAAATAAATCATCAAATTATCTGTTTTTGCCAATTCAGTGGATGACCTATCTTCGTGTGATCAAATTGATAAATTTGTAAATGATTTTATTAGTTCTATTCAACAAATTTGTGACATTAGTCTTCCTTTGTTAAAACATGGACAAAAAACCAAAAAACTATCAAACGAAATGTTGGCCAAACTTAGATTACTAAAAAATTTGAGAAGAAGATATCAAAGGCAACGTTGTATGTCCAATAGATTATTGTGGCGAGATCCACCACCATCATCATCAAAGAATTTTTTTGGGGAAATTTTTCCCTAATTTACCTAATGATTTGGATTCTCCCATACATAACTGGTACCGGTCAACAAGCATAATCGATAATGACCCAGAAATTAGTATCAGAGAAGTAAATTATGCTATTAATATTGAAAATGATGCTAAAAGCCCTGGTTGGGATTCCATTACAGCTAATATCATCAAAAATATCCATCTTCTTTATCCCACATTTTTCAATTCGTTATTTAACAAATGTCTTTTATATGGATATTTTCCTAAATGTTGGAAGAAATCAATTGTTAAGTTAATTCCTAAATCTAATGGTAATACATATCGTTCCTATCGTCCAATTTCCTTACTTCCGGTCATGGGGAAAATTTTCGAAGGTATTATTGCTCGTCGCTTACAATTTTTCCTTCTTTCTAATAAAAAATTATCTGGCAACCAATTCGGTTTCATCCCGCAGAAATCTACTGAACAAGCATTATATCGAATTAGCAATAAAATCAAAGCCATTTTTGAAAAGAAAAGTTTTGCTATTCTGGTTTCTTTGGATATTACGGGTGCGTTCGACTCGGCTCGTTTTGATCTCATTTTGGAGCAATTAAGACATTTTAACATTCCACCTAATTTGTATGCCATCTTATTCAATTACTTTTGTGACAGATGGGTGGAATTACCCCTTATTGGAACATCGGCCGTGAAACAATGCTCTGGTGGTTGCCCGCAGGGTGGGAAAATTTCCCCGTTATTGTGGAATATATTAATTGACAAATTGTTAAAATTGCCTTTGCCACACAATTGTCATCTACAAGCCTATGCGGATGATTGTCTGATTTTTTGTGAACATCCGAACGCTGATAATTGTACTTGGCTTGTTAATAATTGTTTAGAGATTATCTATGAATGGGGATTAGCCCATGGACTAACTTTTAACCCTTCCAAATCGGAAGCTATGATTATTACCAAAAAGAGAAAATTTAACATTCCATCGATATTTTTAAACGACCAGGCTATAGGACTTGTTCCTTATATCAAAATACTTGGCTTAGTCGTTGATTCGAAACTCTCTTGGAGCCATCATATCGATTATATTTCTTCCAAAGCTACTAAGATTTTCAATATTATTAAAAGAAGATTCGGTTCACTTTGGGGCTTGTCTTTTGATGTACTCCGCACCATATATTTACAGGCTATTGAACCGATGATCCTATATGCTTGTCCGGTTTGGCATAAACATCACAAAATGAAACGATTATTGAGAATACAAAGGTCATTCGCAATTGGCATGATCCGTGCCTTTATTTATTAAATGGGAAACACAGTTGAATATTTTGAAAAATTTTTTTTTTTTGCAAATTCTCAAAAGATGAGACACGATGATTTGAAAAATTGTTCGTTTTCGAAAAAGTTTCCCTGTAAAAAAAATCAACAAAATACTTTCTGGAAATTTTCTATTTTTTTATTTATTTATTTTGATTCATTCGATTCGCCAATGTTTTTTTTGTGACCGTGTCCTTTTTTCTTAGTGTCGAATTCTGGAAATTTTTTCTAAATTTATTTTGATTCATTCGATTCGCCAAAAAATTCAAAAAAAAAAAAAAAAAAAAATCTTTTGGTTGTTCAAACTCTTATTCAAAGGTTGGGTTATTTATTTATTCATCCTACATCATAATCATCATCATTGGTTTTAATTCTTTGATTCTTTTCTTTGTTTGTTTTCAGTTTTTTTTTATTAATTATATGCAAAAGAAATTTTTTTTTTTTTTGTTGTCTTTGATTCAAAACTAGTGATTAAATGTTTTCATTCATTCAGATGAGAATTGGTCATTCTTTTTGCTGTTGAATAAAAAATAATTCTTCTGTATTTAAAAATAATGAGCACTGTGGCTAAAGCTTGGAAGGTTTGTCGTTTTTTTTTGTTTCATACACCATACAAACAGACAAAAGAATTGAATTTTTTTTTTTTTACTTTGATTCAATCAATAGGTTATCAAACCTCATGTGCCTTTGATTCATTTTAAAAAAGGAGGTAAGATGAATATATAAATTTTAAAATGAATGATGAATTAAAATTGATTTTTTTTTGTTGAATTGGACAAACAAACAAAACTAGGTCATCCAACAAATCAAACACATGGATCGATGGCAGCCGTATCGGCAACGACGACGACAACAACAACAAAAACAACAACCACGACAATGTCATTGATGGATGATACACAATTACCGGCACGATTTCAACGTAAACCAATCAGTGAATTGGAAATGCAGCTGATTGAGGTTAGAATTTTGTTTGTTTTGATGATTGTTTAAATCCATTTTTTTTTCTTTCAGACCGGTGGTGTACCATTATGATGACTATGATGTAATCGAATCGAATTCATTGCGTAGAATGTTTGCCTTTTTTTTGTCTAGGAAAAGAAATGAAAAAATAGAAATTATTTAAATTTGGAAAAAAAATATTATTTTATCTGCTAAATGAATTAATGATATAAAAATTTTCAAATAAAAATAATAAATAAATCTCTTTCGTATCAATAAATAGAAAAAAAGAATCAAAGAATATAGATTCAAATATTCAATGTCCCAATAGAAGCCATTTGAAATCCTTTGGCCACATGTGCTGGATATGTAGCAACAATTTTGATTGGAAAATCCCATGTCATTACTTGTACTTGTAATTGTCTTGGTGCCAATGTTTGTCGGCCATCTTCAGTTTCTGTACATAAATTAATCGATGTATTTGTTGATTTTTGATTATTATTTTCAATTACAAAACTAAAATGTAAATTCCATTTTAAGGAAATTAAATCATTTGCAAATGATGGTGTCAATGTAAATGGTATCGGTAATATCATTGGCGAATGATTCATATTTAAACAACATTCATGAAAACGTGTATGATTTGTAAGATTAATTTTTGATTTTTTTGCCGTTGTCGATGTCGTCGTCGATGATGATGATGATGATGAATGAACCAGATAATGTTCAGAAATTTTTTCTTCACTTTGTAATATCACTGAATAACGTATACATTTAACTAGACCTTCGGTGAAATCAAACAGGCCGATAATATCTTCACCGAGACGATAAACAGTTTTAAATATGAAAAATTTGGCCACTCTACCAAACGAACTGGTAATATTAAAATTATGAGGTATACGATGTCCAACAAGATATTCAATACGATGTAATGCAATATCCAATGATGTACCACAATCTTTGGATTCATCGTCAAACGTAAGTGAAGTACTATTCGTACTGGTCAAGCTTTTATTATCATCATCATCCTTTTCATTCACCGTACCATTCAATGTACGTTGATCCGGGTTTGTTGTCGTTGATGATGATGATGGAAATCCATCTATTGTCAATAAACGAATCGGTATTTTCAATAGATAAATTGGTGAACCAATACGTTGAGCACCGATACACAGTTTGTAATAATATTTAAGTCTATTACTGGAATATGAAGGATTAAGATTCGAAGGCAATGTTTCCGTATAGATAAATGTTTGACTTTGTTGTGGTTCTAGCTGTAGATCGCAGAATAAAATTTTTGGTTTCGATGCATAAATAATGATACCACGTTCACCACGGACCAATGATTCATGGAATGAAGTATCATTGGATGAATAGGTTTCCAATGCAATTGAATTTCGTTTCGTGTAATTATTTTTCATATAATTTCCATTATGATTGATTAATTTACTATCAAGATTTTCTTCAATAATTCGCCGACAATCGATCAGCGATTCATCCACAGTACAGAAACAATGTAGTTGTACATTGGCCCAACAGATTCTTTCAACGGAATTATTATTATCACTAGTATTTTTTTGGCCACCAATCAGCCCATTTGGTGTGGAAATATTTTCATTTGTTCGTGGAATATTTTTCAATGTAATTAAACATTGGACAGTTTCTTGGACAAAATATACAGGACCACGTAAAAGTTTGGCTTGAATTTCAATCATTTTCAATTGTTAAATGATGATCAGAATTTAATTAACTTTGACATTTGAAAAATTTTTCCATTAGTTCAAATTAAAGATGATCATTATCCACAAAAAAAACTTGTTTACGTTGCTACATCATATAAAATGGGAAAATAAAGAAACTCGAATTGAATGATACAACCACGGTAAACGAATACATTGTTTATGAACAGCTGATCAGCTTGACAATTTTCGCCGATTTTTTTTTTCGTTGAAGAATTTGATTTGATTTAAATTTTTTCATTTTCTTCCAACAAAAATAATGGATAAAGAAACAAGATGTCCAAATTGTGGTACAACCAAATATGCCAATGTCAATCTACGTATGATGGTAAATGTTTGTGGCCATTCACTGTGTGAATCATGTGTTGAATTGTTGTTCGTCAAAGGAGCGGCTAAATGTCCAACTTGTCAAGTATTATTGAAACGTGTTCAATTTCGAATTCAACTTTATGATGATGAAACGGTGGAAAAAGATCTTGAAATTCGTCGTCGTTTAATCAAAGATTTAAGTCTAAAAGAAGATGATTTTGAAACACTTAGAGAATATAATGATTATCTTGAATTATTTGAAACATTTGTCTATAATTTAGCCAATAATATCGATGTAACGGAAACAAATCGTCTGATAGAACAATTTAAATCGGATAATGCTGCGAAATTGGCTAAAAGTAGAAATAAAATTTCCAAAGATATGGAACTGATACAACAATTACTTGAAGAAGAATTAATGGAACAAGGTAATCGTTCAATGATGTCGGTGGATAACGATGATGATATGAATCTTGCTGCGAAAAAAGTAGCACAATATAAAGAAAATTTATTGGATGCATTAGTTCATTCGGATATGCCTGCAGAAATAATATTGCGTACACATCAAAAACAAGCAGAAAATGAATTGGCCGCAATCGATGAAATGGAACAAAAACGACAACAAGACGCATTACGTATGAAACGACAACAAATGAATAAACAAAAAATCATCACATCAACCGGTGTTCGTTTAGGACAGAATGCGAAAATTGTATTCGATAAAGAATTCAATGAAATTCAAGGTGAACGTTTTGTTTACACGCCAATTAAAATGCCAAATGCTGGTCCACAATGTCCAACACCGGGAACAATCGAACGGAAACAATATATGCAACATGTCCGAATGGCTGGACCATCAGAATTGGCTGCTGGTTTTTTTCCCATCTATCCATGTCAACGTGCACTACAAGAAGCTATTATGGATCTGACATTTATACCACGTACAATGGAATCTAATTAACATCTGTGATCAAAATTTTTTTTATTTAATTTTTTTTCATCATTATAATTTTATACAAACAATTTGCTGGAAAGCATTGTAAAACGGCCATAGAAAATGATTAACTAGGTGGTAAAAAAATAAAATAAAAAATTTTCCTAGTTGATTTTTTTTCATTTATTTACCTTAATGAAAACAAATTTCGTCAATACAGCTGTTGGCCCAATACGCATACCCCATGGTGTTTTATGGTGGATGATTCTTTCATAAAAATTCATTATCTGTAATTTAAAATTGATCGTACCATTGTCACCATCATTCATTACAATGGCAGTTTTTGCAATGATGACTGGATTTGATTCAATTGTTGATTAAATTTTGATATAATAAACATTAACAATATGAGAACAGAATATTCTACAATCAACATATAGTACAACATGATTAGGAAAAAAAATTGACCATTTGTCATTTGATTGATTAAATGCAATGTAAATTGGCTGGATATGAATCCAGTGATCAATGCCAATAGAATTAATTTCGATGCATATTTTTGTATGCATTCAATCAATACAATTAAACGTGTATATAATGAAAATGAATAAATCAATCGTGTTTCGATACGATTTTGTTGTACAATTTTAATCAGAGATCTAGATCTGATAATGTTCGATTGATAAATAGCTAGACAATTATCAATATCACGGATCAATTGTTTGGATATTTTCATCAACGATATGAAAGTGAAGCAGCCAAGAAATATTGGCATATAGAAAATGATGAATAAATTCATACTTATGAAATAAAATTGAAAACAAATTGTTCGACAAATTATCTGCCATATCTGTCTAGTACGTATGAATATGCCAAATTTAAAGATTTGCATGTAAAATGCAAATAAAACTGTGAAGAAAAACACAAAAAAAATCAGCTGATGATTAAAACAATAAATAAGAAAAAAAATAAAATAAAAACTTACAATGACAAGATTGTGAATATTGATTCAAATAGATGAATGAGTATTTATAATTGGAAAAATTTTTTCTAATTATCAAACGGCCATAATCTAATAGAATCAATGTGGATAAGAATATTCAGAAAATTTTCTCGGTATCGTAAACAGAATCCGGTTATTGTGGTCAATTTCATTCCAACATTGTATCATTGTACGAAATTCTAATGATTTTCTACAATCATATGTATAATATAATGTAAACCATAACATTGTCATACAAAATATTATCAAAAACGATACATGTATGATGGACATTTTGCTAATATCATCCAAAACGATGAAAACATCACCAACGATGAAACGAATTGATTCTGGATAATCAATGAATTCAAAAGCCAATGTTGAATAATAAAATGTTATAATTACGGTAATAGTGAAACGTATTTTTTCTTTGATTGGAAATGTAAATTCATTATAATCATTGTCGATTGTTTTCAATGTATAAATGGACATATAATAATCATAGATTGAATAGAATTTTTTTGGTGAATATGAACTTAAAAACAATATTGATGAAAAATAATATAAACGTTGCATAAAATTATTGAATGCCATATTGAAAATGGATATAACCGAATGAATTGTCAAATAATTCATATGCATTTCCATCTTGAATTTTTTTTTTTTTTTTTGCAAAAAATTTCGTATCGACCATCTAAAAGAGAGACAAAAAAAATGAATCACGAGTCTGAATGAACCAGTGACTAGATGTACGATATGGATTCAGGAATGAAATAATTATAAGACAAATAATGATGTAGTTTTTTGCGCAAATGAAGAATTTTTTTTTTTGTTGTTGTTGCTGCGGGTAATAAAATCAATTAGTATATGGTTGACGCAAAAAATATCGATATTTTTCCCTCACACACACACACACACACACAATAATAGCAAAACTTAAAAAAAACCTGAGCCAGTATGGTAATGGAATGAATGTAGAATAGATGAGATAAAAATAACCAAAATTCCTTCTAGTTAGAAAATGGTGAAAATCACAATGATTAATTTCTTTTCGAAATTTTTCTTCTCAGCCCCCATTTATAGACTCACATAATCGAAATTGAACCAAGAAAAAAGGTAAACTTTTTTTCTCATTTTTTTCCACATAATTAAACCCAATAAACGATTGACTCATTTATATCGACCATTAATTGAGTCGATAAAATTTATGCTTTCAAAACAAAACAAAAAAATTGAGCATTTCTTGATTTTTTTTTGCTGTTGAAACAATCGATATATAAGAACCAAACAATGTACAACTTTTGCTGGTGAAAGAATTTTTTTTTCTTTTCATGGACAAAGACAAAAAAATTCAAATTCAAATTAAGTAGAAAAACTAAAAATTTAAATTTAGTTTTACAATGAATGTGAAATGGCATGATGAATGTTTTTTTTTTAAAAAAAAACAACCCATTATGATGAAAAAAAATAACAAATGATGATTGACTTTTTTTTCCTACCCTTTGTGTTTTTTTTTGTCGGAAAATTTCCATCGATTTCCCAAAAAGTTTTTCGTTTTCATGGCGGTACGTTTATCGATTTTTTTTGGCCACGTTCTTTTTTTTCTGTCGTCGTTTGTTAATTATTAATGGCCAAATAATTTCTGCCAAAGCATTGTCACACGAGCATAATAGATGATAATCTGTACATATCCGACATATTTATTTATTTATAAATGTATGAATTGAAAATTGAATCAAAAACTTACTTTGACGAAAATAATTTTATTCAACACCGTAATTGGTCCGATTTTTATGCCAAACGTTTTCAGATTGACCAAATAATAATAGATGATCATCATTTTGATTTTAAAACGATTACTGGATTTTTGATTCAATGCAATAACAGTACGTCTAATGTCGTATTGTATGGAATTTAAACGATAATTGTATGTAGAAATCATGTATGATAATAAAAACATGACAACATGTTCAAGAAACAATATGTAATATAGCGAAATCCAGATGATAATATTATCATTTTTCAGTTCATTTATCAAATGAATTGTAAATTGACTAGTAATATAAGTGAAAAATATGGCCCATAACATCATACGTGATGCATATGATTCAATCTGTTCAGTAGAAATGATTATACGGGTATATACATGAAACAATTTTAACAATCGTAATTGGATAAAAATATTTGATTGTTTAAGAATTTTTTCTGTTGCCATTTCATTTGATTGATATTTCCTGAGCAATGTGTCAATTTGTTTACGAATATTTTTTATTGTTTTCAATCCAAGCCATAGAATATATGCACTATATGTTAATGTTGAATAATAAAATGAAAATAAAAAATTCAAAACAATGCACATCATTTGTATGGATATTGCACGTATTAAAATTTGCCATAATGGTCGTGTATGGATAAAATCATCTAATCGAATGAAATGAATGAATAAATTGATGATAACTGATTGAACAAAACAAAATGAAAGAATGAAACAATGTTATTGTGTAATAAAGAAGAAACATAAACTTACAATGAAAAATTTGTGTAATACAAAAGAAACGATTGGAAAATTGTTTAAAATTTCGATTACTATCTGGAAGTATTTGATGTATGAAATTGAATAAAAGTATCGATGATTTTGTTAATTTTTTATATTTTTTTGCAAAATTTGGATCATCATCACGTTCATTAATATAAATTATCGTTGTACGATATGCATTCGATCGTTTTGTATGAAATAAATCATAAACAAGTAACCAACCGATTGTTAATGCAGACCAAGCAAACAGGGCAGAATTATGTATGAGATTGTCTGATTCACCAATTATGATGATGGTCAAATCGCCCAATAAAAAACGTTCAGTATCTGTATAATGAATTATATTCATACTGAATGTCATATAATAGATTGCAATGATGGTGGTGAGAAAAAAACGAAATTGTTCCATTCGTGGTAATGATAACATCAAACATTTTTTATAATCAAGCAACAGAAAATGTGTATAGAAATCAAGAATGGATGGATAATATTTTGGTGAATATGAACTTAGATAGAAACCAGATAGAATATTGTGAATATAATGCAGTGTTTGATCAATGTTTTCATTCATTTTTTTTTATCAATGTTTTGTAATGAAATCTCTGGGAAATGAAAATTATTTATAAAGACAATGATGATTTTGAAATTCTTTTCCCTTTTGTCATTCGTTATGGAACATTTGTTTTTTGTTGTTGTTGTTGTTGTTTTCGTTTGGTTTTGTTTGGTTTGGTTGCATTCATGTTCAGTAATGAATAAAAAATAAAGTTTTATGGAAAGTAAAAATTTTCTTCACCATTTTTTTTCATTGTGAATTCCCAATTTATGTAATATTTTTTTTTGTATCTAATGATTGTATTGATTTTATGGCCAAAAAGTTTTTCTTTTTCGTTTAATTTTAGCAGAAAAATCAATAATTTCATCATCATTATCGAAAAAAAAAATTCAACTCATGATGAATGAAAATAAAAAGTCAAAGTTCAATTTAATTTGAATAATTTTTCTAGATGAAGTTTTTTTATTCAAAATAGTCAATTTCGATAATAATCGATCGATATATAGCATGATGATGATGATGATGAGAAATTTTTTTTTTTTTTTATTTTGTCAATTTAAACGCCAACATTGTGAAACGTGCATACAGTATGATGAGCTAATTTTTTTTTTTTTTTTTGATTGATGGATAAATCAAATTAAAACAAAAAAATGATTAATGAACACTTAACTTACACGAAAAAAAACCCATGTTGTCAACACTGTAATTGAACCAATTCTTATACCCCATGGTTTATTGCTAATCATACGTTCATATGTGGTGGCCATATAGAAACGAAAATGAAATGTGGCCATCCTGTTTGTATGATTTATTGTTTGTTGTATTGAAAAACGGATTGAATTGATTTTTGTATTCACTTTGGATACAAAATATGTAAACAATATCATTACAGAATAATCCAAAAATAGACAATAATAAAGCCAAACTTTTACAATATATTTTTCATTATGAAAATGTTCATTATAAACAATAATCATTTCACTTGCTAAAAATGTAGTGAATAATGCCGATAATATTAATCCGGATGCATAATTTTGTAAATCTTCATTGATTATAATCAATCGTACATACATGTTGAATAATGTCATTAATTTTCGTTCAATTATTGGCAATAATTGAACACGTTTTATTGATTCAATTGTTTCATCATTGCATTCATCATTGGTCAATAGTCGTAATCGTCTTGTCCACATGATAATATCGAAACGTAATTGTTTGATGAAATTAAATGCCAACAATATAAACTGACCAGCAATCAATAATGGAAATTGAATGAATGTAAAATTGAAATTCAATAGGCTACAAATCAATTGCATTGTAATGGTACGCAAAATAATTTGCCATAATGGATGTGTATAATAGAATTGTTGCCAATCAACAAGATGTGCAACTATATTTAAAAACACTAAAGCCATGAATAAATGTGATTAAAATTCAACAAAAAAAAAAGATTTAACCACAAAAAAACGATTCTTACGATAAAACACGGCATTATAACCATAGAAACGATCAATAGATTGTTTCTGTTCAGCCACACGTATTGGTATTTTTTTATTTATATAATCAAGAAACATGATTGTCACATTTGAGTATACAGAATTTGGCCATTTTCTACGAAATTTATCCACCGTTTTTTCATTCGTTTCAATTGCTGTTTCATCATATAAATAAAGAATAATCGTACGAAATGCTAATGATCGATTTGTATTCATCGATGAATAAACAATAAATGTCACTGATGCTATTGTAAATGCAAGCATTATGCACAAAATTTTCGGTATTGTACTTGTTTGATCGCTAAAAAATAATACCAAATCACCAGCTATGAATCTAATTATGTCCGGATAATAATTGATTAAATCAAAAATGATGGCTACATAATAAAATACTACAATGAATGATAAAAAAAATTGAAATTTTTCCTTCACTGGCAACGAATTGATTAACAAACATTCTGTTGAATCTAGTAATAAAAATTTACAATAATGATCAAATATTGAACCACCAGAATATGAAGTTAAATAAAACTTTGATAAAATGTAATAGAAACGATGCAGAAAACGATCCAAATGAAATTGTATGATTGATTTATCGCACATGATGATTCTTTCATATATATATACACACACATGAAACGGAAATGGAGAATCACTTGAAGAATTGTTGGACGACCGAAACAATATCCAAACTTTTAGCAAATGATCCTCGGGATAGTGTTGATCCTTATCATCATTTTTAACTTTTTTTTATTATTATTTCCATAATCATATCGATTTCAATGAAAAACGGAAAAAACAAAAGTTTAATAATGAATGAATGAATGAATGTTAAATCAATATTTGCATTTTAATTTATTTCTCGTTTCTCGCATATCGATCAATTTAGTTAAGCCACTCGTTCGTTGGTTCGTTCGTTCGTTTGTTGTTGTTGTTTTTTGCATAATAAATGAGTTTAGAAGACGAAAACAAAATTAGTTCCTCATCATCATCATAATCATTCCGCCACATTCATTGAAACAATTTATTCGATAACATTGTGAAACGACAATAGATAATGATGAGCTAAAAAATTTTTCCGGAAATAATTCAATTATAGAATAAAATACGGATAAACAAAAAAAAACCTTTACCTTTACAAAAACGAACCGTGTCAACACTGAAAATGGACCAATTTTCATCCCAAATGGTTTTCTACTAACCATACGTTCATGGATGAACATTAAATGAAATTTAAAACGATCATTCGACAATGGATTTGTATGCCATATTGTTGCTTGCAGAACATATCTCAATGAATCAAGTTTTGCATTGAATTTCGCTATCCAATATGTTAATATTAACATATTTGAATAATTTAGAATTAGAAAATAATAAAACAAACAACGTAATAGATATTGATCAGCACGTATTTGTTGTAAACAATTCCAAATAAATTGATTGGTTACAAATGATATTATTGTTGATAGAATAATTAGTGGCGAAAAATATGGTATAATTTGTTCGGAAAAAATATTCAATCGCACATACATCATATATCTATGCAGGATAAGTTTTTCAATCAATATGTTCAATTTAACTGTCTGATTGTATTTGTGTTTACAATTCGAAGAAATCATTTGAATTTTGTTTATTGAATCCAAAAAATCTCGCCGTAACAAATTAATCGAACGTATACCATTCATAGTGATAAAATAGCCAATCATTATTGGACAATAGGCAAATATCAGTAGGAAATCGATCGATATGCATGTAATTTGAAAGCCAAAAACACGTCCTATAATTTGCCATAATGGTCGTTCATATATGAATTTGTCCATTTTGATCAGATGAGCTAAACAATTGACTATGACTTGTTTGGAAATGAAATCAGAATCAGAATTAACCATTTTTTTTCTCATTTGTTGAATACTTACAATGAAAAAATCTGGCCAGACAATAAAATTTATTGAATGATGATTTAAATTCCGTGATTTTCAGATCAAATCTTCGTCGCAAATAATTGAGAAAAATGATCGTAGATCTGGATAATTGTTTTTTATTCATTCTAATGGATCTATGTAAAACATAATGATTTCTATCAAATTCACGTAAATACATAATATATGTACGATATGCTTTCGATTCGTTTGTATTGAATGATTGATAAATAGTGAAACCAACGGTAAGAAATGCAAACGTCGTGAACAATGAATACGTACGTCGTAATGATGAACCATATTTAACTTCAGTGATTAAACTAAAATCACCAATCAAAAATTCAAATGTATCACCATAATGGATGAAATTATAGCCAGAAGTTGCATAATAAAATGATATCAATATTAATAATGAAAAACAAATACGTTCCTGATATGGTATTGCCCATATTAGCCATTTTTTGTTGGAACGATTATTATTATTATTATTATTATTGTTGTCCTGTAATAGACAAAAATTGGTATGAAAATCAAAAATCGAACCATGTATATTGGGTGAAAAAGATTTCAAATAAAATGGCGATAATTGACAATAAATCCGGTATAGATAATTTTCCATTGATTTAGACATTTTGAATCAACTACACACACACAAAGAATTTTTCATCTAAACGTTTTTTTTTGTCATTATTAGATGAATATATTCCATATTCTATGTCACTTTGGTTACCAATAAAAAACAACAAGAAAAAAAAATATTCCACAGTTAATTGAATGTGGTGATTAATTATTGGTTTTAATGAAATATTTCATCATCTTCAAGACAAGATCATTATAATTGTCATGTTTTTTGTTGTTGTTGGCTGTTGTTAGCTGTTGTAAGTAGTAGGTATGAAAAACAAAACTTTTTGTCTGCCATTAATGATGATTGTGAACAAGAAAAAAATAAAAATTTGAAATTCCAAAGAAAAATTTAACAATTAAGTGTGGATAACGTCACCACATAAGTTTTTTTTGTTGTTGTTGTTGTTGGTGGTAAAGTTTTTTCCTTAATGTCATAATTATTGATTGAATGTTCCACCATGTAATATTAGAAATGAATCTCGTTTTATATTGAATAATGGATGACTTTTACCCAGTTTATGGCTAAATTTGATTCTTGAACGTTTTTTTTCACGTTCAAAATCATGTAAATTAATACGACCATCGGTAAAACGAAATATTTTTGGCCATGACACTAAACCACCAGTGGTTGGAAAATTCGTATCAAATTCATTACCAGTAGGTATAATTTCATTAGCAAATATTGACGATGATGGTGGTGGTGGTGGTTGTGGTGGTGGCTGTACTGCTCCCGATAACTGTTTACCACCACCGGTTAATCTTCGTTCCATTGGTGCATCTAAATCACCGATATCATTATCAATATGATTTGAATGAAGTGATTGCGGTAGTGGCGGCGATGGTGCTACTGGTGGTCCATTAGATAATTGTGCCATAAATTTATCAAAAAATAATGGCATCATCTGATGTAATGTTTGTGGAAATCCTTGTTGATTAAAGATGATTTTATTTTGTTGTTGGGGTGGTGGTGATACCATCATTTGCTGTTGTAATGATGGTTTGTTGTTGTTGTTGTTTTGATTCACATTTTTTGGATGAAAATTATTCTGTCCACTATTATTGACACTGTTGTTATTTTTGTTTTTGTTGTTGTTGTTATTCTTCAACCGTGATGGCTGAAATTCATCATCCAATTCAAGATCGTTGATCGACACATCCTCTTTGGAAAGACCACGATTGTTATTGTTGTTCATTTTAAATGAATTAAAATTTCGACCACGAGGCGGTTCAAGCATTTCACCAAATCGACGTTTAAATTCTTTTTGATTTCTGTTCGCATTCACATTCGATTCATCATTCAATCGTCGATCATCATCATCATCATCACGTTTATCAATTAAAGAATTATCATTATTCTCAATAATTTCCACCATTCCACCAGCATCAGTAACATTGGGTCTGGTTAATATGAATCCTTCATCATTACTAAGTAATGGTAAACGTTTATGAAACATCATCATCATTAAACGTTGATGAGAATTCATTGGAACACGTTGATTAGCTGGTTCATTGATAGGATTTTCAATAATCAATGGCGATGCCGTGGTCAGTTTCATCAATCGTCCAGATGATGGTGTAACAACAGACGATTGATTCATTGTCGATTCTGTTCGTGTCAAACGTTTCAATTCAATCACCGGTAATGACCATTGTGGTTCATTGTTATCATTTTTATTACGACGATGATGATGATGATGTTGAGCATCTGGTAATTTTTCTGGATATTGAAGATGATTAAAATTATTTTGATTATTGAATACAGGACGACGATTATTGTGATTTGTAGTTCGTCGTACAAACGGTCTTAATACATGATCACCAGAGTTTGATGTTTGCAAATATTGGCTACGTTGTTCAACATCGTCCAATGTTTGTATTGTATTCGAATTGGATTGTGTAATTGGTGATGATACGAGATCAGATAATTGATGATTAAACGCAGTACCATTATAATGATTTGTATAAATAACTCGATTTGTATTCGGTTCGATCAATTTTGTCATTATAAACATTTTTGAACGAAGATCAACTTCATTCGATTTGGCATTTATTGTCAATTTTTTCGGCTGATTATTAATTGAATAATAATGATTCAATGGAAATGATTCTGATGGTGGTGGTGGTGGTGTGGTGCAAAACAATCGATTTTGGACCATCAATCGATTCACTAGAATCTAATGGCATTATAATGGTTCCTAAATTGTGGCCATCATCATAATCATCATCATCATCATCATTGTAGGTTTGATTATAATGTGTTGTATTTACATCGACACTATCTTCAAACACAAGATCAACATTTAAATCACTAAATTGTTTTAAATTCGGTGACATTTTTGTTTTGTGTTTTGTTTTATTATTTTTTTTTACAATTTGATAATTGGCTTGTTTATCATCATCGTATTGATTTTGATGAAAAATATCACTATTATTTTTTTCCATTACAATTGGCAATAGATTTTTTGGTTCAACAATAAAAGTAGTGGTAGTAGAAGTAGTCGATGATGGACGTATCAATCGATGATTGGAATTTTTTTTCATCATATGATGAAAATCTTTAATAATATTTTGTTCATTGTTTATCGATTGTGAAATTCTATCATTCTGATGATTATGATGATGATGATTATTGGAGAATTTTTGTCCAAAAACAGTAACAAAATCATGACTAAACAAAATTATCATTATGATTAGAATCAATATTGATGATGATCGGTATGATAATGATGATAATAATGGCCGTTTTTGATATCGATGATTTTGATGATGATGATGATGATGATGGTAATAATGATGATCATGATCATCATCATCACCATTAATTCGATTACATGATTCAATCGGAAACATTGATGGTGATGGTGAATTTTTTGGATACTGGAAAAAAAACAAAGAAAATTAAAATTAATAAACAAACGAAGAAAAAAAAATGATAAATGATAGAGTTAATAATGATGTGATGCACAATAATTGTCAAACACACATAGTCGTTTTTTTTTGGTTTTTTTTGTCAACGACGATAATTGGTTAAATTAAAAATTTTTTTCTTTCTCGTCATCGTCAATTATACATTCAAGGAAGATGAATGAATGAATGAATGAATGAACGTCGAACACAGAGCAAAACAAAAAAACGTACCACAACAACAACAACAACAACATGGAAATGGGAGCCATTTTCATTTATAAAATGATGATGATGGTCATCATCATCAATGATGATAATGGTCAACACAGGTAGTCAACAACAACAACAGCAGCAGCAGCAACGATTTAAAAATACGGATGAGATTAAGACAAGCCACAAAACGATAAATAGAAATATGATAATTTTTTTTTTTTTGAGAAAAATGATCATCAACGAAAAATTTTTGTTTTGTTTTGTTTTCGTGAGAAATTAATTCATTTTTTTCGGATGATGATGTATTATAATGGCTAAAAAAATGATTTCCATGTGTGTGTGTGTGTGTGAACCAAAATGACTTTTTTACTTTGTTTCATTTTTTTTTCTTTCTTTGATGATGATTCAATTGAAACGTTGTATAAATGAATTCAACGATATTATGATCATAGAAATGAACGTGTACAAAATACATAAATATTACTTACATACATCGAGGACAATGATGAAAAAGGAAAAAAAATCACCAACAGGATCATGAAAGACGATTAGCATCAACAACAATTTTGAACCGTTTTTTTTTTTTTTGATTACCGTGAATCATCGAATTGTATCAAACATGACAACAACAACGATGATGATGGTGATGATTTTGGCCATCATATCATCATCATCGCCACACAAACAAGTTGGTCAATGTTGAATTTTTCGTTTTTTTTTGTCCGAATTTAACTTTTCGCTTAGATTTCGCAAAAAAAACTCCATTTAAAAAACTATAAAATTTTTTTCGATGATCTTGAAAATTGTGTCTCTAAAGAAATAAAACAAAAAAATGAAAAACAAAACAATTGAAAATGAACAGGCCAAATGAAAATGGTTTTTTGTTTCTGTTTTGTTTTCGCGTAAATTTTATGGCCCATAATTAGTCAACTTGACACCTATCATCGCCATCGTCATCATCGACAACATTTTTTTGGCATGGCATTGACTCATTTGACCAAAATTTGATGGTGAAAACACACACACACACACACATGGTGAACAACTAACAAACAAAAAGCCTAAACATTCGATCAATAGACAATGAATGAATCATTTGGAAAATGAACAAAATCCAAAAAAAAACAAAAACTAAAACGAAATGAAATTTGGCCATGAATGAAAAATCATTTTTTTTCACCAATGCCAATTATTAACAAAATAAATGATTCACATTCAATTCAGCCAGTGAAATTGGATCATCATCATCATTCAAACGGATGCTTTGAATTGAATTGAAATTTCATTTTCATATTTCTTTCTCCCTTTATCTCTCATCACCTTGTTTGTTTTTTTACCTTGTACGATGATCATCAGTCGACCACATGCTGTTGTTGTTTTTAGCAATTTTTTTTTTTTTTTTTTTTCTCTTTCTCGTTTACCATTCACCATGAGTCTTCGACATTCACAACATGATCATGGTGTAGCCATCATCAAACTGATGATGTTCATGATGTTCATGATGATGATGATACAGAGAAAACATTTTCAGATATCAATGTGGATATGGATTATGAATTTTTGTGATTAAAAAGATTTTTGATGATGATGAAATGATAAAAAATGAGAAACTTTACTGGAAACGTTGTTTGTTTGTTTGTTTTTTTCATTTCCAGAAAAATTCCACATCTGACACAATAGATTAGCATCAAAATCAGATGGACAGCAAAAAAAAAGAGTTCATGAACTTTATCATGATGATAAAAAAAAAGTTCAAATTTCAATCACAAAACAGATTTTTTTTTTTCTTGTTACTAGGTAGGCGGTGGATGAAAATGAAAATGCCAAATACGAATCATTGTCGAAAGTCACGATAAATATGATTCAATGAAAAAAAAAGAAAAAATTTCATGATTCCATCTCCATTTCATTCAATATAAAATTTGAATTAAAATGAAATAAATTCAAATGCAAAAAAGAAAAAAATTCGTTCATGTTCCACATCACAAGGGATTTTATTATTACCATCAAATATGCAAATTGAATGATGATGATGAAGAAACAAAAAAAAAAATCAACACCACTACTACAAACATTCCGGAAATGGATGATAATAATAATAACCATCATAAATGATCTGAAACATTACAGAAAAAAAACAAATGAAAATCGTATCGTAAACATGGGAAATGAATATCAATTAGTTGAAAGATTATGGTGATGATGATAATGATGATAATCGCTGTTGCACCATCACCATCACCATCATCATCAAATCAGCTGAGCCACAAAACAAAGCCATCATCATGATCACAAAATGTACATTGATCCATTGTCCGATATCATGCTGATATATTCGTATTTAATCTGTGGTCAGCCAATGAAGTTTATTTTATTGTGTGTGTGTGTGTGTTCATGTTGATCAAATCCTTCAAAACTTCAAATCAAACAAAAACAAAGCAGATGTTAATGGTAAGTGTAAAGGGATCTTTTCTTTTTCTGTAGACTAATGATGATAGATGATGAATTTTTTTTTTGTTTCTTTTTCTTTTTGGATTCATTTATGGCCATTTATCCGATATTATTATTATTATGGAAATATGCAAAACACACGAATTCTATGAATAAAAACAACAACGACTGCAATACAAGGTGAATACAAAATGAAATATTCAAACAACAGAAAAAAAAACTCTAAACGTGTGCAGTGTTTGTGTGTGTGTGTGTGCTGCAAACATTGTGGTGGACAAATTGTCGTGGTTTTTTTTCCTATAAATATGATGGACTTTGATTCCGATTTTTTGTTTTCCAATTGGCTTGATTTTTTTTTGTTTGTTTGTTTGTTCAAAATGACTATATTTAGGCATATTGTGTGCGTGTGTATGTATTGATCATTTGACATCGATCATAATCGATTGGAAACATTTTCATCAACAATAACAAGAGAAAAAAATGGACTATTGATTGAACAATAAACACAAACAAACAAACGGACACGCACACACTGCACACGCCATGAATTTGAATAAACAAAACAAATCAAAAAAAAAATTCGTGAGATTCGATTCATTCATTCATTCATGGACAAACCACGAGATACAAACAAACGACAAACCAATGGCAGAACCACACACACACACACATGTATGCATATTTATGATTGTTTCGATTGATTTTTTTTTAATGAAAAATAATGATAACTGAACAGCAATCTGAAAAGGTAGACAGGTTTCATCGATAAAATTGATAATAATTTATTTTTTTTTATATATATATGAAAGAAAAATCAAAACAAAAGAAAAAAAAACAAAAACCAATAAGGAAACATGACAACACACACACATAAACAAACAGACTGGCAGACAAAAGTCAAAAAAAAAAAAATTGGATGAATAAAGGCTCATTTAACTTTGATGAATGATTGAATGAATTTTTTTTTCCACATTTATCGATAATTATTTCTTCTCTACAATAAATTCATCAATAGATATATCTCACGGCAAAACTGAATGAATAAAAGAAAAAATCCATATGTGTGTGATTGAATCGATTTAACAAAAAAAAAAAATGAAATGAAATGAAATGAAAAATGTTTTTCTCTCAGCTGATGTGAATTGAAAACATTTTTTTTTTCGTTGTTGTTGTTGTTGTTGTTGTCATCTTCAATGGTTGACTTATCCCGGTGATTATGGCAATGATGATGATGATGATGATCCATTCAAGAAACATCTTTGAACTAAATAATGATGATGGCTAATCCTTTGTGTCCACTTTTCGTGTATGTACAAACTGTCTTTTTTTTTGCTTTTGATCATAAAAAAGAAATCAAGAGAATCATCATACATTTATCGCAATTATCATCATCATTTTTTTTCTCATTGTTCGGGTAGCTCAGACATAGACAGTAAAAGATAAGCCATATGTGTTTGGTCATCATTGTAATCCGAATGAATTGGATATACATGGAAAAAAAGGTGGCAAAATAAACTTATGATGATGATGATGATGATGACAAAACGGACAATGATGATGTTGGCCTTTATTGGAAAATGCTAAAGTGTTATAAAAATTCATCATCATCACATCACATACAGTATTCAGTATTGGAAAAAAAAGTGATGAACCTTATCATCATCATCATCATCATCATTCTCAACGATATAATCATTATGAAGACTACGATGATGATGATGATGATAATAATAAACGGGCATTTAGATTTGTTGTATAAAGTTCCACTCTTTTTTTCTTGTATATTATATAGTGGATGGTTGTGAAAAAAAAAGAATGAAAAAATTACAACTGTCGATAAATGATGGTGTTGGTGGCGGTGGTCAACAACAACAGCAACAACAAGTTTCAGATTCAACAAGTTTTACATTCAACAAGTGTCTGTTTGTTTGTTTATTTGAAACATTTTTATTTACAAACCACTTGTTGTGTTTTTTTTCTGGGAACAATTAAAACAAAAACAAACAGATGAAATGATGCAGCAAAAATGATGATAAATCTTTGAAGAAAAAAAAATGCTTTCAAACAATGATCGATGATGTTTGTGTGTGTGTGATTTGGGTGAAAGAAATGAAAAAAAAAATTTCAATCAAAAAAAACTTGAACTTTTCAAAAATTTTTCAAAATTTTTTCGTTCAATAACGAAAATCGGATCATGGAGAAAACAGTGATCATCAGTTTGAATTTAATCAATTTAAACTTTTGAAAAAAGCAAAAAAAACAAACAAACAGACAGAGAGATATTTTGTTGTTGTTGTTCACCACCACTAACTACAACAACAACATCCAATTTGACCTTAGACAAATAATAATAATTTGTTAATTATGGATGGTTATGGTTTATGTTTTGTTTTGTTTTCAGCATTTGACTCTTTTTTTTCACATCATCATCATCATCATCAAATTATGTTCATCGTGCATCGACATTTTTTTGTGATGGTCAAAATCAAATGTAACGAGAAAGAGAGAAAAAAAATTCCAAGATGAAAGTGTTGTGGAAATCAAAATCCAAACGAATCGAATCAATTTTCAAATCATCGATATTTGAAGAAATGGATTCAAAATTCAAAATACGGAAATTTATCGATATGAACAATCATCATTCACATCATCATCAGGATCAAAATTCACTGATGATGATGATGATGATGATGATGATTTGACGACAAAACAAAACAATGGCAACAGGAAACAAACAAAACAGAAAAATCATTTGAATCAAAATTCCAAAAACCATTATTTTTTGTTGGAGAAAAAAAAAGAAAATCAATTTCTCCATCCATTCATTCGTAGCTCGATTGATTGATTTCCAAGTGTAGATGATGATGATGATTCAACATTGCATCATTAAACTGGGAAAAATTTTGAAATTTTTTTTTTTTTTTAGAAACAAAAAAAATCATGACTTACCTGATGTTGATTTGTCAATATAATGGAAAAATTTTTTTGTTGTTGTTGTTGTCCGGATAAATTGTTGTCGAAACAACAACAATGGTCATCGTTTTCGTTGTCGTTGACGTTATCATGATGATGTTGATTATGGCGATTTTGATGATTTGATGATGATGATGACCATCATTCGATTTGAAATTTGAATTTAAACATTTTCTTCGTTTATCTTTATAATTATGATATGATGCAACCATTATTGACATGATCGATGTTGACAATGATGATGATAATGTTGCTGTTGTGATCATCATCATCATCATCATCATCTTATAAATTTAAAATAAAAAACCAGAAAATTTCATTTGGTCAATCTGGATCATCATCGTCATTGCATTCATATTTTCACCAAAAAAAAAATCACACCAACAAATCACCAGACACACACACACTGAAACAAAATTTACTCTGAAAAAAAAATTCCATCAACAAGTGGATGAAAATAACAAATGACAACAGATGATAATCGAGATTATGAATGGAAAAAAATGAATTTTTTTGTTGTTGTTGTGATATGAATCAACAACAATCACGAATTAAATGAAATGATGAATGCTGCCATTTTACTTGTTGTTGTCATATATGGCAGCAGCAGCAACAACAACAAATGAATGAATGAATGATTTGAAGCAACAACTGGCTGTGATATGATGTGCACATTCAACAAAAAGTAGAAGGAGAAGAAGAAGAAGAAAATCAAAAGAAAAAACAATAAAATGAACGAAATGAATGGGAAAAAAAGGGACCAAACTTTTTTTTGTCTGAAAAGAAACAAGGCGTGTATATTATATATGTGGAAGAAAAATTTTCTTTCAATGCCTGTATGTTGTTATTCATACAATGAATGTGTAAGTGTGTATGTTGAGCATCATAATGATTTTGGATTTTAGAGAAAAAAAAGAGAGAGAGAAAGATGTTGTTTTGGAACACACACACACACACACACTTGAAACACATGAATGAAAATCATCATCAAATCATCATCAACACAAGATTATAAATGATCAGGATGATGATCAATTCATCCACGAATTTGTGAATGTTTTTTTTTTCTCTCTCTTTTTCCTTTGAATATCATCACCAACAAAATCAATGAATTTGGATTCTTGTCTTCAAATTGATGATTGTGATTGTGTTTTTGTTGTTCATACATGTATGAGAGACAAATGTAACAATATATATGAATGGATGACCGAATACACAATAGAGTGGATCATCATTAAATAATTTTCGTTTTTAAAAAAAAGATAATCATATCAAATCATAATGTGATGGTTTTATTTTCATTTCTTGTTTGATACAATCATCTGTTTTTATTCGATTGTTCTGTTTGTCTATTGTGTGCGCACGTATAATGATGTTTGTTTTTGTCTTTTGTACTTTATTTTTGTATTTTTATAGTCGATTGTTTTCTCAAGATAATTGGAAATAAACAAACAAACAATGAAAGATTGATGTTCTATTCTACCATTCACATATATCATATCATCATAATAATATAATTAAGCTTCTAGGTTTGATTTGATTTTTGAATTCAGATGTATTTCGATTTTTGTATTAATAATTTCCGTGAAATAATTTTTTTCCCAGTTTATACGTTGCTAGTTATTCATCATGATGATGATATGTATAAAACAGATGATTTTTGAACAACAGCGAAAAAAATAGCGATGGCTTAAAATAGCGAATGAAGAAAATAGAGAAAGCCAAAAATAGCGAATGAAAATACGTATACGAAAAGAGCGAAAGTAATCAAAATGAATTTTTGAATATCAATCAATCAATTTAGTTTAGTTTAATTTAGGTTAGGTTTTTTTTAAAATTAAAAATGAAATTTTATTTAATCAAATATAATGATCGGCAATGGCCAATCAATAGTATCAACAATACAAAAATTTTAAACAAGATTAAACATCATAATCATGATGTGAGGCGAAAACAATGATGATGGATCCAGACAAATGATATGCAAATCCAGGTGGTGAAAGCGATCCAACTGGAGGATCGTAAAGCCAGTGATGATGGGGAAGGGTGATGGTGGGATTGATGGATGATGAGATGGTTTCAACACCATGTAAACAAATTTTTGATGAAATATAAACACGAAAATTTCCAACGTCATACACAAAGAAAATTTCGAGTGGCAAATTGGCTGAGGTTAGGTGGTCTCAATTCATTAGATTAATCCAAACCTCACCGAAGGTGACTCATTCAAAAACAACGCTAAGATTCCATAGAACGCAAAGCAACATTTTTGCAGGAATTTCGGTTGATAATTTTATCATATTGTCTCCTGGAAATTGGAGCAGGTAGGTAGATCCATCAATCCACAAAACATCTCCATCCCGCTGTAACCAACACCAATACATCGCATGGCAAACAGCAACCTTTGCTTCACTTCATATCCTTTGTTTCGGAATGTGTTTAGGAAGTTGCAAGAAGGGGTGGACTTGGTTCCACATTCACAAGAAATCGTAATCTTAAAACCATGTCCTTCAATAGCAGTCTCTTGAAATGTGATATCCCCATCGCATTACTTGCATATGACCTTCGTCATCAAGTGATTGAGAAAAGACCATAAATCCAAAATTCGATATCCGAATTTCGTTTCTTTGTAAACCCAGCACCGCCGTGCATCCCTTTCGAACTTTTTTGTCTCAAAAAAAATCCGACGATTCATAATGATTTAATCAACAAACAAATAATAAAAAAGTAAAAAATTCACAAACAAAAAATCTACGAGGAAAACAAGTAATGGAAATACGATTGAAAATGTGCTTAGCACACAGAAGTCAGCTGCACTGCAATAAAATACCACTACATAAAAATTGTGACTTTCTGCGCTTTGAAATTCCATAACTCAGCCAATTCGGCCCACAGCACCATCTAGAAACACTCTTTCAAATAAGCCAAAAAATCGGTTTCTTAATGTTTCAACACTTCCAAACCCCCTTAAATTGAATTGTTCAATCCATATGTTAAATCACTTTCGCACTTTTCGTATACGTATTCGAATTCGCTATTTTCGTTCAGTCGCTATTTTATTCAGTCGTTATTTTCGGCTTTTTCGCTATTTTGGGTCGGAATCCACGCACACTTGTTGTTGTTGGTAAAATTATTTTATGTATCTGGATCGGTCATGTTTTGTTGTTGTTGTTGTTGTCGTTTGATATTTTCTCCTTTCCTTACCTATAGAAAGGTCTCAAATTGACCCGATTGGGGTGATAAATGACGCCGGTCATTTTGAAACCGGATGTCCGTCAATTCGTGATCAGATATGAACGCCGGTGTATTTCAATTGGTTAGAATGTCCGGCTTTTATTTCTGTACAAAAGTGGGTGTTGGTGTTTAAATTAACACTATAATAGTTACAGTAACCGGAAACCGGAAGGTTTTGGGTTCGAGTCCCAACATCGGCGTTTTTTTTGTTGATTTGATGTCAAATCAACTGTTTGCTGACGATGACGATGAAAAATCATGGATTCGAGTTCCAGCATCGACGTTTTTTTGGTAGATCTCAAATCAACCGTGTGTTGACGATAAAAAAAAATTAAGAAATTCTAAACACGAACGTATAATTTTAAAAATTCAAAAGAAAAAAACTGATCGATATATTTGCATTTTGAATATTAATCAAAAAAAAAAAAAAACAAACAAACAAACAATCCACAAATATATGATCGACGATGACCAATGTCCAGATCTGAAATTGATGATGATGATGATTGTTATTTTCCATCATCAACATCATTATATTATTAACCATCACACACACACACACACGCACACAGCACCAAAATGAAAGATGAATGGTCAGCACATAAGACAGAAAAAAACAATTTAAACAGATCAACATGACAACACACACACACACACACAAAAAAAATCTCAATTCAAAAACAACGATGAATGAATGAATGAATAAATGAATGATAAAGATGCTCCACTTTAGATTGATGATTTATGATTTGATTGTTAATCAAGTGTGTGTGTGTGTGTGTGTGTTTGTTTGTTTTTTTTCATTTCTATTGTTGTTGAAATACAAACGAAATACCCGAAAACAAAAAAAAAAAATTCGCAACAAAAACGTATTGTACCTCGATTTATCATCATCATTAATTACAAATGATAATGTGATGTGATCACAAAAAAAAACAAAGGTTTGATTTATTATAGAAATTACCAAATTGAATTGAAAAAAAGTCGTAAATTTTCGTTTTGTTTCGTTTTTTTTTTTTTTTTTTTGATTGATCGAATAAGTATTTCACATTGAACAAACGATGATGATGATGATTTGTAAATTACAATAAAAAAATTGTTGAACACCGTCGACGACGACGACGACGACATCTATCAATCGATCAATCAATCAGTCAATTAATCAATCATAATCAAATCAAAATAGCTATAATAATGATAATATAATAATAAAATGATTGATTGATTGATTGATAAAGTGATCAACATCATTATCATAATAATAATAATAATAATTGTGATAATAATTAGATTATCAATCATCATTCATTTTGATTTTCCAATTTTTCATCATCAACTTTTATCAGATCAGGAAAAAAAAAGACAAAAACAAAACAAATTCCAAGAAATCATGGAATGGAGATATGGAAAATGCAAAATAATTTTTACGGAAGAGAACAAAACATTAGATGTAGCCTAGTTTTGTTTTTTTTTTTGCCATCATTCATATCCATGTATCCATATCACATCGTTATATGATTTTAAGGTTGGACACCACCACCATTATCATCATGTGTGTGTGTGTGTGGCGTTATGGAAAATGCCAAACGAAAAATGGCCACACATCATCATCATCATCATTATTCAACCACCAAATTTTTAAAGATGATCATCATCACCAGTATTATTATTATCATATTCAAAACACAAATATCAACAACAATTCAATGAAAAATTTTCAACGCCTTATTTTTGTGCACTTTTATTTTCATCATATTGATACCGATGATTATGATGATGATGATGATGATGATGATAAAGATAACGATCTTTTTTTTTTCGTTGACCATTTACACCATGGTTTATCCATGATAATAATTTTTGGGCTAATGATAAAGATCACCATTACAATAATAACAACAACAACAACAAAACAACAACAACACAATCAGATCATCAAAATTCATATTGTAATTGAATTATATTCACAAAATTTTGTTGACAATGAAGGGATGATAAAAAATTGCTTTTCCGGTATATAGACGGGATGAATTGATTTAATATCCATCTATCATCACCATCCCTATTCATCATTATCTTCATCCGCACACACACACACACACACACACACATACACAAAAGAATCTTTATATGAATGACCGACAGAAAACAAAACAAAACGAAAAAAAAAAAATTTAATTCATTTTCATTGTATACGTGCGCGCGTTCATCACATCAAAATCATCATTATCATCATCATTGTATAAAGAATGGATCAAAATGATAATGATGATGATGCGAGAGAGAGAGAGAAAAAAGAAATTGTAATTGAATTCAATGAAAAATGACTACTACTAGAGTAGAGCAACAAAGATGAATTGAATTAAGGAAATTCAATATGATGATGATGATGATGATAATAATAATAATAATTACTATTGTCTGATAATGATGTTGATGATTTTAGTATTATTTGGTCATGATGAAACAATCTGTATCGGAAAAATTCATCATCATCATCATCCAATAGGTGTGTGTGTCTGTGTCTGTGTATGTATGCAGATTGTTCCGTGTGAATGAAAAAATATTTTTCTAAAATACGGTAATTGCCTTGATCATCATTAGACATATGACGACGTGTACAAAAGTTCGTTTTTCTTTTCCTAATTAATTTGAAAAAAAATCATCATCATCATCATCATCATCATCATCATAATCATCTTCAAAACATGAACAAAATTGATTTGTGTGCGTAATTATTTTATTTTATTTTTCTGCTCCCTTTATACTTGTTCTGGGACACACACACACACACACACACACACACTAAATAATTTGATGATTCGCATTAAAGAAAAAAAAATTGAACTCGCGTGCCTGAACACACACACACACACACACAAAAAAGTAGACAACTTTTTTTCTGACCTGACCTTATGGATTATTTAACAACAACAACAACAACAACAACGAAAAAAAATTTCAATGTCGTAAATGATGATGATCATCGTACAAAAAAAAAATCATATTTTTTTTCTCCTACTTCATCTACTACCATGAAATGTCATCAATGTGTCACCTATGTGCGTGTGCGTGTGTGTGTGCGTTTGAATCCCATTTGTCATCGACCTGTAAACAAATATAAAATTTGATTTTAAAAAATGAAAAAAAATTTTTTTTTCTTGTTGTCCATTTTGGAACAATGCCGTTGAGGTTTGTTTTTTCCAATTTTGGTTTGGTCTGGTTACACACACACACACAAACGAATTTGATGGGAAAATTTTTTTTTTCATTCACAAAAAGGTCATATTTACCATGTCGAATGCGGCAATCCTGTTTGTTTGTTTGTTCAATCGATCCATGTACCGATGTTACGGCCAGTGGAAAGTCTATTAAGAGATAAAAGTAGTGAATGACTGGGTAAATTGGGTACCTGATATTCGCGTATTAAAGCCGGTAATTTACTATATGTTTTCAGACTAATCCGTCAAACTGGGAAGCATAGTAATCAAACAGCAAAATGAAACGAGGTACTGGCGAAAGTAAAATCTTGCAGAATATGCCTCCACCATTGTTACAAAACTGGATCTGCGACACAAGCGGCTTTGGTATCAGAATATTCCATGGTTTCAAAGAATGAAAATCCGCCCAAACTGGGTTTTCTGAGATCCAGAAATAGCAAAAATGAAAAGGTATATAAAACGGTGGCGAGCCAACCATTGGCCACTATATAGGTGCGTCAATATGGCACAAAATCACTGGAAACAGAAAGAAATACGCCCAACGATGACGCTAAAATCAAAGTTGAGAATCTTGGTCGGATGAAATGCTTGTCGTGGCAATCATACGGCATCTCATATGCTTCGGTATTTCTAGTCAACAACGTGATACCTGTCGACATTAAAATCATGGAAAGGGCGGCCATAGAAAAGCGGAAATCACTCAGCCGGTATTGGCCACACCTATGCTTCAGGGAACGGGTGAGGATTGACCGGTGCCGACAGTTAACGAACCGCGCAGGAGGAGGCAGCGATGGTCTGGATTCACGTACTATGTCGAATGAAGAATGGCCTGATGAGAAAATATTACCTGATTGTATCTACATGATCACCGACTTGCAGCAAGACTAGATAATCGCACAGGAGCTGCAAGCGTGTGCACAGCAAATGGTCACCATGTACTTGGAGAGCAACATGGCAGATGGAACAGAGCTAAAGAGTTGCACAGTATTTCAAAACTGAGTGAATTGCAATAAAGACGAATGGGGCAACACACGCACACACACACACACAAAAAAACAAAACGTGAATTTTTTTTTCATTTAAATGAAAATTTATTTGATTTGAAATTTTTTTTTTCACAAATTTTCGCTGATGATCATGATGATGGTGATGATGAGCATCGCTGAATTATGAAATGAATAAAAATCCATGATGATCATATTTGACATGGATCATCATGATTATAAATTCAAAATAAAAAAACAAAAAATTTTTTTTTTTTTTTTGCAAATTATGAATTATGACACGTCGTATATGAATGGCTAATAACGGCTGGCTTGCTGGCTGTTTTTCTCAGTGTTTACACACACACACACACACGGCTTCATTGTAGTCGTCGTCGACAGTTTGTTGACATCGAATATTTTTTTTTCAAAATTTTCTTTGAATCAAAATAAAAAAAAATGAATGAATGAATGAATGAATTTGTTCCATCATCATTAATAAATGAACGTTTCACATACATTTGATTTATATCTATAAATTTATGTTTTTTTTTTCATCTTCAATCCATTCAATATCATCACCACAATAATAAATATCAAAAGGTCAGAATAAAAAAGAAAACGTAAGATTGACCTGTTTTTTTTTGTTTTGATTTGATTTGATGCAAAAAAAATCATTCATTCATTTTTTTAATTCTCACAATAGGTGAAATTGATCATCGTTGTTAAATGTGAAACGGTTGAAACGAAAACAAACGAACGAAAGAAAGAAAAAAAAATGAATGATTGGCGTCGAGCAATTCGAACACCTATTTCATATTCAATACCTGGTTCTAGTTCGAATCTTGTTCGGCAACAGACAAATTTTGTATCATTTGTAATCATTTCTGGTGCATTTGTTTTATTGATACTTTATGCATACATGCCACCAAGTAATCATGATACGATTGAAGCATTAAATGATGAACATGGCCATTGGCATGAAAAATTAATTGCCTGTGATTGTCTTTTGTCCAATGGTCATCAAAGACATAATGTTGATAATAATAATTTATTTATCTATAATCGAACCTATCCAATGACTGCAATTGAAACAATGAATGATGGACGTTTACGTTATCATATTGCCGTTGTTGCTGATTTGGATAAAAAATCACGATCATTGGCCAAATCAAACACCTATTTATCATATATACTAAATGGTCAACTTGTATTCGATCCACATACACATAATGTTGAAGTGGAATTTGAACCAAATGAAATAGAATTAAGCTCACAATTTTCTTCTGGTGGTCGTGGAATGGAATTATCGGAATTAGTTGTTTTTAATGGTAAACTTTATACTTGTGATGATCGAACTGGTATTGTATTTGAAATTCGTGATTCTTTAATGTTACCATGGATTATTCTTCCCAATGGAAATGGCCATAGCACTGGTAATGGATTCAAATGTGAATGGATGACGGTTAAAGATGATCATCTTTATGTTGGCAGTTTAGGCAAAGAATGGACTTCACCGAATGGTGATAAAATTTTTAATTATGATCCACAATATGTTAAAAAAATTTCTGCATTTGGTCATGTTGAACATTTGGATTGGAGACTACGTTATATTGAATTACGAAGAGCAGCCGGTATTGAAGCACCCGGTTATCTAGTACATGAAGCAGCCGTATGGAGTATGGAAAAAAAACAATGGTATTTTCTACCACGTCGTGCTTCTCATCAACCATATGATGATTCATTGGATGAACAACGTGGTACAAATATTTTTTTAATAGCTGATGATAATTTCACCATGGTCAACAAAAATCATTCAATTGGTCCATTAATAAAAACGCATGGATTTTCATCAATGAAATTATTACCATTACCAGAGGAAATTAAACTCAGCCCATCGGGTACAGAAATTGTCATTGCAATCAAATCGGAAGAAGATGCTAATACTGTCGCCACATATTTAATGGTATTTCGTCTACCAGATGGACATTTACTATTGCCAGAAATGAAAATAAGTACCAAACATAAATATGAAGGAATTGAATTTGTTTGAAATTAAGTTATTATAGGAATTTATTTTGTACAAAAAAAAAATCAATCAATCAATTTTATTATTCGATATATAACATAAAGTGCCTTTCATCATCATCAATGTATGCATGCATGTATCATATGTATTCATCTAGTCTGGTTTTTAATTCAATTCAATATATAAACATTATATCATTAGCAATAAAAAACAAACGAAAAAAAATGAATTTTATCTGAAAAAATTACCATTATTATCAATTTTCGTTTTGTGTATACATGCACAGAGAGAACGTTTTTTTCAGATAAAATAAACTGTAGCTGTAGTGTAAAAATTTTTTTTTTCCATATTTTTTTCAATATCTTCATTACATTGGTTGTTGTGGTTGTTTTTTGTGCAATTTCAATTTGGTTTTTTTTTCTTCCATTTCAAAACAATGTCATTAATTGATGAATCGTATGCAAAATTCCATTCAATTGGTTCAAAATTACCTATTGATTATCATCGGGAAAAAAATCATCATTTACCATCATGGATCGATATGGATCGAATCAAAAAAATTCGATCATTATATGATCGATATTCATATAGTATTGTTTTTAGCCATTTAAGTGGTTTATTAGTGTTGATTTTTAATCCATCCATTTATAAAACATTAAATAAAACGGGAAAATCAAAAAATTTGGTCACAACATTTTATCGTTATTATTATACAGCATTTTTTGTTCGTGAATGGTATGTGAATAAAATTTGGTTAAAAAATGATATCGCATATGAAACATTGAACATTGTAAGTGACCATTTTATTGATGAATTGATTGATTGATTTTTTTTTGCTCACATAGGTAAAAAACATGCACGCCAATGTATCGGATAAACAAAATGAAGGAAAAATGCCGAATAAAGATACAATGTCCATTTCGTGTGTCGATATGACCTTAACACAGTGGGCTTTTGTTGGATTTTTGGTTCTTTATCCAAAAGAAATTGGTTTTTCATTGCGAAAAGAAGATATCGAAACAATTGTCCATTTTTGGGCCGTTATTGGTCATCTGTTAGGCATTGAAGATGAATATAATCTTTGTCTTGGTGATCTACATACTGTTCGCAAACGTTGTCAATTGATTCTGGATAATGATGTACGTCCACATTTTTTGAATTATGATCATGATTCAGCTACAATGGTTGAAAGAATACTGGATATCATATAATCAATACATAATTGGATCAAGATTTACATTGTTCATTAAATTTGTATTTGACACTATACAAATTGAAAAACCAATGCCCATCACAATGAATCGTATGGATGCGTTCTTCTATCGCATGTTTATGTATCTGTTACAAAATCTTTATTTCAATTATGCAATCATCAGATTTCTGATTAATCAATATAATGAATTGGTTATTTTTATCATGAAATCAAAAATGGTACGCAGATTTATTGCAAATCGGTTACAAAAAATGGATCTGCAAAGCAACGGTAACATTCGGGTGGTGATGGATTGAAAATTTTTTTTGTTTTGAAATTTTTTTTTTAAACAAATAATCAAACACACACGCCATCTAGTATCCAATTTTCACATTATTAGTTAGTCAAAAATTTTTATCATCATTCCGATTGTCAATGTAAAAATGGTGAATAATACAAAATATGACAAATAATGAGCAATGGTTTTCAGTACAATTTTTTTCGCCGACAATGATCGTAATCGATTTAGATCCAATTTTCGTAATAAATCTGTAAATGCTAAATATATGAATAGATAGCTAACAAACATCCATAAGAATTGTTTATTTTTTTTGATTGCCGACATTAAAATATTGATCAATGCTAACGAATGTGCCATTGTACCGATAAGCCAATGAATATAATTGAAAATGATTCGAAAATCAGATTGATTATCTGGTTTCAGAAATCCAGTCATAGCTTGTATTGTAATCAATATGGTCGATACATAACCAATAATGGCATGTATGTTTGTTTTCAGTTTACCATCAGCTTGTATTACAATAACAATGATTGATATTGAATTACAAATGAAACCTAGAATGGCTGTTATTTGATGTAAACGATACCATAATGGTATGCCGAATAATTTCTTATCACGCCAAAGATCACCAGTACATCGGGCACATAAAATTGTCGAACTAATACAAGCAATCCAACCGAATAACGCAAACCAAACTTTTGTAGAAAAAATGATGATGATGATTGAATTTCAAATGTAAAACACAAAAATATTACCGTGTAATTTAATTTTAATTGGAATCTGATGATGTTTACCGCCTTTATTTGGTGGTGGTGGTGTTTTCTCTTGAATTCTTATTGAATTCTCCGCCGCAGTTGTTCTGTACTTATCATTAACAGATTGATTTTCAATTTTCATTGATGAAACAATTGAAACAACAATAAGCCAGAATATGATGATTAAACTGAATGATGATGACCAGAATGAAATTCGTTTCATTTTTGCCGGTGGAATTTGAACACAGAATTTAACGATGATGATGATCTGTACAAGAGATTCTCATTTGTCATTTTTGTTGGAAATTTCTATTATATAGGTATGATGTGTGTAATAATAAACCGGAACAAGAATGGATTTAGTGATTATTAATCACAAATCAATCAATCGATCAAATTGATTCAACACAACCATTGTGGATGCATACACAACAATTACAAATACACGTGCGCATACCAAAAAACAATGATGATTTTTAAAACAACAAAATTTTATCAAATCAAATACGTGATGTACAACATGGAAATTTTAATCAATTCTTTGTTCAATCAATCAATTTATTGATAATTTTTTTTTCTTTGTTTATCAAATATCGATATTCCTATTTCAATCATCCGATTAATATTTCTCCATTGAACACAATGAACTATTGAGCATCATTGGTTGAGCTACTGCAGCCACCACCACTATTGTTGAATCTGGCCGTAATCGATGCGGCTGATGATGAACCAGAATTGCTGTTTACAACATCATTTTCTGTATGTAATTCAAATTTTATCTGACATTGTAAATTTAAACGTTTACGGAGTTGTTTACCCAATTCAATTATTTGATCAAAATTTGTTGATGAACGTATCCATAATGATATACGATATTTGGTTGGTTTTAAATTCAATATCATACCAACAATATTCCAATCATAATCGCCTAATGAACCACTCATGATTAATTGTAAACATTCGGTCCAATAATTTTTACTTATGAAAAAATTTTCCAATTGTTGATTGATTGATTGTTGCTGATTCAACCCTGATATGATGATGATGATGACGATGATGATTGTGATGATGAATGGACGTAGTTAATATCAAAAAACCATCGTCCACCACCAGCATTACATTGATCTTCCCATTTTGGTTCAATAGAATCACGAAATATCATCACAGTGGACAATAGATTATTATCATCATTTGTCGATGATAATCGTTGCTGTAATTGTGAATACGTTGACCAAAATGTTCGTGCCATTTTTGTTGCCATACCAAATCGTTTTACATTCCAATCACCAAATGAATTTTCATTCACATCATTCAGTAGCCAAATTTGCCATGCAGTTGTAAATTCAAAATCATTCAATAAATTTTGTTGATTTTTACAACGTTTTCGTTGTTTCTGTCCATCATCATTTTCAGCATCATCATCAGCATCATTATTATTGTCCATATTCTTTCTGTTTGTTAATGATGAATTTTTCATTTTTCACCACTACCACCAGTGGTTGTTGTGGCCACCATTTTGTTGTTTGTTTCATCATTATTACTACCATTAGTTATTAGTTGGATAGGTAATTTTTGTCTTAAAATAATTGTAAAATATGGATAATTTTTCGTTTTACTTGAATTACGTTGATCTCTAATCATATTGTTGCTGTTTCTGGTGCTGCCATTCGAATTATTATCATCAACATCATCATAATGATGATGAGATCGCCATCCTAGAGCACCACCGCTACTACCACCACCACCACCACCACCACCTACTTTGTCTTCTCCTCCTTCACCTACACAAAGATTATCATATTGATTATTCATCGTTTATTTTTGCAATCTCTGGTCTCTGCTCTGGTGTTTGTTTTTTTTACTCAAATACAAACAAATGAAATGAAATGAAATGAAAAACAAATTCAATTTACAATGATAAAAAAACAAACAAACAAACAAACAAATTTTTATACACATCTAACGGCCATCGAATTTTCAATTACCATTGTGTATATATAGTAGTATTTGTTCAAGAGAATTGAATTATTCTGGTGAACAAAAATAGAAACAGAAAAAAAAATAATCAACTTTTCCAAATCGAACATTTGTTGTTGTTGTTTCGATCAACGAGAAAAAAAACTGGAGAAAAAAAAGTTTCAAATTCAATTATATTATGATTATATGGTCGTATTGTTATATATATATAACAACAGCATTAACAAGTTGCCTAATGGCAAAAAATTTTTTTTTCTCGTCGTTTGAACAATTTGATATTGCTACATTCATTATCAGAGGAAAAAATGGTTTTAGGTAAAATTTCAAACGCACACACACACACACACACACACACCAGAATAATAAAGTGAACAACAAAAACAGAAAAAAATGGCAGTGAAACTCTAATATGGTTTTTCTTTTCTTTTTTTTCACCATTTTCGTTCTACAGTGTGTTTGGATAATTCATTTTTCGTGTTTGCAATGATGATCAATTTGTTGTTTTTTTCTTCTTCTTCTTCCAACGAGAATTCATTCGGTGATTGTCCCAAATTGCCTAAGATCTGGTGATCTGGTGATCATCATCATCATCATCATCATCATGATCACCAGATCAAATGTAATAAAAATGATGATGATGATGATGGAAAAAAAATGTCAAATTAAAAGTGACAAATTTCAATTCAATCAATTTATATTTCTCTCTGTGTATGTGTCAATGACAAAAATCAGAATCATTATTTTTTTTAGCATGAATAAATAAATGTCAATTATAGTTGATCATGATTGATAAGAGGGATGATGATGATGATGATAAAGATCTTGTGATGTCAAATGCACACTCACATATAGACACGCACACGCAAAAAATGACCATTCAATTTGGAAATCAATGGAAATCAATTACGGTTAATTCAAATCAAAAAAAAAAAAAAAAAAAAAAGAGAACGAATGAGAGAGAGAAAGAAATATACAATTTGTGTAAAGATGTGAATTCCATTATAATATTTTTATTTACTGTGTTCATTTTTGGCCTTGAAACTACACTCTCTATGGATACAGGGGGGAAAAAATAAATAGAATCCACATCCATATATACCAAAGTGACTTTTTTTTTTCTATGGCAATTCTGCATCAATCACACACACACACACACACACACGCCGATTGCAACACATGATCGTATGATAGTTATTTTTATTTTCTACATCCTACTTGGTGGAATGATTTCCAATTAAAAATCAATCGATCCAAAACCATTGGATTGGATTGAATGACGCATGATCATCATCAAAATACACCCACATACACACATCGTTTTTATTAATATAATTCCGTTCCGGGTATATATTGGTATATATATGAGAAATATCGTTGTTGTTGTTGTTGTTCATCATCATCATCATCATCATCAAATGTTTGTCGTTCGATTCGGTTCGTTTGTTTATTTAGGTTCCACATGGATGATGGTGATGGAAATCTTATCCAACTAGAAACCGGGATCACCATCATCATCATCATCAGATAGATTTCTAGCTCACATGCACACACACATCGAATGAAATTGTTTCCGTTATAATTTCAATTGCAAATTTATTCGATGATGATATGATTTTCAATGTCGAGATTCATTCATTGATTCATCCTAAAGCTACAAAGTTTACAAAAACAAACGCAACTTTTTTTTTTTTTTTCTTGGAATTGGAAAAATTTCATATTTTTTTTACTGTTCTTTTGGATCACATGATCAAAACAAACACTTAACGACGATTATTCGACAAGTGGTTTGATATATGAAAATTTCAATTTAATCCAAGAAAAAAAAGAAGAAAACTTCTGTGTACACACACAATAAACAAATTTATTCATACATATTCATATTTTCAATAATCAATCATCACTTCAAAACAACAACAACAACCGAAAACGACAACAGCAACAAAAATTATATTCATCCATATAGCCATAGTTTTCTACAAATATGATGATGATGATGATGATGAATCAACGAAAAAAAAAAGTTGTGTGACTTTTTTTTTAATTATTTTTGCTCCGCCTCTTGTTGCGTTTGAAAAAAATTTCAACAACAACCACGACAACGACAACAACAATTTTTTTGTCCTTCTCTTTCATTTGTGTGTATCGTATAAATCAAAAGTTTCCAATCATACGACGATAATTATAGACCATAATTTTCATCACCACCCGCAATCTAAAATAATTTTTTTTTTTGCCAAAAAAAAAAAGATTTATTGGAAACGAAAATCGAAAGAATATTTTAATAAGCCATTTTAAGCCATATTCTGGATTCTGTTCATTTTTCTTCTTTCTCGGTAATAAATTATTTTTTATATTGCATTAAGAATTAAACGTCGTTTGTGAATAATAATATTGTGGTAATCATTGCGGTTGTGTGCGTGTGTGTGTGTGTGTGTGTGCGGCCATGTTTGGGTATTAGTTACAACGATCATCATTATGATGATGATGATGATGATTTAAAAATGGTTGATGATGATAATTTCTATGTTTGATGATCATCATCATCATCATCATCATTTTTTTTCTAACATTACATTGATTGATTCTCAATTTTATCGTTCAAGTGTACATGTGGTACTTGACATTGAATACATATTTTTTCTTTTAATTTCTAATCATCATCATTGTTGTTGTTGTTGTTGTTATTTTTCATCTCATGAACAACAACAACAACAAAACAACATTTGACAAATATAAACAAATTTTTTTTTTAGAATTTCAATTCATTCTCTCTGTCTCTGTGTGTGTGTGTGTTTATCTGGCTTTTCTGGGTATTTCTTATTTTTCTGTTGAAATTTATCATCATCATCATCATCATCATTATTGTCAATATTTGTGATTAACTAATTATCACCATCATCATCATCATCATCGTATCATTATCATCATCATTATATCGTCGTCTGTCATCGAATCATACTTGAAAAATTTTCTTGTATCTTCTTATTATAAAAGCAGCAGCGGCATTTGAAGTAGTAGTAATAGTAGTACTAGCAGCAGCAGCAGCAGCAGCAGCAGAAGCATCATCAAAAGTAATATATGACCTTTTTTTTCTTTTCTTTACAACACAGAATTTGATTTTTCTTTTTTCTCTCTAATTTCTAAATTTTTAAAAGTTTTTCATTTTCATTTTAATCAATTGTGAGGTATCACTTCCAAACAAAACAAAACAAAAAAAACATCAAAAACAACAATGACGTTGACGGAAAAAGATACGGAAATTATCCAAAAAACTTGGACAATGGTCCGCGCTGATTCTATACAAGCTGGTGTTGATTTATTTCGAAAGTATGTTGTGTACATGAATGTTTTGAATTTTTGTTCATTTGTCATTTTTTTTTTTTTGTTCACCTGTGTGTGTGTGTATGTGGATGTAGATTTTTTGAAGCCAATCCTGATTATGTAAAACTGTTTCCATTCGACAACCATGAAGATATAGAAGCTGTATTGAAAAGTTCAACATTAAAAATGCATGCCGGTCGTGTTATGACAGCATTATCATCCATTGTTGACAATCTTAATGATCCAATTATGTTTGAAGAAAATTTACAAAAAATCATCATAAGCCATGTACAACGTAATATCGAGCTTAAACAATTTGAAAATCTTAAATTGGCTTTAGTACAATTATTAATGGATAAATTAGGCACCAACATAATGGATGATCAAGCCAAAGAATCGTGGTCAAAAGCATATGACGTTATTCTTGAAACGTATAAAAAAAGTAAACAAAATTCTCAATCATCATGATGATCAACGAAATGATTCAAAAAAAAAAAATATGGAAATATTTCGACCCTTTTCAAAAATTCATGTTCCAGGACTAAAAAAAACCAAAAACCAAAAAAAAATGAAACAAAATTTTTGTTTTTCTTTCCCTAAAACACAAAATTGTAATGAAAAAAAAAGAAAATTTTAATTTCAATCAAAAAACATTGTTTTACAATAAAACAATATGTTGAATGGTGACAAGAATTTTTTTTTTTTTGGTAAAATTAATCAATTCACAAAACGATGATCTACGGTACATTTGTTCATCAATGGCCGATGGTCATTGAAACAGGAAAAAAAAATCTAAAATTATGAAAACGGTAAAATTTCAAATTGCGCGCCAAACCAAAGAAAAAAAGAAAGAATCTTGATGAATGCAAGAAAATCGTCATCATCATCATCATCATCATCATGTGTAAAATAAAAGACTGACATATAGAAGTAACGATAGTAAAGAATTGTGTAAAAATGTTCTTGACTTTTCAAAGTGTTGTTTTTTTTGTTGTTGTTGTAAAGGGTTATCCAAAAAAAAAAAAAAAAAGAATAAAGAGGAATAAAAGAGAACCAGTGTATAGAATAATAATAATAATAATAAATGGAGAGAATTGCATTCCTTGGGAATTTTTTTTTTTGAAAACAAAAAAACAAAAATCAAAAATCAAAAAAAAAATCCCACCAGGTACGCCCTCTAGTGTCCGGAATTGTAAACAGAATTTTTTGTTTTTGTTTTTTTGGTTTTACCATTTTGAATTTTTTTCTTCTTGTTTCGTCTTTTTTTTGGATCAATAAATATCATATATAATCGTGGTATAAATTCGTGGTGTGTGTACGTGTGTGTGCACGTGTGTGTTTCATTCATCATCATCATCATCATGAAATTGTACAGTTATTATTTTTGAATCCATTTCGTAGTCTATATTCAAATTCATCTGTATCACTAAGAGAATTTTTTCTCGATGAATCATTAAGGCTATTACAACTTCCATAGAAATCATCGCCGAAAAATAATTTTTCCGACGATATTGATGATCGTGATGGTGAAATGTCTGGATCTGATTCACTTCCTTTATCAATCGATGATGAAGTATGTGTGCTGTTGTTGTTGTTGTTGTTGGTGGTGGTGGTGTTGTTGGTCATAGTAGTAGCAGCATTGGTCACATTTTTCTCTTTTTCCATTCGTCGTGCTTCATTAATCAATTTTTGACGAAATAATTGGCTCAAAATACGTTTAACGTTTTCATCGTTTTTCGCTGAACATTCAACATGACCAAATTCCCAATCAATACTGATGATCGAATCAATAAGATTAACATCGATGACACGAGATTCAGTTAAATCTATAATCGATGAAACAATAATGTATTACAAATTTAATTCAATTGAAAAAAAAACAAAAACAAAACAAAATATACAAACCAATTTTATTGGCCACCACAACTAATGGTGGAATATTTGGTCCACGTAGCTTCAAAATATGTTCTTTAAGGCGGCAAATTTCATCCAATGATTCTTGATCATCCACTGCATAAACAAGTATGAATGCATCGGCTGTTTGTATGGCTAGATCACGCATTGCTATTTGAAAACAATGGATAAATGAATAATTGTCAGTGTTTAAAATTGTTAAATAATAAAATTACCAGGAAATGGATAAGTGCCCGATGTATCAAGTAAATCCAACATAATTGTCATATCTGAATTACGTGTTTTGAATTCAACTTGATGCAATTCTTCCACTGTTGGTATATGTTCATCAACAAATGTTGATGTAGGTAAAATTCTACGTACTATTGATGTTTTTCCTGATTGAATCAAATGAGATAAAAAAATATACCATTAATATACTGAATATATGAATTTATTTAAACAGAATTTTTAGATTCAGAATCATATCATATCACGTAATCCAAAAAAAAAAAAAAAAAAAAATGTTTCTTTGAAATATTAATAAAAAAAACAATGGATCAAAAACAAAATAGAAAATTCTAAAAATAGCTACTGTTACATTGATGATGATGATGATGATGATAAACCCTATGATTCTTTCACTTCTCTTGGAACTGTTACTGGAACAACATTCCCCAGAGAGAGAGAAAGCAGATCAATGATCCAATGATGATCACGTTGCATTGTGTGTGTGTGTGTGTGTGAACGAATTACATGAAACACTGAATTAAATCACAAACAAAATGATAATTAAAGAAAAATTCCATTGATTTTTTTTTATATTTTGTTTGGAAATTGTCATTGTTTGTTTGTCGAGATCGATATATACATTTTTTTTTTTGGTTTTCATTTTCAATTTTATCCGAAAAAAACAGTCATTAACCAATCATTTGAACCGGAAAGACAACAAAACAAAACAAAACAAAACAAAAAATCACAATCTGTCAATATATAACAATTTTAGGACCAACCAACCAGCCAACCAACCAACCAACAGTCCAACATGATTGTTATCCCTAGTGGGTATTCATTGGAATCCTATGATTATGACGGCTTATTCTATGTGTGTGTGTGTGTTATTTGTTTTTTTTTCACCATCATCAAACACATTAAAATCGATCACAAGATAGACAGAATTGAAAATAAAAACATTTGCCACTCCCCTTCCCCATACATATAGCTAAAAACAAAGAATAATAAACATTCAGGAAGGAAAAAAAATATTGAGAGACAGAGAGAATTGTTTGGAAAAACAAAAACAATAGAAACTCGAAAAAAAAAGTTTATTGCACCCGATGAGATTTTTTTTTTTTTTACAAACACAAACAAACAAACAAACATTTCATGTGTCATGTGTCATGTGTGTGTGTGTGACCCTATGTTTTTCGCATTCTTTTCTTTTTTTTTTTTTTGATTCTGATAATCAAAACATAAACAATCGATCAATGATGGGAAAATGTCTGTCTGTCTGTGTGTGTGTGTGTTGTAAAATACACAATCTGACAATGGATGAATTCAGAATAGAATTTTGAAAAAAACAAAAACAAAAAAAAACAAAACAAAACGACAAAAGTTTTGTTTTTGAATGTTGATTCATTCTGTCAAATATACATTGCTACCATTTTCATTTTCATTGTGTCAATATATTCCATATTCAAACCAATGATGATGATGATGATGATGAGTTGTTTCGGCATTGTTTTTTGCATCTAATACATTGAATGAGTACATTTTTTTTCAATTCGTTAAGTACATGCTAATTTTACTGGCTTCTTTTTTTTATTTTCGGTCTGTCTGATTCATTCATTCATTCCAAAGTAGAATTGGGTAGAACAAATAAAAATGTTAATAGATTCTGGAATAAAAAGAATATAACTTTAGAAACCAGAATTTGTTGATTAACAATGAAAAAAAAGCCGTAAACAAAAAACTGACAAAAAACAATTTAAAATTGCCCTTGACAGTGAATATTTTATTATTTTTTTTTCAGTTTAATTTAGTCAGTTAAATTAGAAATTTGATTTGAATTCAATTTAGAATTTTATAGAATTTTCTGGAAAAAAATTCAATTTAGGATGTATGAAAACATTTTTTGTTCTCATCATCATCATCATCTTCATTAGTGGCTGTCAAAACGTTACCATTTTTTGATTTAACATTCAGGAGATTGAATAATTCTCTTTTTGTTTGCTTTTTTTTTTTTTTTTTTTTTTGGTTTGAAATTTCAAATCATCCTGGATGGATTTTTTTTTATCTCTCTATTCCATCTACCACCACTACTACTACTACCTATTCTTATCAGGTATCAAACATTAATTAATTTTATGACAAATTCTTGTCGTTTACTTGAAACGAATTTTTTTTAAAAAAAGGTAGACAAAAAAAATTGCCTGAAAAAAATCAAGAATCAAATTTCAATCACAGAATAGATTCTATCATTATTTAGAAATTTAAAATTTAAAAATTTAATTCAACAAAATAATAATTTGACACTTTCGAAAAAAAAAAACGCACACAGATCCATTATGAGATTCTTATGTGGATTCCGACAACCAAAAAAATTCTAATGTGAATGACCATGTGTGATTCATTCTGGCCAGAATCATCATTGTGAAAAAAAAATTTAGATGCATTTTCTTTGTGAATATTCATTCTTTATTCTTTGATTATAATTCATTCATTTATTATTCATCATTCATCATCATTTGAGATTTCTGACAGAGAGAGAGAGAGAGAGAGAGAGAGAGAGAGTGAGAAAGATATCAATGAACTTTTAAGCCACTTTGGTATTTTTGTTTTTCTGGTCCATATCTAAATCACTATAACCGATTGATGAATGGATCCGGAAACAATTGAACAATAACAACAACAACAACAACAACAACAACAACAACAATAGCAAAAAGAAAACGTTGATGCGTGTGAAATGTGTTTTCACTTGTTCTCTCAATTTTTTTTTGTCCGTAATAAACGATAGTAAGAGATGTGTGTGTGTGTGTGTGTGTACACAACAACATTTTGATTAGTATATGAATGTGCGTTAACCATTTTTTTCCGGTTCTAGTTCTGAATCATTATCATCATCATCATCAAATTACCGATAAGACGGGAATCAAATTCCATCATGATGATATCAATGATAACAATAAATGTAAACTATATCGTTGTGTTTGTGTGTGTGTGTGTGTGTAATATGTCAGTATACGGGAAATGTACAAAACACACACACACACACACACACACACATTTTCATGTATAGCTTAACTCTATCTTTTACTAAATTGATAAAAACAAATTGAATAAGGGTGAATGACACACGAAAGAAAATCCCGTTATCATGGCATCGAAACTTTTATCATTCAAATATGTGTGTGTGTGTGTGTGTGTGTGTGTGTGTGTGTATGTTCATAATATCCATACATGTATGCAAGAAAACGAAAATTTTCTTTCCAGCCGTTTTTTTTTTTTTTTTTTTTTGAATGACAGCAATATTGAGGTTTTTTTTCCCATATAGTTTGAATGTTGTCGTCGTATGTTGTTGTTGTACTTTTGTTTTGAACTTAATTCTCTATTCGTTATCAATGAATAAATTCCGTAGTTTCGTTTACATCGTCCATCCATTTAGCTGTAATGGATGTGTGTGTGTGTGTGTGTATGTTGATGAAACGCATAACAAACGGAATGTGCGGGAATAAAAAAAAAAGTCTTTGATCTGAATTTTTTTTCTTGGTTCAATTTCATAAACTACACGGGTAGGCATCCCTTGTTTCAGTGGTTGATTGATAAATAAAAAAAAATTCTCGTTCTATCAAATTCCAACAAAAAAAAACATCATCATCATCATCATCATCGAAGAATGGAATGCGAGAGAATTTTTTTTTCTTCTTTTAAAATATAGAAAAAAGAAATTGCGTCTTATTATAATTTTTGTGTGTGTGTGTGTGTGTGGGAAAAAAGGGTTAACTTTTCCAAATATAACAGAATTGTTGGCCGAATTTTTTTTTGGGTTCATTTTTTATCAAAACAAAAAAAATAATATTCTGAATGTTGAACACCTGGTCTTTTTTTTTTGTTTTTGGAATCAAATTTGCAACAAAAAAAAGATTTTATTTTTGTGAAAAAAAATTTGTTGACAAAAATGAAATTCAATGCCATGCCATGATCAAATCGTCATCATCATCATGATTTATTAAATTTCCAACGTAAAAATGCACGGATATATTCTCGATATAATCGATCCATCATTCTTGTTGCTGATGTTGTTGAATAATTGATTACTGATCACATGTCAACACAAATGGAATTGGGATTATTTTTGTATCACAATGGATATATATCTATCTATTTCATTCGTTTCAATTACTTTTTCTCCATTTGCTAAGAATAAATCTGTCTAATATTAGCGTGAGTGTAATCTGATCATCATCATCATCATTTAATAAAGGCCGAAATTGTTAATTAATTAATGAGAGAGAAAAAGAGAGAGACAATCCTTTGTTTATCATATAAATGAAAAAAAAGTTTTTGAACTTGAAATGTGATCGTGTCGTCGTCGTTGATGATAAAAGGTTTATGACCTCCATCCATGATGATGATGATGGTGATCATTTCAAAAAATTTAATCATCAATGACAAAATTAAAAACAAGAATAAGAAGATTCTCTTTCTGCTCGTGTGTGTGTGTGTTGCAAAATGAAAAATGAAAACTAGACATGACATGCCATGATAATATGAAATCAGGAAATGAGAAAAAAAATGTCTAGATCCATCAATATCTATCTATCTATCTATCAATCTAATCTATACAGTATTGCACAATTTCATATATCAGGGATTATGAAGATGAACGTCTTTCATACATTTTTTTTTATCATTGAAAAATTTTTATTAATCGTCACCACACACACACAGACACGAATCACAAGATTCAACGCACTATATCGGCTTCATTTGTCCAAAGGTAACAGAAATGACAGTGACATTAAACTTGAAAATAAAATGAAATGAAAAAACAAAAGAAATTCTGCTGAATTGCGGCAAAAAAAAAATTATTGTGTCCGTCAAATGAAAAAAAAATCCGAATGTACTTTTGCATTCTGGTGGATGCAAGTGATCAGAAAAAAACTTGTGCAACCATTGTTCAATGTATTATCCACATTTATAGTGGAAAGCAAAATTTGATTTGAAATTTATTGTTTTTTTTGTTCTGTAATTGTTATCAAAAAATACAAAAGTAACTGGAAAAAATTTAGATCCTCTATTAATGTGTTTGTATCATAAAATTATCATCACCATCATTATCGGAATGACTTGGCACCATGGACAGGACATGTATAGAAGATATGGCGAGAATCAAGGGATTTCATTTCGTTTAGATTTTTTTTTTTAGAATCAAAAAGTACAAATTGCATAATAATAAGCCAATGTTTATGATGTTCAATGTGCATTAGTCTTATTGTGTTTTTGTTTATGCAATTTCACTAATCTGAATTTTGCTGAACAATTTCAGTGTAATTATTTAGCATCAAGTTTTATATTTAATTTTTTTTCTGCTTGCTGACACACATTGTACAATGACATAATAATAATAATAATTGATGATGATTGGTGATTGGTGATTGAATCTGGACATTTGTTTTCTTTTTTTTTTTTTTAATTCATTACGATTAAAAAGTATGTTTTTTTTTCAGTTCCAGGCTAATCTTAGGGTACACGGTGTTTTATTTTGTTTTGTTTTGTTCGTTTGGCAAGACAATAACAGAATAACAGAATTTGGTTATTGACATTGATTTTTGCAAGCATCATTTTTTTCTGTTTTTGAATAATAACCAGATATATATTCTATAATCGGCCTTGTTAAGCCGAAAAAAAAATTGTTTTTCATTTTCATTTTCATTTTTTTTTATTTGGATCGGCCAAGACCTTCATCATTTTTGATGATGAATTCAAGGCGAAAAAAAAATTCATTTTTTTGTTGTTGTTGTTGTTATTGTTTTTTTTCTCTCTCTTGGATCATTGTTATTCAAATGTTGACATTGAAAATAACATTGTTTGGCATGTGTGTGTGTGTGTGTGTGTGTTTGCATCTGTGTGTATAAACACGATAAACAGGTAAAAACAACAACAACAATGCAAGGTTAAATTTTTTTCTATTTCAATAATCTATTTCTAATAATGTGGTTAAAATGGCTTTTTTCTTGTTTTTTTTTAGAAAAGCGGAATTTAAAAAAAAACTCATCTTTATCAGACAGAAAAAAATGGAAAACAAAACACACACTTACCAACACGAGAACTACCAAATACGGCCACCTTGAATTGAAGATAGATACGTTCTTTGTTTTGCCAATGAAATCCAAGCCTTGGAAATGACATTCGTGGAGCCATTTTTTCTGATTGGATCAGTTCGTTCGTTCGTTCGTTTTTTTTTTTTGTTTGTTTGGTTCGATTTAGATTAAAATTTTTTCGCTGCATTTTTTCCCACAAATATGAAAATTCGACAGGGGTAGAGAGAGGGGGAGGAAAAAATTTTTTAATGGTTAAAAATTATCAAATTTTTTTTCAAAAAAAAAAATTACCAAAATTAAACAAACGCACAATGGTCAAAATAGCGGTGATGGTGGTGTTAAGTCACAAAAACAAATAAATACCGTGATGATGACACATACAAAATACAAAGCAATGATGATGTGAAAAAAAAACTTTTTGGTTCGAAAATTCAATTTGTCAAGATTGTAAAATTTGTTCATTGAAACAAACAACAATGATAATGTTGATGAATGATGGTTTCATTTTGTTTTGTCTTGTTTTTTTTTTCTCGTTGGAATAAATGGAAAAAAAATTCTTGATAAGATTCTTTGATGGTGATGAAAAGAATTTATTCCATTTCGTTTTGTTCATCAAAATGATCAATAATAGTCAGTTGTCGATCGATTCTCGTTTATATACTGTCTGATTGTGTGTGTGTGTGTGTGTGTGTGTTTGTTGATGAGATAATAATCGAATGAAAATATTGAAACAAGTGGTTGAAAAGTGGTGGCAGCAAAATGTGCGCGCGTCAATTTATTTTTGATATTCATATCGACAATTTGAAAAGTAATGTCCATAATATACCATACATATACTGAGAGAGAATATTTTCATTACATTCACGTGAAAAACTTGAAATAAAATAATAATAAAAAAAATGCAACCAAAAACATTGAATGAATATAATGATGCTATAGCTTCAATTTATATCAAATAAATAAATAAAATACACAGAAAGAACCTTGAACAGACAACCAGAATTTATTCATATGTGTGCGATGCTTGTACATACATACTTGCGCATCATCGATTCGGTTGTCTTGGATCGACTTGGCATGACTTGAACTGTATTTTTTTTTATTATTGTAAAATCCCCATATGTATGTACATGGTTGATGATATATATAGACAGAATATTCTTTTTTTACGTATTTTTCATCAAAAAAAAAATGAATAGTTTGATGTACTTTTTTACCATTTTATTGATTTTCGTTTTTTTTAAATATCGTCAAATTCTGGATTTTTTTTTGTTTTTGTTTTTGGTCATTTTTTTCGTTTCTTTCCATAGCCACAAACGGTAAAGAATCAAGAATTCATTGGATTCATTACTGATTACCGTTATTAAAAATGAAAAATTGAATTCTTTGTGTGTGTGTGTGTGTGTGTGTGTATTAACTTGTGACTTATTTATTGTGAATTTCTTTTTTTAGATCAGAGTAAAAAAAACGATATCATTTTGATTTAGTTTAAGTAACTATTGATTTTTTGGGGTAGATAAATCGATGAATGGATGATAAAACAACATTGCCATGCAGAGATATGTTCCAAATACTTTTGTTTGTTTGTTTTTGTTTGTTTGCATTCAACACTTGATTTAACATCAAAGAAAAAACACAAATACATCTAGATTCTAGAACGTACTAAATTCAGAGAGCGAGCGAGAGATTAGCATTAGGATTGCAATGGATCAAGAGAAAAAAATTTCGTTTTAGCTGATTTGATACTGCTGCTGCTGCTGCTGCTGTTGTTGTTGTTGTTATTATTATTACACAAACACAGCAGTCATTTTAGCCAGTCAATTTGGTCGAAAATGAATATTCTGGTCATGCTTGATGATCATAACAAACATGGTTTTTTTTTATTTTTGTTATAGAGAACATCGAATTACTATTGTGAATTCTAATGGACGGATAAATAGATGGATTGTTGAAAAGTGTAACAAGGTCATTTACACACACACACAATTTGTGTTGTTGTTGTGCCGATTGATTTGACTTGAACAATTCGTATGTTTTTTTTTCTTTCATCATCATCATCATGATGATCTTTAAGTTCCAAATTTTCGTTTCTAGTTCAACAAAAAATTTTCATGTTCTTTTTTTTGTTATTCTTGTTCTGTTTACTGGTCGTTTTTTTTTTGATCGGTCGAATGATGTTCTGGAACATACACACACACACACACACACACGAACGACCAACAAAAAACAGAACAATTCTGTATGTATTTGACCCCATTATTTTTGAAAATGGATGCGTCTTTTTTTCTTCTTTGTTTGCTTGTCATGTTTTTTATATATATATATATGAACGACGATAAGTCATCGCTTGTAAATTATCATCCATGATGATGACGACCAATTGATGTTTATGTGTGTGTGTGTGCAGGCATACTGGCCATAGCCAGGAAAAATGAAACCAGAACGACCAGTGAACCAAAGTTGGCCAGCAACAACAACAACAACAACAACAACAACAACAAAAATGGGAACAAAACCATCATCATTTTTGGTTCCTATTTGTGTGTATATAACCAGAAACAACATGGCAGAATATAGAATAAATAAATTTTAACCAAACAACGACCTTATTGGAAGAGAAAAAAAAAATTACGGAAATAAAGAAGATGTATCCAACGGAAGCGGAAGTTGAATCCGGAATTTCGTATCAATTCGTTTGTACTCTCAGTGCAGATTTCCTTTTTTTTTTCTCTCTCTCTCTCTCTCTCTCTCTCTCTCTCTCTGATTTATCGATGATCAATCTGAGCGATCCAGATATTCAATGATTTGAAATAACAAACAAGTGAAAACAAAACAAAACAAAACAATGGCTACCACACCACACCACACCAAACAAATGAAAAAAGATCAACACGGCAAAAAAAAACAACTGAAAATCCACTCATATTACATATGACATTGTTAATGGTCGTGTGTGTGTGTATATATGGTATTCAATTCAATTCAATTCAATCCAATTTGATTGTTTTGTTTTTTTTTATTTGTTTAGTTTTTGTTTCAATATAGAATATATATATAGAATGATCGAGAAAAATCGGTCAAATCAAATAGGGTCATCAATTTTGAATTTCATTTTTTCTCTCTCTCTCTAGTCATTTCATTTCATTATTTGTTTAATTTTGGCTAATAATAAATTTGACACAATTTTGGCTATCGTTTTTGGGATTGATTGATTTTGATTTTTTTTTTTTTGGGATTCTTCTTCTTTTTACAACCCAATTCCATATGCATATTTGAATTGAATGAATGGAAAAAAATCAAAAGTTTTTATTGCACAGTTTTTGTGAGCAAAAAAAAAAACAAATTGATAGAAATTCTGTTTCATTTATTTTTCAAGAATTTTTTTTATATGTCAAGTCCATGAACGATTGTTTATATCATGATCATCATCGTCATCATTGATTTGTCATTGATATTCTACTGATTTATGATCGTATTACCATTTTCAAATAAATTTTCTTCTTCTTCATAAAAACAAAATTTTCAAGGTTAACACACAAATTGTTGTTGTTGTTGTTGCTGCTGCTGCTGCTGTCATTATCAAATGATTTTCATGCAAGAATCTCAAGATCTTTATTCACGGTGAATAGTTTTAATTACCGTAATCGTTTAATTGAATTTGATTATTGAAAAGAAAAACAACAAAAAAATCATCACAAGATTATTCGCATTTATCTTTTGATCACGCAATTTAAAAATAGACAATGAAAATTGAAATTGAAAAAGAGAAAAACAGACAAATTCATCATGTGTGTGTGTGTGTGTGTCTGAGAGACCTTGTTTGTTGTGGATAATTTTTATTATTCAATGACGTTTTCATGTGATACCAAACAAACACATCTGATCACAGATGGATATGGATATACGTCATTATGTTTTTTTTTTTGAATTTGAAAATGATGATGATGATGATGATGGTCATCGATTATTTTTTTTTCCTGACCAACATTGAATGAATGTCGATTCTTTTTGTGTGTTATTGTCGACGACACAATAAACATAAAGGGTGGACATTCGATTCATTCATTCAATTTTCATCTAAATAATGAATTATCAGCACCAGCCAAACAACAACAACAACAACAACAACAAAAACTAGAACAAATTATTTATTTAGAAAATTCAAATAAAAAATTCATTTTTAAATAATGAAAATATTCATCCAATGGTCATCAATTCAACAACAACAACAACAATGAAATTCATGTAATTCAATTGTTGTGTTCAAATTGAAAAAAAAACAACATCTATCTAGGTCAATATAGACAAAAATCATCCAATCATCATCATCATCATCATTGAAAATAAAGACATTTATATACTGCCTACAAGACCAACAAAAAAAAACAACACCCATCCACCCACACACACACTTGGACGAAAATAACAACAAAAATTCAACGATACGCCCCCCTCCACACACACACACACACACACACTTACAAGTGAGCCAATCACGTGTTTGAAAAACAAAACATAAGGAAAACTTTAATTGCTGACTGGGAAAAGTTTTCAAAAAAAAAACTTTTCATCATCATAAGCCTTTTTTTCACTTTAATTCGTTTGTTTATTATTTTTATGTATACAGTTTGTCGGTCATTCATTTGTTGGCCATGCGAAATATCCACCATCGTCATCAGAATATACACCTACAGAAATGCAATGTTCCAGATTTATACATATACATAGAGATAGGGAGAGATTATATAAGAATTGTGGTAACAAACAAACAAAAAAAAAAAAAAAAAAATGTTGCCACATGTAGCGTGTGAAAATTGAAAAATGTTCAAAAAAAATGAAATGAAATGAAATGTTGAAATTTGAGCAATTTCAAACGGAAATAAACAAAGAAAAATTGAATTGAAAACAAAACAAAAATAAACGAACGAACCAAAGTCAACCCGAAAAAAAATTACCCGGGCCCTTACTATATATCCATTTGATGTGTGCATGTGTGTGACGATGATGATGACGAAAAAAAAACCAACGAACAAACATGTCGTCAGGTCATACACACACACACACACACACACGTCATTCAATTGAAAAAAAACTTAACCAAAGAAAAATATAAAACTGGGTCATAGCGTAGGAGGATATTCATTGGATGCTGTTGCTGTGTTGTTGTCGGTTGATCTATCTCATCTCTCATCTGCTCAATAGTATTTGGTATCTGCTTCTTCTTCTTTTTCTTTTTTTTTTCTTTTTCTTCTTGATTTCACATTCGTTATGAGAAAAAAAGCCAATATTTTTAGACTTTTTTTTTGATTTATATCAGTTTTCTCATGTAGATTGTTTATTTCTGGTTTTGTTTCACATAGTAACAAATCATCATCGTCGTATATTTGTTGCCAATTTTCATTCATTCATTTATTCAGGAATATTTTTCAGTCTCCAAAGACATATGATTCGAATTTCTTCATCGTCATTTGTATTTCTAAAGAATATTTGTACAAAAAAAAAAACACAGAACTCAACTAATTGATACATTGAGAATATTGAAACAGGGATGAATATTTGTTTCAACAAAAAAAAGTACGATTCTACATTTAAATTGTTATCTGGAAAATAAAATCCAAAATCCAATGAAAAATCATTTTAAGCTGTATAGTGGACACTATTATTGATGATTATAATGGTGAATTAATTGGTTGTGAATGTAGAATTTTATTTTATTTTTTTTTCTACAGAATTTCTTCATATTATTGACGTTTGATGATTCTATTTTTTTTCTATTCATCGTTTTTTTGTTTGATCAACTCTACAGCATTGTCTTCTTCTCTTTTTTTTTCATTTGTTTCTGTAAATGTTATTAGGTTATCATATTTATATATTATGAATACTGAATATGATGATTATTCATTGCATAGAATATGAGAAAGAAATAGGTGAGAAAAATATCATTTCTCATTGACAACACCCACACACACACACACACACCAAATGTTTGACAATTACCCTATTTAGTTACAATTTTCTCTCTCTGTGTGTGTGTGTGTGTGTGTGTGTGTGTGTTTGTTTACATGTTACATGTATTTCAATAAAAATGTAGGCGTCAGACATACAATAATGCCTAGAAATGGGAAAAAAAAACACGTCCATATGTAAAAGACCTAGTTTTTTTTTCTATGAGCTCACAAATCACAGATATCAAATGTAGTTTTTTTTCTGCTAGAGAAAATGTTTTTTTTGTTGATTTTTTGCCAACAGAATCATATTTCACATTCGGTAATAATTTATGATGATGATGATGATGATGATTAATCAAAGAAATCATTAATCAAATCATCATCGATTGATTAATGATTAAAACAAACAGAAACATCTATAGATGAAATGTAAATATGAAAGAAAAAAATACAAAAAGATTATCCAGATTTCGAGGCCGAAAAATCCATTTAATTCGATTGATTTATTGACTTATTGACTTGCTACTAATTTCGATGACTTATTATTATTGATTTAATACGATATACAAAAAAAAACAGATTAACAGATTAAATCTTTGTTGTTTGTTTGAAAGAATATAAATAATCCTGTTGTATATTATTCATCAGAAATTCTTATTCAATTTCTTAGAAACAATGTGAAAAACAATATTATTCAAAAACAAAAAACAAAAACAAAAACAAGGCGCGAATAAATTTTTCAAATGAAAAACAATTGTTACCAGAATCTTGATAGATGGCAGCATTGTCGATATATAAAAAAAGACGAAGAATAACGAACATTTAGAAATTTTTTCTCTGTTGAAGAGAAATAAAATTTTTTTTTTTTTGATTTTTGAACTTTATTTATATTTCATCATTTCGTACGTGTTGTTGATACATGTGACCATCATCATCATCATCATCATTTATATTTCATCCATTTATGTCACATGGTAACCACCACCACCACCACCATCATGATCATTTAATCAAATCGAATCGAATCGAATAAAACGAAACGAATTTGTAAATTTGTTTCAATCAAGCAAAAACACATAAAAACTTTACATTGCTATTGCCACTAAATAATAATAATAATAATAATAAAACAAAATTTCAATCACTAGACAAACACACCAGGTACGTTTGATTGTATCAATGTGGATTAATTTAATATACATCTCTTTCATCATTATTACCATTGCCACCACATCATCAGATCTTATAATCATCATTACCATATATTAAAATTAACATTATTATTATAATCATCATTGATGAATGTAAAATTATAATTTCATTACATTCATCATCATCATCATGTTTCATCGTTATTTTATAAACAAAACAAAAAGCCATAAGCATAATGTTCGTATCCAGAAAATAGCAGACAAAAATCGCACCCATCGTAATGAAAATGAAAATGAAAATCAGTACAAGCAAGCAAGCAAGAAAGCAAAACCATAAAAAAATGATTGATTGATGTTTTTATTTTAAATCTATGGATATTTCGTTTTCGTTTTGTTGTTGTTGTTGTTGTTGTTGTTGTCATTATTATTATTATAGTCGGCCTCTTCATCATCTTGTGTTTTTTTGCTCTCTCTCTCTCTCTCTCTCTGTGGTAACTAAATAACTAAAACCACAGCGATCATCCTCATCATCATGACAGCAAATCAAACACAAAAATATATCCAATATACAATGATCATCATTCCACATAATCGTAATCTGGCCACATCGATTTTCGATTCAGATTTATTTGAAATCTTCACTCAACATTTCGATTTTTTTTTTGATTCGTTTTCAATTCATTTTTAATTGAATTTCATTTTTTCTCTTCTTGTACTTCCTTATTTGGACTGAATAATGTGGGCATCATCATCATCATCACCATCATTATCATCACAATTTTCATGGATTCTATTGTCACTTTACATACTAGGTAGTACAACAACAATACAAATATTAAAATCTGAAGTCAATTATGATGAAATATTATTGGAAGAAAATGAAAAAATACGAAATGAACGACAAACTATCGTCAATGCTCATTGGAATCTTGAAACAAATATCACCGATTATAATGAAGAATATCTTGTAAGTTATTTGTCGCTATATGTCTTGAAATGATTTATTTTTTTCTCTATCTCTTTTGGATTTTTAATTAGACTAAAGTTAATAAAGAATATGATAATTTCCGCAAACGGCAATACAACACAATCAAACAATATCTTACTGATGAACATAAACGTAATATGACTGAAAGTCAACGGCGACAATTTGAACGATTAGGTTTTCTTGGATTCTCTGTACTTGGTGAAAATGAAGGTATTGAATTTAAAAATATACAAATTCAAATGGAAAAAATCTATAGCGTTGCAACTATTGAAATGGATGCGGGCCGGAATCTGTCATTAGAACCAGATTTGAATAAAATTTATGCCACATCAACCAATGAATCATTATTGAAAGATATTTGGATTAAATGGCGTGATCAAACTGGTAAAGAAATTCGAAAACATTTTATCAATTATATACGATTAGGTAATAAAGCGGCTAAAGAATTGGGCTATAAAAATATTGTCGATATTTGGATGTTTGATTGGGAAAATGGTGATGATATTAAACAACAAGTTGAACAAATTGTCAATGATTTGATGAAACTTTATGAAAAAATACATGCATATGTACGATATCATTTGGCAAAAAATTATAATGTATCAATGCCCATTGATGGAACAATACCGGCACATTTATTGGGAAATCTGTGGGGACAAACCTGGGGCAATCTATTGACAATTTTTCCATCAATGCAATTGAAACCAGATTTACCATCATTGGATAAGGAAATTAATGAAAAATTAAAGGTGTCCAGTTGTGTTTCATATATATATATAAAGTATATAGTTTGTTTTATTTAAGAAAAAAAATTTTTTTTTTTCTTCCATAATAGAATTGGACCGTGAAACAAATGTTTGAAATGTCGGAGAAATTTTTCATCAGTCTTGGAATGAAAAATATGACTAAAATATTTTGGGAAGAATCAATAATTGAAAAAAGAAATGATGTTGAAATGGTTTGGTAAGTCTTATTTTTTTATCAATGATGATCGTCATCATTTTTTTTTCTCTGAATAATTTCCATTACATCATTTCATAGTCATGCATCGGCTTGGGATATGTTTGTAATGCATGATTTTCGTATCAAACAATGTACAGAGAAAACATTAGAAGATCTGGTCACTGTTCATCATGAAATGGGACATATTCAATATTTTATGAACTATGAAGAAAGACCGACCGTTTATCGTGAAGGTGCTAATCCTGGATTTCATGAAGCCATTGGTGATTTAATGGCATTATCAGTAATAACGCCTGAACATTTAACCAAAGTTGGATTATTGGATAAATCACGGATTGAAAAAAATCTTGAAGATTTAAATCTTAATTATCTATTACGTGTTGCATTGGATAAAATTGCTTTTTTACCATTCGCTTTCGTAATGGACAAATGGCGATGGGATATATTCGATGATGATGATGATCAGGATAATGACGATAAACGTATTGATCACATGAATCGTCATTGGTGGGAATTACGATTAAAATATCAAGGAATATCACCACCAGTTAAACGTAGTGAAATTGATTTTGATCCTGGTTCTAAATATCATATACCAGCCGGTGTTGAATATGTACGATATTTTGTATCACATATATTGCAATTTCAATTCTATAAACATTTATGTCAAAATGTAACCGAAAAAAATAAACTCTATCAATGTGATTTTTATGAAAACAAAGAGGCTGGCCAACAATTGATCACAATGTTACAAAAAGGATCATCTGATCGTTGGCAAAATGTATTGAAAGATTTTATTGGCACATCAAAAATGAGTTCCGATGCACTTTATGAATATTTTGCACCATTAAATCAAACATTAACGGATTTTATTGTCAAAAATCAAATCAAAGTCGGTTGGGATGCAAAAGGTAACGTTTTTTAAAATTTTTTTTTCAATTTCTAATCTTGTTTTCTATCCCCTCACATAGTTGATGATTATTTCATTGATGGACCTGATTCATCTTCTGCTTCTAAAACACAAATAGTGACCACAATGCAAATTTTCATCATAACAACAACAGCAACAACATTATTGTCAATATTTTTTATTATTTAAACAATTTGGACACAAACAAACAAAAAAATTTGGAAAATTTGAATTTGTATTACAATTATTGTTTTTTGGATTTGTAAATATAAAATAACATCATTGATGATTGATGATAATCACGTGACACAAAACGACGACGACGACAATTTTTTTTAAATATTAATCTTCTTCAACAAGAAACAAAAATTTTTTACAACCATCCATAGCTGATTGTAATTTTGTTGCTAAATCTTTTGATTGTTTCAAATCATCTTGTAGCTTGTTCATTGCTTGATTCATTATAATGAACTCTTGTTTCATCACTAATAATTCATCGATAAGATGGAGTACGTGATCATCGGAAACATGTTCATCATCAATTTGAAGTTTAACCAGAATCTGTTCGATCAATTTTTCTTTTTTCTCTTCCGATTCGATGGCTGATTGTAGTTTTGTGGCCACATCGATCAATTTTGTTTCCAGATGGTCATAAAGTTTTTGAAACAATTTGCCAAATTTTTCATTTTTTTCTCTCAATACTTTATTTTCATCTACCAATTTTTCAATATTTTCTTTTGCCGTTTTCAGATCAATATCTTTCGTAGCGTCAAAGAATTCGAGTTCAGAGGATTTCTTATCTTTTTCAACTTCTGTTGTCGATGATGATGATGATGATGATGATGACAAATTTTCATCAGCATTCAATACATCCATTGTTTCTTCGGCCATTTTCAGTGATTGTTTCAATGTTTCAATTTGATCGACAAGTTGATTGTGGACAAATTCCATTTTTTTCGATTTTAATCATTCAATTGCCAAAATGATCTTCATTTAAATATTACCGATTTTGAATTGGTTTTCAAATTTTTGACATTCCAAACTTGCTTTTCATTTGTTTTTACGTTTGTTGTGATGAGTACATTTCTGAGGCCACTTTTACTGGCATTCCATTTTCGAATTGAATGTTTCAATTTTCTTCTTTTTTTTGCTTTGTTTTGTTTTTGGTATTTCAAATATTTTTTTTTCGCACAATAATTTAAATCATTTCATTTGGAAATTTTTTCTGATTACAAAAATGATGACGTAATTCATGCTTTTTCCGAAAAAAATGACATGATTATCATCATATCAATTATTTACACGTTATAAGTAAAAGTCTGTCGTCTTCAATCTTATCATCATCATCAGCATTCATTCATTTATATTTTTTTATCATTGAATTGACATTGTCATCAAAGTTTTCAGCTTTAGTCGTAAATATTGGACAATTGCAGAAAAAAAAATCAACAAAACAAACATGTCATCATCGGTCACTATTATGATATCGAATTTTATCGATGGACAATTTATCGATAACCGTAATTCATTTGAATCATATAATCCATCCAATGGTAATGTTAATGCTTTAATGCCTGATTCAAATGAACAAGATGTTCGATTAGCTACCAATGCAGCATTGAAAGCATTTGAAATGTAATTATTATCTGTATTTTTTCTGGTCAAATGTCTTAAAAAATTAATTTTTTTTTCCATTTTTAGCTGGTCCAAAACATCGGATAAATATCGAATTGAAATTCTTAATAAAATTGCCGATTTGATTGAGAAAAATCTTGATGAATTGGCTAAACTTGAAAGCGAAGATCAAGGCAAACCGTTGTGGCTTTCCAAATCAGTGGACATTCCAAGATCAGTTTTGAATTTTCGCCATTTTGCCAATTATTTGTCCTATCAATCTGATCATTCGATTGTCAATCATGATGCTGGAATCATTAATTACATTAGTAGACAACCAGTTGGTGTTGTTGGAATCATAACACCATGGAATTTACCGTTATATTTGTTGACATTTAAATTAGCACCTGCCATAGCATTTGGTAATACTGTTGTCGCTAAACCAAGTGAATTGACTTCTGTGACAGCATTTCGATTGTGTCAAATATTCACTGAGGCTGGATTACCAAATGGTGTGATCAATATGGTTTTTGGTTATGGAAACAAAGTTGGTGAAGCGATCGTAAAACATCCATCAATCAAATTGTTGTCATTCACTGGATCTACAATGACAGGACAAAAAATTGCACAACAAGCAGCACCATTATTCAAGCGACTTTCATTGGAAATGGGTGGTAAAAATGCGGCCATCATTTTTGATGATGTTGATCTTGAAAAATCAATGATGAATATTGCAAAATCGGTTTATTTCAATTCTGGACAAATATGTCTAGCAACAAGTCGAATTCTGGTCCATGACAATATCTATGAAGAATTTATTGAAAAATTCACAAAAATTTCCAATGAATTTATAGTTGGAGATCCATTTGAAAAGCATACCAAACTTGGACCAATGGTAAGTCGACAACATTGTGACAAGGTAATGAGATACATAGAATTGGCACGTAATACAACTACAGCCAGAATGACATATTTGGAGCCAAAAAATCCGAATAAAAATGGATATTATTGTGGGATAGCTATTGTTTCGGATGTCCAAATCGATTCACCATTGATGATGGAAGAAATTTTCGGTCCAGTAGTTTGTATTGTCAAATTTAAAGATGAACAAGAAGCAATCAAAATTGCTAATAATACAACATATGGTTTGTCAGCAACCGTTTGGACCAAATCATTGGATCGAATGCATCGTGTTAGTCATCAGATTGAAGCTGGAACCGTATGGGGTAATTGTTGGTTAGTTCGTAATCTGAACATGCCTTTCGGTGGTGTCAAACAATCCGGAATCGGTCATGAAAGTACAGATGATTCAAGAGAATTTTATACGAATAAAAAAACAATTTGTATTTTACTTGAAAAAAGTTTAAATTGAAAAAAAAACAAAACAAAAATAAATCAAAGATGTGCTTTGAATTTGTTACGTTGTTTTTGTATAGCTTCTTGTAGGCTTTCAATTGTTCGATCAATTTTTTCCAAATCAGCATTAACACCTAAATAACCGATACGCCAAAATTTCGGCACTTTCGGATCGGTAGCCAACAATGATCCTCCAATAAGAATATCATGTTTTTTGTACATAAATTGTATCACCCGATTTCCATCAATATCATCTGGTATCAATACAGATGTAATGCCAGCTAATCGATTATCCGATTCTTGTACGAGAAGTTTCAATCCAACATTCTGGATACGTTTTTCCAGATAATGTTTCGCTTTCTGATGACGTGCAATCACATTGGCCAGATCTTCATTGATTATTTCTCGTATGGATGCTCGTAATCCATATAGTAGATTAATGGCTGGTGTATAATGATAGGTATGTACATCGTTGTTATCTAAACCCCATGCTTTAGCTACCAAATTAATGTCCATATAGAATGAAGATACAGGATATGTTTTCGAACGAGATTTGATTACTTCCGTAGCTTTATCACTAAAACTTATCAATGCAATGCCTGGTGGACCGGATAATGCTTTTTGACAACCCGAGAATACGACATCAATTTCCAGTTGATCCATTGCCAATGGTGTTGTACATAATGATACAACGGCATCGACAATCAATAAACAATCATAACGATGACAAAGCTGTCCAATACCGTGCAAATTTTGTACACAACCAAGACTTGAATCACCATGACAAACATACATTAAATTTGGTCGATATCTACGTAATGCATTCTCGATTTGTATCAAAGTAAAATTTTGGCCAAATTTTTCATTTCGTATAACGTGTGTATTGAAACCCATACGTTGGCCCATTGATGCTACTCTATTGCCCCAATATCCATGTACCAATGACAATAATGTTTGTCCTGGTTTCAACAGATTACAAATGGCTGTTTCCATTGCAATTGTTGCTGATCCAGTTATAGCAAATGTATATGAATTTTTCGTCTGAAATAGGTAACGTATTCCATTTTGAATATGATCTAAAAGCTACACATGTATAAATTTTTATTTAATAATTTACACACACACACACGGAAAATTTACAAATAACTAACCTGATAAAATTGTGGATCAGTATGTGATAATAATGGTAATGATAATGATTTTAAAACTTTTTGATTTAAATTTGTTGGTCCAGGTATCATTAATAGTTTTTCATTTGGATAGTAATCATTTTGAAAAGTTTTTTTAATCATCATCAATAAACAATCATGATCATCTGGTGTTTTTTCATTAAAACAATTCATTATACATACTCATATAATAATTTTTTTTATATTTCTACCCAATCTGTGTGTGTGTTTGTTTATTTGTTGTATCCAAAATCAAAATGATGATAATTGTAAATTTATCACAATCCTGAAAAGAAACACAAAAAAAAAAAATCTCCAAGTATTGCCAGATACAGAAATAGCGAATTTCGAATGTGATAAATTTGATGACCAACAATCAAAACAACAACAACAACAACATATACACACAGACTGAAATTTCGTAGGAAAATCAGCCGGATAAGATATATTGTGATAACGAGGGAAAATTTTTTTTTTTCTGTAGAAATCACAACTCTAGAAAGGATCTTGACTTGTGTCAATATCAAATATCTATTTTATTTTTTTTTTTTTTTTGGCAATACTATTATCATTTATTTATGGGGGACAAAAAAATGAAAGGAAACAAAGGACATTTGTTGCAGTGTATTTTTCATATCATTCAATGCAGTGAATATTATTCATCATCAACACCATTTATATTTTAAATGTTCGGCCAGTGACATTATCATTTCAATTTGTTCTTTTTTACCAAGTTTTTTTTTTGATTTTTTTGCCTGAAATCTCGAAATCATGGATAATAATATCGCGAATGGTGAAAATGGAAAAACCAATGCAACAACAACAACGAGAAGAAGAATGATTCCTGAAACTGGAAAAATTATTAAATTCCAACATAGAGAATCATTGTTGACGTATGTATTGTTTTTTTCAAGATTTAAATTTTGTTTTTTTTACAATAAAAATTATTTTTTTTCCAATTTTCGCACAGACAAATGCTCAATAATAGCTCTCACATAAGAACGTTACATAATCTTATCACCGGGTTTGTGACGATATTCCTAGTGGCAACAATTGCCGACTACATAAAGCAACCTTCAAAATTCCGCGATGAATATGAAACATTTCTGTGGAACATTGCTGATTTCGGCCGATTTATTCAAATATGGCTGATAATGAATCTATCTGTAATTTGTTTACATTATCCATTGGTTTTACTGAATAATTTTTATCAATATCGATGGCTGATTAATAATCCAGAGAAAGATTTGGATCGGTTATTCGAAATGTACCAAAAACAGAAATATTCTGGATGGTTGCAACAAACGTTTTTGTACATAGCTTATGCACTAATATCATTTTTCGGTATATTTTTCTATTGTACAAATCGTTTAATAGTGCTGGATATCAAAATAACCGGATCATTTGCTGCACTAATGGAAATGGTAAGTTTTTTCTTAGCGATTGATAATTTTCATATATTTGTATCCTACACAGACACGACTTTTGATGAAATCACATTCATTTTTTATCGAGAAAAAAGATTTACAAATCGAAAAAGAAGAACTGGTCAAATTGATTGCACAAAAACGACAAAAGCATATCATTCAATCATTTTGGTCATCATCATCAAGAGCCAGATTTCGAAATTTAATTTATTATCTATTTTCGCCTACACTGATATATTCGGACCATTATCCACGAACAGAAAAATCCGTTGGTCACGTGTATTGAATTTTGGCATTCAATTCATAGTGGCTTGTTTGATTTCATTTCTAATACTTTTTCGATTTGTTGTTGCAACTTTTTCCAAAACTGGTATAGAACCATTTCCATTGAATTTTAATTTTATTTATAAAATGTTGGCTTGTGGACTGGCTATATATCTGCTTTGTTTTCATGGATTTTTGCATACATGGCATAATTTCACTGCAGAATTGATTCGCTTTGCTGATCGTCATTATTATGACGATCATTGGAATACTACAAAATTAAAGGACTATTATCGTAAATGGAATCTTATCGTTCAACATTGGCTTTATGTTTATATATTCTTGCCGATTCATTTACGATTTCATAATCGAAATTTATCAAATTTTTCCGTCATTCTTGTTTCGGCCATAATGCATGAATATATTATTAATCTATCGTTACGATTTTTTATGCCACTCAATTTTCTGCTTTTTGCTGTTTTTGCACGTAAGTAGTATTTTTGGTTATTAAATTATCAATTATCGCTAATCGAAATAATTTTTTTTTTGTTCTATTTTCTCTAATTGATTGATAGAAATGTTGTATTTCTTTCAAAAACTTGATAATGGTGATAAACAGGACAATTGGAAAAATATTATATTTCAAACCAATATATTCATTGGATGGAGTTTAGAAATTTTATTCTATTCATTAGAATGGTATTCAAGAATTAATTGTCCATTACAAGTAGGTTTTGTTGATCAAGTATTTCAGTTTTTTTTCCTGGTTGACATTAATTGATTTTTATCAATTTTTTTTGTTCTCAAATAGGAACAATCCACAATCATTGAAAAACTTTCACCACGTTTCATACATTGTGTGAAATTCTAAAATGGAAATTATATGACGTGCATTGACAACATGTGACCAGTAGTTAATCATCATCAAACATACAAATGTGAAGACTAAAACTGTGGTCTTTGGCGGTGTGTATAAAATATTGTAGTGTATTGTCAATGTCTCGTGTTCAGTGTTCTGTTCTGTTTTCTTGCCGTGTACAGTCCAACCAAAATCTTCATAAATCTGGTTTTATTTTATATTTTATAATGGATAAATCATCACAGCCGTAGCCATAGAAAAATATCAAAATCAAATCATCCATCATTTGTCCTTTTTAAATTATTTCTTTATACAATTAAACAAATTATTATTTAAAAATAAAAAATCTTCAAATCATCACTTGTTTACTGCTCTAGAAATATTTAAGTAAAAGAAAATTGTGATAGCAATTAAACCGTAAAACATTGTGAAAATCCATGATTCAAATATCAATATGTTTGATAATTGATTAATTGATTAATAAATAATGATTGACGTCTTGTTTTTTTTGTTTTTTTGTTCATATATATTAAAATTCAATGAATTATATTCTTTGTAGTTATTTTATCTGAAATAAAATGTAAATCAAAACAAAACCAGAAAAAAAGAAAAAATGTACGATAATAGTTTGATTACAATTTAATAATCGAATGATCAAATGATGAATAAATAAATTGACATCCACTATGAATGAAGAGGAGAAAAACAACGCGCGTGGTGATGATCATGTTTGGCGTTGTCGTTGTAGGAACCAGCGAGAAGCCGTGGGCTAAATAGGGCTATTATACTTTTTTCAGTTTTACTTAGAGATGCTTCACACTTTTCGCATTAAAAAAAAAATTCATCACTTATATCTGAGCCAAGATTGGGTCTATTTTGAGACCTTTCTTCTGTCTATGGTGGGTCGTGAATGAGTTAATAGAGAATAAAATCATATGATAACCACGTTGAAATAATTCTTCAACAGATTAATTTGATGACAAATAATCAAAACAACAACAACAAAAACAAAATATAAACAAACACACACACGCAGAGAATGAAATTTCGTTAAAAAAATAACCTGATAAGAAATATTGTGATAACGAGAAAAAAATTTTTATATAGAAAATCACCACACTTTAGGGATCCGGACTTTTATCTATTTTTTTCGAAAAAAACATCAATTTTTTTATTGATCAATGATTTATGGAAAAAATGAAAGAAAACAAAGAGCATTTGTTTCATAGTATTTGTCACATCATTCAATGCAGTGAATATTATTCATCATCAACACCATTTATATTTTAAATGTTCGTCCAGTGGCATTTTCATTTCAATTTGTTTTTTTTACTAAGTTGTTTTGATTTTTTGCCTGAAATCTCCAAATCATGGATAATAATATCGCTATTGGTAAAATTGGAAAAACCAATGCAACAACAACAACAAGAAGAATGATTCCTGAAACTGGGAAAATTATCAAATTCCAACATCGAGAATCATTGTTGACGTATGTATTGTTTTTTTACAATAAAAATTATTTTTTTTTCTAATTTTTGCACAGACAAATGCTTGATAATAGCTCTCACATAAGAACTTTACATAATCTTATCATCACGTTTGTGATGATATTCCTAGTAGCAACAATTGGCGACTACATAAAACAACCTTCAAAATTCCGTGATGAATATGAAACATTTCTGTGGAACATTGCTGATTTCGGGCAATTTATTCAAATATGGCTGATAATGAATCTATCTGTAATTTGTTTACATTATCCATTGGTTTTACTGAATAATTTTCATCAATATCGATGGCTAATCAATAATCCAGAGAAAGATTTGGATCGGTTATTTGAAATGTATCAAAAACAAAAATATTCTGGATGGTTACAACAAACGTTTTTGTACATAGCCTATGCACTAATATCCTTTTTCGGTATATTTTACTATTGTACAAATCGTATAATAGTGCTGGATATCAAATTAACTGGATCATTTGCTGCACTAATGGAAATGGTAAGTTTTTTTTTCTTAGCGATTGATAATTTTCATATATTTGTATCCTACACAGTCACGATTTTTGATGAAATCTCATTCATTTTTTATCGAGAAAAAAGATTTACAAATAGAAAAAGAAGAACTGGTCAAATTGATTGCACAAAAACGACGAAAGCATATCATTCAATCATTTTGGTCACTATCATCGAGAGCAAGATTTCGAAATTTAATTTATTATCTATTTTCGCCTACACTGATATATTCAGACCATTATCCACGAACAGACAAAATTCGTTGGTCACGTGTTTTGAATTTTGGATTTCAATTCATTGTGGCTTGTTTAATGTTATTTCTAATAAGTTATCGATTTGTTGCAAATCTTTCAAGAACTGGTATTGAACCATTTCCATTGAATTTTTATTTTATGTATAAAATGTTGCTGTGTGGACTGGCTATATATCTGCTTTGTTTTCATATTTTTACATACATGGCATAATTTCACTGCAGAACTGATGCGCTTTGCTGATCGTCATTATTATGACGATCATTGGAATACTACAAAATTGAAGGACTATTATCGTAAATGGAATCGTATCGTTCAACTTTGGCTTTATGTTTATATATTCTTGCCGATTCATTTACGATTTCAAAATCGAAATTTAGCAAATTTTTCCGTCATTCTTGTTTCGGCCATAATGCATGAATATATTATTAATCTATCGTTACGATTTTTTATGCCACTCAATTTTCTGCTTTTTGCTGTTTTTTCTCGTAAGTAGTATTTTTGGTGATTTGGATGAACAAAATTATTAATAATCGACATATTTTTGTTCTTCTTTTTTTCTAATTGATTGATAGAAATGTTGTATTTCTATCAAAAACGTAATAATGGTGATGATGATAAACAGGACAATTGGAAAAATATTATATTTCAAACCAGTATATTCATTGGAATTAGTCTACAAATTTTATTGTATTCATTGGAATGGTATTCAAGAATTAATTGTCCATTACAAGTAGGTTTTGTTGACAAAATTTTTCAATTGTTTTTTCGTGAAGATTAATTGATTTTTTCTCAAATAGGAACAATCCACAATCATTGAAAAACTTTCACCACGTTTCATATATTGTGTGAAATTTTAAAATGGAAATATCTAAAAAAAAGAGATTGTGATGGCAGAAAAAAACATTGCGAAAATCCATGATTCAAATATCGATATGTTTGATAATTGATTAATTGATTAATAAATTATGATTGACGTCTTGTTTTTTGTTTTTTTGTTCATATATATTGAAATTCAATGAATTGTATTCTTTGTATCTTTTGTTATCTGAAATAAAATGAAAATCAAAACAAAATCGGAAAAAGAAAAAAAAATGTACGATAAAGTTTGATTACTATTTTATTATCGAATGATCAAATGATGAATAAAGATATTCTTTCATTATGGGTTTGCGTTTGCGATCAATGTTCCATATTTGGAAATTTGACCAAAAAAAAATGAGATAATTTTTTTTAACATTTTCATTTATTTTTATTCATTATATGTATCAATATGGGAAAACAGCAAAAAAAAAACTGATGCAGTTGATGTCGATGTTTAGCATTGGCATTATGTTCAATGACAAATTGTTTTGATTAGAACGAAAAAAAAATCTTCACTTGAATTTTCATTTTTAAAACAATTTTAAAATGTGACATAATTTATGAAACGAGGTAGAATATGTTTCAGTAATGACGATTTTTCCTTTTTTTTCGAGAAAAAAAAACAATTAAAAATTAACATAATTACATAACAAGAGCTGGCGCGTTCTCTTAATTTGTTAATACAATGCAAGTACTTTTTCTGGGCTCAAGCGTCTTAGTGAATATATATATAGATTTTTCACTTACCGGTAATGGACAATTGGTTCTAACATTCCATTCCACTGTAACGATAGCCACCAGAATTGACCACATTGTCAATGATAACGGAAAAGATGTCATACCTTTGATCAAACCAAATTTTTCCAAGTAATACGTTATTTCTATTCAAAAGTAAAAAATGGAAATTGTTTGCGATTATAAAAATCATTATTATTACACATCACTTATACTTACGAGAACAGAAAAAAATTAATAAATTGATTGGAAAGAAAAATCGGAATGTAAAACCAATAATGTATTCATGTACCAAAGCTGATGTTGTGAAGACAGCCAAATTGGTCAATACACGATTATGAAATCGATTGTCGATAGGTATAAATATGTAAACATAAAGCCATTGTTGTACTACATGATTCCATTTTCGAAAATATTCTTGTGCTGATTTACTATTCCAAAAATCCTCATAATAATGGCGATCACCGAATCGTAAAAGTTCGGCAGTGAAATTAAGATATGCATGGAAAAAAAAGTAAAAAAACAGCCAATAAATGATCATTCCATAGACGATAATTTGATAAAACAATTTGAAATTGAGCACTAGAGGTTTGATGCCAGTTTTTTTCAGATTGACAACAAAACCTTGATAAAGCACATAAAACGATAATAGAGCAGTTAAAATGAACTGTAGGCCAAAATTAATAGCACGAATCCATCGAATTTTTTCGGTTCGTGGATAAGAATCCCGGTATAATAAAGTTGGTGCAAACAAGTAATAAATAAATTTCCAGAATTGAGCACGTGATGAAAGTGACCAAAAAGAACGATAAATATTTTTAGGCTCCTGGCTTATTAAACTTTCTAGTGTTTCTTTGTTGATGTAAAGATCTTTTTTTTCCACGAAAAATGAATGAGATTTCATCAAAAGTCGTGTCTTCAAAGAGCGATAAAAGAATGATTGAAAAAATTGATTTCAAATTCAGCAACCATAAAACTTACCATCTCCAGCAACAAGCTTATTGATCCTGTTACATTAATATTGTGAACCAATACACTATAAGTACAATAAATGAGTATTCCAAAAATCGAAATACAACCATAGATGGTGTACAAAATGGTTCGATGTAAACATCCAGCATATTGTCTATCTTTTTCTGGATTATTGATCAATAACCATCGATATTGAAGAAAATTGTTGAATAAAACCAATGGATAATGTAAACAGAGTACAATCATATTCATCATTAACCATATTCGTATCACCGAGCCTAAATCGCTGACATTCCACAAAATTACTTCATAAATTTCTTCATATTTGGCTGGTTCTTTGATAATATCTTCAATTGTATAAAGCAGGAACACAATTACCAACATGACTATCATGTTGTGTATTGTACGTAAATTGGCGTCATTTTCAAGCAATTGTCTGGATTTTAATTGAATGAACCAAAAAAAAATTATTATTACCGATAAAAGAATGAAAATTTTTTCTGTTCATTCTTACGTAACATAAGATTCACGATGTTTGAATTTGATGAATTTGTTTGTTTTTGAAACTTGTGCCCCATCATCATCATCATCATTATTATTATTATTATTATTTTGCATCGTATGTTCCACCATTATGTTAAATAATTCAGTCTATTATTGAATAATCAAATTCATCTATATGCAGAAAAAAAAACATTTCATTTGTAATATACAAAACTAATGATCGAGCGATATTCATCGATTGCTGTTGATAAGGGCGAAATCAGGAAATTAAAACGAAAAAAACGAACACAAAGATCTTATGTTTATCATCATCATTAAAACATGTTTGTTTTTTCTGACATTGAATAAATTCAAAATGTTGTTTATGTTAAATTATTGCATGTGTAGAAAATTTGTGGCCACCAAAATTCATTAATATCACATACATATGTGATATAAGCTAATTATCACAGTAGTACGTGTACATGTTTTTTTTTCTGGCGTTCACACACACAAAAAACAAACACGATATACACGATTTGAAGTTGAAGGAAAATCGAAAAAAAATCATTGATAATAATCAATTTGCTAAAGAAATTGTGATGATTTAAAATTTAAATGTTTTATTTGATCAATATGTGTGTGATTCAAACATTGTGATTATGTGTGTGTGTGTGTGTGTGTTGTGCTATCATAATTTCACACAGTAAAATGAACGTGGCAAATTGATCCATGATTTTAAATGTTCCTATATATTTGTGATATAATAATTTATGATGATGATTGTCTAGATTGAAATATAATTTTCACTTACAGGCAATGGACATTTAATCCTGGAATACCATTCGATTATAAAAATAGCCACCATAATTGACCAAGTTACAATTGATACAATTAAGAAATGATTTATTGTTTTAATTAAATTAAATTTTTCCATAAAATACACGGATTCTATTCAAAGTGAAAGCGGATGTTTAATATATATTTAAATTATTGATGATAATTTGGTTACACTTACGAGTTAAAACTATCATGGCAATTAGATTGACTGGAAAGAAAAAACGTAATGTAAAACCGATAATGTATTCATGTACCAAAGCTGAGGTTATGAAGACAGCCACATTGGTCAATACACGATTATGGAATCGATTATCGATAGGTATGAATATGTAAACATAAAGCCATTGTTGTACTACATGATTCCATTTTCGAAAATATTCTTGTGCTGATTTACTATTCCAAAAATCATCATAATAATGACGATCACCGAAACGTAAAAGTTCGGCAGTGAAATTAAGATAAGCATGGAAAAAAAAGTAAAAAAACAACCAATAAAGAATTATTCCATAGGCGATAATTTGGTAAAGCAATTTGAAATTGAGCACTAGTGGTTCGATGCCAGTTTTTTTCAGATTGACAACAAAACCTTGATACGTCAGATAAAACATTAATAGAACAGTTAAAATGAATTGTAGACCAAAATTAACAGCACAAATCCATCGAATTTTTTTGGTTCGTGGATAAGAATCACGGTATAACAAAGTTGGTGCAAACAAGTAATAAATAAATTTCCAGAATTGAGCTCGTGATGAAAGTGACCAAAAAGAACGATAAATATTTTTAGGCTCCTGGCTTATTAAACATGCTAGTGTTTCTTTGTCGATGTAAAGATCTTTTTTTTCCACGAAAAATGAATGTGATTTCATCAAAAGTCGCGTCTTCAATGAGCGACAAAAGAATGATTGAAAAAACTGACTATGAATTTAGCAACCATAAAACTTACCATCTCCAACAACAGGCTAAATGAACCAGTCAATTTAATATCGTTAATTAACACGCTATAAGTACAATAAATGAGTATTCCAAAAATCGAAATACAACCATAGATGGTGTACAAAATGGTTCGATGTAAACATCCAGCATATTGTTTATCATTCTCGGGATTATTGATCAATAACCATCGATATTGAAGAAAATTGTTGAATAAAACCAATGGATAATGCAAACCGAGTACAATCATATTCATCATTAACCATATTCGTATCACCGAGCCTAGATCGCTCACATTCCACAAAATTACTTTGTAAATTTCTTCATATTTGGCTGGTTCTTTGATAATATCTTCAATTGTATAAAGCAGGAACACAATTACCAACATGACTATCATGTTGTGTATTGTACGTAAATTGGCGTCATTTGCAAACATTTGTCTAACATTTAAAATGAAACAACAATGAATGACAAAAATTTATATAATTTTCTTACGTCAAGAGAGATTCACGATTTTTGAATCTGATGATTTTTTTTGTTGTCGTTGTTGTCACCATCGGTTTATTTGTTTCATTATTCATCATTTCAGTGGTAAATTCCATGATGATGATGATGATGATCCATCCAATTTTTATTAACCTTAAATTTATTCAATGATGATTGAACGATGCGTTTTTTAAAGTGCAAGTTTGCATGCAGTTTTTTTTTTTGGTTTTATCATCATATCTGAGCTTCATTACACATTCGTATTTTCTAAATTTTCAACTTATTCAAAAAAATTGTTTTTCTTTTGCTTAGATTTAGAAAGATATTGATTCGATAAAGGGAAAAAGAAAGAGAGACAAAGACACATTGATTGGTGTTTCATTTTTTTTTAATCAAGTAATATAAATTTTGTGAGAAAAAAAATACTACCATTTTTTTTTTTTTGTTTATTTTAACGATTTACAAACGAAATTGATCGATGTATGTGTGTGTGTGTTTGGTGAAAATGGTTGATGGGGTAGTGGTTCATTTTTTGGCAAAGAAAAAAAAATCAACATTGATAATATTCATGTTATTAACATTTCAACAATTATCATCATCATTATGAACAACGAAAAAAAACAACAACAACAAGAAATGGATAAGGATGGAATGTGATGGTTGGTTTTTATTATATTGGAATATAACATTCGTGTGTGTGTGTGTGTGTGTACAATGTACAATGTACCGAGAGATAACAAGAGTCCAAAAATTATCATCATTATCATGAAATTTCCATTTATGTAACAATGAATAAAACAGGTGTCTGTTTGATTGATTCGAATAGATTCGATGATTTGTAATTACTTGATAATTGATAATAATAATAATAATAATAAATCACAGATAGCTTGGAGATCAATCTTCAAGAGCAAAATAAAAGAAGGAAAAAAAAAAGTAGATAGGAAAAAAGTAGTAGTAGTAATAGGAATGGAAATTTGGAATCCAGAATTGAGAATGTTGTTTTTTTTGGAATGAATGGGTCAATTAGTGTGATTCTCAATAGATATGGATGTGTGTGTGTGTGTATGTATTTGAAATCAAGATAAAGCTCGAATTTTTGATAAATTTTCATTATTATTGGTTAATCGATAATTATTATTATTATTATTATTATATATATTGAAAGAATCAACAAAAACGAGATCAAAAGAAAGAATGGATAAAATTATTGGTGATAGACAGATTCAGATTAAATCTGTCTATATTTGTTTTGTTTTTTTTTTTTTTGGTTTTTGTTGTTGTTGTGCGTTTCAATTTTTCAGTTTTCTTTTCTTGTTGTGTGTGTGTGTGAGTCTGTTCGTGATTAAAGGAGACACATGATTATATCATCGGTTGATCATCACGCAAAAAATTTTTTTTTTTTTTTTTTGATGATGATGAGCATTTCGAATTTTTCTTCATTTAGTTTATATACACGTGGTATTGGATTGGCAAAGAGAACTTGACAATTTCATTTTCATTTTCATTTTTGGCCAGTTTAATTGATTGATTGATGAAGCAAATTGTGTGGCAAATAAACGACAAAAAAAAACCCCAATGATATTCACATTTTCACGATGAAATGGTAGTATTATCATTGTTATTGCTTGCCACTGTTTGATTGCCCGTTGTTGCCGATGGTGATGTTGCCGTTGATCCTACATTCGGTACATGTATACGTGGTGAAAAACGTGATAACCGTGGTTCCAATGTCAATGACATTTGATATAATTCATCATCTTGTAAATGTCTTGATGTGTCAAGCAGATAATTTGTAACTTTTGGATTATGTTCCATTTTATATGGTGTTTGTTGAAAATGTCTTATTTCTCGTATTACATGTGCAATCTGAATGGAATTTTTGTTTTAAAAGAATATAAGAAAAAAAATGAATGAATGAATCAATGAATTAAAAACAAAATTGAAAATGTCATCATTATTATACCATTCTCATTTTGGAAAAATTCAATAAACCATCATCAGTAAAATTTGGTGTTCCTTCTTCGATGAAAGATAAATCGGTTAAATACATTCCTAAATACGGTATACACGGTGGATCACAACGATGTAATGCTTCACGCATATTACGAAAACGTCCATCTGTTGAAACTAATGTCTGCAATTTTTCAATAGTCTGTTTGGTCTATGATTTTGATTGAAATTTTAATTGAATTAATAATTTAGATTTCATAGATGATGATAATGATACATACAGTTTTAGCAACCTTTTCCCATGTTCTTTTCAAACGATATACAGATGAATTTGTGAATGCAGCACATATTTGTAAAACACCATTAAAATTATGAAAACATCGACAAATATCGGCAACAGCTGCCCATTTTTCAATGATGGCAACACGTTTATGAAGCTCTGGTACACGCAATATTTCCGATGCAACCAAACGGCTAATATCGTTGAAATGTTTAGTCATTAAAAGAATATGAAATGCTTTTTTACTCTATTCAAAATAAAATTCCATTATATTTAATTAAGATTCAATCAAATAACAATTATTGCACAATACCTTATCTTCTTTCATCCATGCTTGACCTAGAAATTCTTCGCTTCGTATACGAATGAAAATATTATGATCTAAATATGTCATCACTTCGGCTATCTCTAATGCCGACAGTGTTTCAATATTATCTTGACTTGGTTGTATTGGCGCTGCTAACAATACATCAAGATCAACTTTTTCTTTAGCTTCCATTGTTTGTTTGGCAATCATTTGTTGCAATTGAACAGCTGCTTTATGTTCAGCTGGCAATAGATTCGTATTGTGTACTAATTCTTCCAAAAATTCCGTGGTAATTTGCAATAATTTTTGATCATTTTCAAAATCTTGTGAATGTTTGCTAACCCAATGTCTGAGTACGTTCAATACACGCATTGTAGCGGCCGTACTAATCATAGATTCACGTTTAGCTCGTTGAGCGATTCGTTCATTATTAGCAGCAATATTCTGTGCATTCTGTGTAGCTCCAGTCCTATCGCCGCCACCTTGGCTATTTGGTATCTTCAGATCTGCACCAGCTGCACTTGAAAATCGGCTACTACCACGTGATACAATCACCTGTTTCATCATAGGATCCGTTGGTTCTGGTGGATTACTAGATGCAGCTGTTGCTGCAGCAAAAGCTAGATTGAATAATGTGTAAAACAAAATTAACATGAGCATGAATAATGAATATTTAAATTCAATAAAATGATTACCGGAAGCTGCTGAAGCTGTACTTGAACGTCGTGACGTAGCACGTGATGAAATAACAACAACACCGGCTTTGCTAGACATTTGTGGTGATTCTGGATGTTGAAATGAACTACGTGCCGTACTGATACTTGTGTCCGTTTGAAATGATGATCGTGGTGTTACAGATGAACTGGCCATACTTTCACATTCACTACTACCTGATCCACGTTTAGAACCGGCTCCACGAACACGAAGATAATTCATACTGGTTGCACTTAATCTACCCGACGGTGCAGAAGAATGGCCAATACTACCAGAACGTGATTCAGATGATTTTACTGGTGGTGGAACCGAAATACTTCCTGATCGAGATTCAGTAGATTTGGGATTTTGACTTTTCGGTGGCAAAACAAAACACGAACCAACACTAGATATTGGTGGAGCAGATGATGCTGGATGTGATGGTATTGGCGGCGGTTGGTGGACATGATGATGATAATGATGATGATGATGTTGTTGTTGATGATGTTGAGATTGTTTTTGTGGTGTACCCGGTATTGGTGGCGTTGGAGGTGGTGTTCCTTCACTTAACTGATCATGTAATGCAGCAACAGTATTCTGTACTAATCTTTGTCGATTTTCTACATTTTCTTCCGGTATAGTTTCATAATCTTGATTCACAGCACCATGTTCAGCAGAATTTTGTCCTGGTAAACTATGTGGTGATGTTTTCTGTACTGGACTTGGTTTCGGTGAACATGTATGTGAATCTGTACCAACCAATGTGGCTGAACTGGTTGCTGAACTTAATGGTGATGCTGGATAACTTTGTTCAGAATTATTTGTCAATGTATCACATGATTGTGAATGTGGTGATAAAACTTGATCCTGATGAGCAGCGTTATTATTATTATTATTATTTGTTATTATTCGTAAATGTTGATTTGGACGATGTATTGCTGTCATTTGTTTGGATTGATGACTAGATGATGATTCAGTTGGACTAGGTGAACGATCATCATTGCTACTACTAGTGGCCGATTCTTTATTATCAGCCTACGAAAAAAAAACATTACATTTACTAACAAATGTTTTTTTTCATCACAAAACACATACCATTAATGATGATGTTGAGGAAGCTTCTTTTGTACTTTTTTGTAAATAACCCGGAACTTCTGGACTTGGTGGCGGTGGAACTGGAACGGCAATTGGATCAGTAATTGCTGGTGTAAGCATAGGTTCACCAGCTGGTAATTGAAAATGACCACTACTGCTGCTAATATTATTACCGGTATTAGTGTTGTTGCTGCTGCCGCTAGTAGTTTGTATATTTTCATTATTATTGCCCACATTTGATGAGGTTGTCGATGAAATACTTCCATGAGCTAAACGATTATTCATTCGTTTTAAATAACGTTCACGTGCTTGTTCTTCTTCAACTGAATCAAAAAAAAATAAACATCGATTATGTCAAGAAAAAAAAATTACAAAAATAAAAAAAAACAACACATACATTTACGATAACTTAAACGCCAATGTTGATTATTACGTATTGTATTCGATGCAAACATTTGCTGTACTTGTGCCAATTGTTGACCAGCTGTTGATTCTGAATTGGTCGATACAATAGATTCACGATGACCAAGATCATTAAGATCAGAAAGTACTGAACTATTACTAACACGACGTGAATAATCATAATCAATTGTGGTTGATAAATATTCATTGGCAGCTGATACATTATTAACATTGACATTTCCAATAATAGTTGCAGAGACACCACTACTGCCACCGCCACCACCACCACCAACACCAACACCACCACCACCAGTATTTGAATGTGATGTATTGAGCGAATTGGTCGTTGTTATAATACCAGAATAATGATATGGTGATTGGCCAGGATGTAAATGTGTTGAATCTATTTTTGTGGTTGTATTGCCATTTGCATTATTATTACCACCACCACCACCACCACCACCACCACCGGTTCCTTCTTCTAATGAACCAGATGAATCATGTAATGATGCATTCATTGTCGATAGATCTGGACTATAATGGACACGTTTCAATGCTTCAATAACCGTAATACTATCAGTGAATACACGATATGTGAGTAGAAATGTATTTAAAAAATCGATGCTTAAAAATCGTAGATCAGTTAAACGTTCAAATAAACGTTCAGGACTAGCATAACGAATTTGAGGTAATTTACATGAATTCAATGTACGACTAAAACGTATATCAACATCATCTTTAAAAAGACGTGGATCGTTTCTAAAATTAAAAAATAAAATAAAATGAATTCAACAACAACAACAACAACAAAAATCTACCTGATCGAATGTGGCATAGTAATAGATGATGAATCATTCAATGTTCCATGAAATAAATCATTGAAATGGACGTTGTCAATACACTAGTGAATTGAATAAATTGAAAAAAAAAAAAAATTCAAAAAATTAAATAAATGGATCAATAAAAGAACCGTGTGAATACAGTTCGAGTGAATAAAACGAAAAAAAAAATTCTTAAAATCATCATAAAAAAAAAAAAAGAAAAAAGTTTTCATAATGTGCAAAAATAGCCATCAATCAAAGTGGATAAAAATAGAATCAATATGCTAAGTATGTTTTCTGAATGTTTTCTGGTTACCACCAATGTACCAAAAAAACATTCAGAACCAACCAGAATACAAAATATGTTTTGTACCATTAGAATAATGAGCAAAAATTTGGTAAAAAACAATGAAATGAAAAAATCATTGAAACCTTATTATTATCGCCTTCTTCATAAACAATTTGATTCGGTATTGCAACAATTTCCATTGCAATCATTTTACGTAATTTTCCAATTGATTGTTTTTTATTTAATGATCTGCTGCTGCTGCTGCTACTACTTGTATTTGATGTTAAAATGGCTGTTGTTTTGGAATCTTTTTTCAATTGTGATGATAATGATGATGATTGCTGTTTTTGTTGTTGTTGTTGTTGTTGTTGTTGTTGTTTGATGGTAGAATGTTGTTGTTTATCTATAACAACAGATTTTTGATTACCAATCAACATTAATGAATCACTTGATGATTGTTTTGGTTTTGGTTGATGTGAATATTCTTGATTCCGTTGTTCATCGGAATCAATTTTTCTCATTAAAATCGGTTTTGTTGATTGATTTTTTGTTGTTGTCACCATCGATGATGGTTTTGTTGTTGTATATCTAGTTTTTACTGTTGTAATTTTTTGTCTAGAAATTTCCATTTTTAAATTTTCTGATTCATCATTTTGTTGTTTCAATAAAGGCACTGTATTAGTATCGTTTTGACTTGTTTTTGTTTCATTTTTATCATCATTTGTTGCTGCAATCAACACTGGACAAGAACTAGTTTCTTGAAAATTTCTTCCTTGCTGCTGCTGCTGCTGCTGTTGTTGATCTTCTTTTGATTTAGTTTTATTTTTTGAAAATTTAAATCTTGATGGTAATTTTGGTGATAATGGTGATTTAAGGCCACCAGAGCCACCACCACAACTGGAACTGATAGTAAAATTATTGACATTCGTTGCTGCTGTTGTTGTTGTTGATGATGATGTTGATGTTGATGAAATATCCACATCCAATAGATTTGATGATGATCCAATTGTATGGTCGGTTTCCGGTATATCCAAACTATTATTACTTTCAGAACTATGATGATGTTGATGATTACTATTGTTATTACCACCATGTCCAGACATATAACCAATACCGGATTGAAAACTTCGATTAATAGCACGTCCATAACTACGAATTAATGCTGCACTTCGTTGATGATATGAAGTACCACCACCACCACCAGTATTTGTATTAGACGATGTATTATCTGTACTATTGTTGTTGTTGTTGCTGTTTGTACTAAAATTTGTAGGTGGTGTTGGTGATGATGCTGATTTAAAAAGACCAGAAACTGATGATGATTTACGACTAGATGTTGTCGATGGTGATGGTGATGATGATGATGATGATGGATGATGACCAGTACTACTTGCCGAATGTGTCTTAAAACGTCTCATAATCACCATTTGGTTGTTTTTTTGTTTTTGTTTTTAATTTGAACAATTATCAAAGATGTATGTATACAAACAGCCCTTTTTCATCAAAACAAATGACATTAACAAAGAAATTTTCTTTTTTTTTCAACAATCAAAATTCTTTTGCATCAAGATGAAAAAAGAAGACTGCCGATGCCGTTGTTTTCGTGTTTGAATCATCATCATCATCAAATTATATCAAATTTAATCAAATGTTCAACATCATCGTTCAACCATCTACAAACACACTAAAACACACGCAAACAAACAACAGGAGACAAATAATAATAATAATAGAAAAAAAATCCATAATTCTGCTATATGGAATGAATGAATCATGAATGAATGGACAAAATGGGCAATTTCGTTAATAAACAATTATTATTCAGATGAATAAATTTGATTGTAATTATTATCATTGATTGATTGATTGGTTGATTGATTGAATATTTGTTGGTACAACCAAAATACAAACACAACAAACAAACAAACAAAAAAAAACACACACACACACACCGAAAGATTAGCATTACTGTTGTTCACAAAAAAAAACAGAGAAGAGATGAAGAACATTTTTTTTCGATTCTTTATTCGTTATTCTCTCTCACTCTTTTTCTCATGAATCCACACACACACACACACACACACACACGCATTCGTCTTTAGATTCTAGCAGCGTTCCAAATAAAAAAAAAATTCAATAGCCCACCACCACCACCACCACCATCATCAATGATAACAACAACAACAACAACAACAACAACAAATAACAAACACGCACACGCATACGTTAAAATATGTGTAGGATGATGATGATGAAAAAAAACCTGGAAAAAAAAGTTCAGCATGAATCTCTAGCTAGAATTATTCTAGTTCTCTCTCTCTCTCTCACCCTTGTTTCAATTCAATTCTGGTGACGACGACGACGACGACGATGATGATGATGATGATGATGGGTGATGAATTCTATTGTTTCGAATTCCTTGTTTTTGTGTGTGTGTATATGACCAATATATTCAGAAAAAAAGTGATCCAGAATAAAAAAAAAGCTCAGTACTGAATGAGTGGTGAGTGAACAAAAAAAATGAGTGGGGACCTCGGCTATATTTCTGTTATCAATAGGTTGATTCATATGGACCCGAATATGGTGGCAATATCATCATTCGCACGCTCTTTCTTTCTTTCATATTCTGTGTTCCAACCAAAAAAAAAAAAAAATGATGGAAAACAAAATTATTCTGCGACGGCGCTTTATATTGAACATTGTCGTCGACCATATATTCAGTTTCAAATATTTTTACATTTCTTGGTTTTCAATAGCTAGCATCTACACACACACACACACACACACAAACACAAAATCTATTAGTTGTAGCGGTATTTTTTTTTTTTTTTATTTTTCGGGTTCTCTGTGCTCTGGCATCTGATTTCACAAAAATGGGTTTTTTTTTTTTTTTTCGTTGCACTAAAGAAATATATAGGAAAATCATAAAGAAAGCGAGAGTGAGAGGGTGAACAATATGGCTTTCTCTCTCATCACAGGACATCATCATCATCCATCCGAATAAAGGGGCTATTGGCATTTAACATGTTGTTGTGGTGTTCAAACATCATCATCATCATTTGTAGTTTGTGAACAAAGAAAAAAAAAACCTGAATAGACCTAGAAACACTAGAATCTCATCATTAGGTTCATGGATGTGAATTTTAATCAAAAAATGGGACCTTTTTCGCATGAATTTGAAAATTCAAAATAATAATGTAAAAAAAAACCAAAACGAAAAGCATAGAAATTCATTATGAAAATAAGAATGAAAACTAAGCACAGAAAAAACTATTCGGCATCATTCTATGATTCTAGAGAATGAAAAGAAAAACAATATCACATTCCTTTTGATCATTCCGTAATATTTAGCAATTATTAATAATGCAATAAAGATCTTGACACATTTTTTTTCATCATCATCATTGCATAATCGGTTAATCGTTTATTATTGTGAAATTGCTCGACAAAAAAATTGGAACCATTTCAAAATTCCATAGAAAATATTTGTTCATCCGGATTGTTGTTTTTTTTCATCATCATCGAATTGAAATGACACACACACACACACACACACAGAATTTGAATTTTTCAAATTCTGCAATGAAAATGTACAAAAATCAAACAAACAAATTCTTTCATTCATTTTCAAATGAAATAATACTATACTACCTCTGAAAAAAAATGATGATGAGATGTAATCGAGAATTCGGTATAGTCAGTATATGTGTACGTGTGTGTATGTGTGTGGGCAGGTATTAAAAAAAAAAAAAAAAATTTCAGCTACCACCATAGCCAAAAACCCAATGTATGACTAAAAAAAAAAACAATACCGGGAAAAAAAAGTGTGGGTGTATGATTATGAAGAAGAAGAAGAAGAAGAAGTACAACAAGAACAACAACAACAAAAAAAAAAAGAATTTGTGGGTGTAGGTGTGGGTGTAAAAAAAATCCACTACACTATTTAAATTCTATGGACACAAATCTATAGAATTGATTTTTCGTTTTGTTTTTGTTTGTTTGTTAAAAAAAACAGGTGTTTCATAATCACCCAAAAAAAAAAAAAATAAAAAAAACCGATAGAATCAAAAGGAATAAAAAAAACCAAATCTTATTGCCAAAAATGTAATTGGAAATAACAGAATTGAATGAATCATGCTCGTAAGTAAGAAAATTCTATACCATTATCATCAAATTCTGCAAAATAATGAAAAAAAAATATGATGAATCCAAATTACTCTTGTTGTTTTTTTTTCTTGTTCGATCGTGATTTAGACATGCGTCAAGTGTGAACGAACGAAAAAAAAAATTTCGGTCCTTGAGAATGTAGTTTTGGATGGCGAAAAAAATTTTTTTTTTTTTTTTCGTTTCGGTATGGTTTATTTTTCCTCTCTAGCTACCTACCACCCACACACAAAATTTTCTATCTAGGTCCTTGTTCTATTATATAATCATTTGAAGAATGAAAATGAAAATGAAAACGAAAACGAAAAAAAAAATCCGGGTGCAAACAAAACAAAATGACATTATATCTGTTTGTGTGTGTGTGTGTGTGTGTTTAGTGTTGGATAAATCACAATGATGATGAATCTCTACATGAGAAAATGGCAAAAAAAAATGTCGGTAAAATCTCTAAATGTTTCAAGAGTTTGTTTTTAATGCATATGGTTACAATGATAATGATGATGGGGAAAAACATAAAAAAAGAGAGGTTCAAATATCAAAAATTGAAATGAAATGAAATGAAATGAAATTTTCTTGGTCTTGGTCTTCATTTTTTTTCCATCAATTCAATAAATTCACTTTTTTTTTGGTTGTAAATTGAAATTTTATCGAAAACAGAAACAAAAAACAAAATCCAGAACAAAATAAATAGCCACAGATCTTGTGATGTTTGAAAATTCATATATGACAGCAGCAAAAGTGTGTCTGTCATTTTTTATATATATATAAGAAAGGTGAAAATGGGCTTTCATCAAAACAAAAACAAAAAACGAAAAAAAGACAAAAATAAACTTGATACCGGATACTTTGTTTTCCATTCCAAATAACATGTGATTATCCTCGATATCGAATTTGCAGTACGAATTATTATTCTTGTTTTTGAAATGGAAAAAATTTTTTCTCTTTTCATCTTTCAATTGTTTTTTTTCCATTTCTTTTCATTCGACATTTTTTTTTTGTTTTGTTTTCAATTCGAATGTTCATTATATGATTACATCATCATCATCATCATCATCATCACCAAGAAAAAAAAAAGATCTGGGCTCATTTTTTTTTTGTTTGTTCATTTTCTCTCAGATAAAGTGATGATAACAAGAATTTTTTTTTTTTTTTTCTGTCCCTTGTTTGTTTGTTCATTCGTTTTAATAATTAATAATTAACACAAGTAACAAGAATTGGCCGATTCTTGTTATTTGTTCATATGATGCAAGTACTACTTTTGCATGGTGTAAATCGATTGGTTTTTTTTCTATAATGCAAAAAAAAAAAAATAATGGTACCCGATTATAGATGATCAATTTTCATATCTATCACAAAAAATGAATGAACGGAGAAAGAAAAATGCAGAAATGAAAATTTTCCACGAAATCAATTTTCATTTCCAAGGTAAACATTGATCTATCATTTCTAAACAGAGATCGAGAGAGAGAGAGAGAGAAACATTTTTGTTTTGTTTTGTTTCGTTGCAATATTTGCACCAAATGAAATAATATCCTGGATTATTATTATTTGATTGCATTTGATTTTGGCCACTACATATATGGCAGTGTATAATATATCCAGAACTTTTGTTTTTTTGTTTGTTTCATCAAAACAAAAGTAGTGGCGTGGCGAAAAAAAATATGAACAATTCTATATAGAATTTGCCTTATTGGCCTATTATTATTATTATTATTATTCAGATTACAACAACAACAACAACAACAACAACAACGACGACGACAACAACAACAACAAAAATGATAATTAAAATGATGATGATAATCTCAATATTTGAAATGTGAAAAGATTATTATTATTATTATTACGTATATCAATATGAATATGATGAAATTGATTGTTTGAATTGAATTTTTTCTATCTTTCTATCTCACAATCATCAATCATCATTAATAATAATTTTTTTTTGGTCCTTATTTTTTTTCAATTATCACTTTTTTTGTTGTCGTTTCGTCTTTTCGTTTATTGAGTATAACAAATATTCGATTCATTCAGAATTTATTCATTTTGAAATGTCTTACCTGGCTAATATCCGATATCCATGCTGTTTTTTCCTGCAATGTTGGTGCAACCAAATGTACGGTTACCGGTGGTCCAGTTTTGCAATCAACAATTATCTTGAAATCCAGACCACCATAATCTTTTCCTGAATGTGTTGGCGTTGCTGTTGTTGCATTATTTGTTGCTGTTGATGATGATACATTGGTTGTTGTTGTTGCTGTTGTTGTTGTTGTTTGATTTATAAACGATGGTATATTTGTACCAGTAGTATTTATCAATGTTCCTACAGTTCCAGTTCCAGTACCGGTCCCGGTACCAGCATCACTTGAATGACTTGAAGTTGAGCTAATAGAGCCTTCTGGTGGCAAATGATTGAAATATAAAATATATGGCAGAAATTCAAAAAAAAAAAAATTCGCACATTAATAACATTTTTATCCACTAGATGGCCACACAACTCAATATACAGATTACTTGCCTGTATCATCCACGGTGAATTGAAATTGTTCATTTGGATCTTCAATCAATGTTGCTTCGGCTAATGGAATTTTTCCAATTCCCTAAAATAATTATAATTGAAATTGATTGGATTTAAATTTGTATGCATGAATAATGAAAACAACAACAACAACAACAACACTTACATCAACTAATGATAATTTTCCACCAGAAGTTCTTGTACAAAGAAGCATATGATTAGAGAATAGATAACATTGTCGCATGATTTCTTTTTCAATAAGACCACGAAATGAACCAATACGTGCAACACGGCTAGTTGTTTTACTACGATCACTATTCAATACTTGTATAACACATCCTTTACGGATGAAAACCTGATTAACATCGAGCAATATATCACAACCACCGACAATAATACGTTCAATGGCCAGATTGTTACGGATATTTTCCGTTTCACTAACTTCATCATGCATTTGCTACAAAACAAATACAATTCAATCGATAATTAAAAGGGAAAAAACACCCGAAAATTTGTCTTTACCCTTGATAATTCTTCCAATTTCATTCGTGCATTTTCCAAACTTTTTCTTTCAACATGATTATGTGGTGTATGTGCCAATAATTCATGTAATGTTATTATATAACGTGGTACCTGCCAATTTCATTGTCGTCGTCGTCATCGTTGTCATCGTCATGATTGTCATCAGGTAATAATGTAAAGAATCAAGAGAAAGAAAATTTCATTTCATTTTTTTTTATAGTGAATTAATAATAATAATGATGATCATGATCATGATCATCATCATAATAAATTATACAGACATTTGCACACACACACACACACACACACTATCACGAACATGTAAGATCTTAAGATTTCATAAGAAAGACAATCATCTTCAACATAATGATAATGATAATCATCATGATCATGATCATGATCATAATCACAATTCATTTCCATAAATCATTCATGATAAATTACACATTAATGTTTGTTGGTTTATGTGTTTTTGTTTTTTTTTTTGTTGTTGTTGTCTGGTTCCAAATCAGATCTCTATGATGATGATGATGATGATTATAAAATAATGAGAAATATAATAAATTATATAAACGGGGAAAATCGAATCTTCTTCTTTGCTCGAATGTTTTTTGTGTTTCATTTTTTTTTTTTTTCGTTTGTTTCGGGTATCATAACTCACACACACACACACACACAATCAATAATACGATGAAGCGGAAAATTTTTTTCTGTTTTCATTATTCATCTACTTACCTGATGCATTGGATATGTTAGAAATGTTTCCAATGTACGTCCTATGTGAATAATGAATTTCAAAAATATTGCAAAAAAAAAAATGGTGAACAGAATTTTTAAAAATTGAAAACACAAAAATGAAAAATTTTTTCACCACTCACCCTGTATGATTGGTTTTTCTTCTAATCGTCGTAACATTGAAGCAAATTTTTCCCGTTGTTTACATTCGGCCAATACTTGTAATGAGAAATGATGATTTCTAACATATTCCTGATATATGCTCAACATGGGCAACAACATGTCGAACAAATCTCCTATGCCGTTTGGCCGGAATTAAAATTGAAAACCAAAAAAAAAAACCAAGAAAAAAAAACAACGACATGCACATAATATTAAGTGTGTGTGTGTGTGTTCCAATTGATCCAATTGTTGTTGTTGTTGAAGAAAAAAACACAATAAAACGAAATTTTGTTGTTGTTGTTGTCGATGACGATGATGATGACGATAAGAAGAGAGAATAGAATCAAAAAAAAAAACATATGTACAATAAACATTTAGAAAATATATGGAAATGGATGGAAAGAATGAAAAAAAAGAAAAGTGGAAAAGAAGAAGAAGAAAGAAAAAAAAATAAGGCCAATGGTTAGAGGTGTCAATTGTGGTTGTAATGGTGATGATGAAATTGATTTGATTTTAAAAAATCAAAATTGAAGTGATCGATGACAGAATACAGACAGATACATAGCAGGCACACACACACACACAAAAAAAATGTTCACAAACACAACACCGGAAACACACACACAAAAAAATGAAAATGAAAAATTTGGAAAATGAAAAAAATTTTTTTTTTTTTTGGTGCAATTTGATAATCAAACACACACACACACACACACATGGACACAATTTAGTGATTTTATATCAATGGATGAAAATTTGGACATTGAAATTGAAAAATTTAAGAAATTTCATATTGAAAACGAAAGAATAAATAAATTGGACAAATGGACGATTCATATATTTTTTTTGTTTTGTTTTGTTGTTGTTGTTGTTGTTGTTTTTGTTTTGTTTTGTTTGTTTGTTAGTTAAAAAAAAATTTTCATCAAAATAAACACATCAAAAACACAGACACGAGAAAAAAAAAAAATGATAAATAAAAATGAATCAAATCGAATCGAAAATATAAAAATAAAACAAAACAGTCAGACACACAATGAGAGATTTGAAAAAGTTTTTAGATTATTCAAAATGAAATTTTTTTTTTTGTGTGTGTGTGTGTGTGTATGTGTGTGTGTGTGTTTGCAATGATGATGATTTTTTTTTTATTTTTATTAAGAAAAGTCAAAATCAATCAATCAATTTGCCCGATGTTTTGCAATTTGATAATTTTAAAATGGTTGCACATTTGATGATTTTTGATTTTTTTTTTGCGAAACGGAAATGAAGAGAGACAGAGACAGAGAGAGAGAGAGGGAGAGAGAGAAAAAAACAAGAAAAAAAAAGATTGACGCATCGATTTTTGGATATATTATTCTATTCTAAAGAAAAAAAAAATTTGAAAGTGAAAAAATTTTTTTTCTTGTTTTACCATCATCATCAGGCTTGATTGAAACATTGAAAACCAAATTTTTGGTTGTTTCTCCATCTCAACCTCCATTATATTACAAATACAAATGATGACAAAATCATGATCATTAAAAAAATGGGCAAATTCTACGTAAATGCTACTATTTTTTTGACTAAATACTACAGATGAGATGTGGAAGCAAGGAGAGGAGAAAAAAAAGTTTAGCTACTTTTTTAAGCAAAAAAAAAACGATCAAAGAATCTAAAATTACATCCCATTCATCCATTAAACTAATCAGATCAAGTATAAATTAAAGAATCTAGAAAAAAATAGAAAGAATTAAAAAAAAGCCAGAAAAAAAATCGTTTCAAGAACATTAATTTTTTTTGGATTTAAACCACCAAACAAACAAACAAACATCAAAATCGTTTTTTGTTTTGATTTTTTTTTGTAAGAAAATCGGTCATTAACAACAACCAGCAAAAAAAATGATTTGAGATTCTTTCCGTCTACTTATTTATGATGATGATGATCATCATGAATAAGGAAATAATAATCTCATTGTTTGATTGATTTTTTTTTTTTTTGAAGAATCGTAATACTATTACAGCGATATAATTACCGGCTTTTCCTGATTTCTGCTGTTATTCTCTTCTTCTTCTTCTTCTTCTTCTTCGGAAAGATTTTTTAAAACTCCAACGAAAATGAAATGAAATTTTTTTTTATAAGCTAAAATTTCACAATCTGTCGGAATTATGGTCGATTGAATGACCATCATTTTAATTCTAACTAGTCTATTATCTACTACTATTTTTTTTCTATATTATTACGCCAAATGTGAAACTAACTAACCAGCCGATTTATCGTTGCTTTCAAATGGTTAATGTATCGAAATAATTTTATAGTACACTATTCATAAACAACTGGCCAAAAAAAAAAATGGCTAAGTGAATCAAAAATAAATAAAACATGCACGACGAATATTAATAACAACAACAACAACAACAACAAACCATGCGATCAAATTAAATCGAGCAAAAACAAGCAAAAAAATTTTCATTATTATTATAACACAACACAAGCAAATTATTAAAAAAAAAATATAAAACAGCCGCATACCTAATACCAATGTTGGCCAACATTCCATACGAGCTGTCAATCCTTTCAAGAAAATTTGATGTAAAAACATAACGGTTTCGGCATTCAAAAATATTGAATTAACTTCATCATGTGAACATGGTGGTTTCTGTGAACTGGCAGCCATTTTGAATGGACGTAAAAAACAGGATACCATCAATTGTAATTGTTCAAGATATTCTTCTTCTGCTTCGACCATACGAAATACGAGACTATTTGTTATGTAAATTGAAATCAATCAATCAATCAATCAATACGAAACAATCACATTTGCTATTTTACACAAACCTATTTCTTTTACGCATACTTTCAGCATGCGGTGAATTAATATATTCAATAACAATCTGTTTCCATCGACGACGACAAAGCCAGCCACGGAAAAAACTTTGAACTTTTTTTATTTTTCTTATCTCTTCACTATCATCGTTTAGGCCACCAAGTTCTAATAGATTTTGATTACGATTATTCGGTGCTAAACGCCATTCACGATTCAATGAGAAAAGCTTTTTTGATTGGAAAAAATTTCATTCAATCAATCACACACACACACACACACACAAACAATTCGATCGATTACCTCGGCACGTAATTTTTTAATTTCCATTGTCAATTCTTCACATTGTTGTGTGTATTGCCATTTAGCGGTTTTTTCACTTTCAACAATCTGCACTAGATGTAAATGTTTTTGTTCCAATTCTTCTTTTTGTAATAACATTTTTGAATAGCTAAAATCAACAGGAATGAAACGAAACAAAACGAAATGGAAAAAAAACACAGATTATTATGATTCATTCAACACGATGCACGAGTTTTTTATTTCTTCATTTCGATAAATTCAATATCATCATTATTTACAGCTGTCATCATGGATTCTAGATGATGATGATGATTATTCCATGTTTTTTTTGTAATTGTCAATGTGTTGGAACAACAAAACTTGCAATTGAATACAGAAAAAAAACGGAAAAAACAGTTTGAACTGACAACTTTGACAACTGGCACCACACACACACACAGAATATTTTTATCGTGATTCTAAAATTTGTTTTTTTTATTCGCCGCTCTTCATTTGTTTGTAAATTGATTCGTTCAAGAAAAAAAATTTTTTTTTCGGTGGGGGTGTGCACAATAAATAAAAAAAAGAACATGAACGGAATTTTCTGGCATGTGTGGGGTGAATAATTTCTTGGAATTTGTTTTTTTTATTTTTGACGACAAAATTGAAATTTTACTGGAAAAACACTCGTTTTTTTCCATTTGAAATAAATAATCAAATACACACGCACACGCATATATTGTGTGTGTGTACGTTTTTTTTCTCTCTTACCTTGCATTTTCAATGGCATGTACCCATGCATTGCATTTGGTTTCAGTTTCGGCTTTTAGTTCAAAAGTTTTTGAACCTTCTTTACGATACGTGATTGTAAAATAATGCTGTTTATATGGATATGGATGATGATGATGATGTTGATAGTGGCCACGTAAATTCAGCAGTCCGCACGCCAACGTGTGTAATCCAACAAGAGACCAAAGAAAAAAAAAAAATGAGAAAAAAAATAGTGAGTGAATTGAGACAACAAAAAAAAAATGCAATGAACAGAAGCCAACATTTCATTTTCATATTCAGATTTGGTAAAAAAAAAAAATCCCGAAAAATATATTGTCACAGCTCAGCAGCTTTCACAAACATTCAAAAGAAAAAAAACGGCTGTATACATGACACACACACACACAGAATATGTTTGACATATATAAAATGATTTTGAAGATAATTAACACACACTTTGCAAAGCAAATCATTATTATGGTGGTTATATAAGAACTTACTCCACATATATCAGCCGTTTATGTTTATGTTTATGAATATTGTGATTTTTTTTTTCTTCTTCTTCTTCTTCCAGTGTGATACGTGTGTGTGTGTGTGTGTGTGTGTGCATATCATATGATTTAATGTTTTATATTCATTCAACATTCAAACTCAACTTAACTGTTTATGTTGATGAGTGATGATGATGATTATGTTACAATTTTCAAAAAGTTTTTCTCCATTCTCCAATTTACATTTTATATGATGAATACAAAAAACTGCTAAGTGCAAACGATAAATAAAAAATGATGTTGGTGGCGCTAAAAGAACAGAACTTAATTATTCTGTAAAATTCTGTGATTCTGTGATTCTTGTTTTACAAATTTTTTTTTTTGCATATGATATATTGTTTCATATATTTTTTTTTTGCTACTAGAATTTGATTAAATTCATTTGAGAATTTCATTTATTACCAATGTCTTCATCATCATCATGTGTGTGCGTGTGCACGCCTGTTGGTGATTGTCAGTAATGTAATAATGTTTTATCGAGAAGAAAAAAAAAACACACACAAATGGAACAACAACAACAACAACAAAAAGAATTGGAAAATTTGATTACGACAATGGTATAGAAATAAAATAAAGCCAATAATCATATATTGATCATCATGATGATCATTAGACATTGAAACACTGAAAATTGTACAAAACAAAATGTTGTTGTTGTTTTTTTACTCACGAAAACGACAGAATAAAACTATCGAGAATGAAAAAAAAACATCAAAATGAATACAACAACAACAACAAAAGAATGTCATTGTTGTTGTTGTTGTTTTTTTATATCATTCAGGAAAGTAAGATTCTACGATTCCATTTCATAAATGATGACTGAACATCGTTGGTGTTGTTGTTGTTGTTGTTGTTTCACATTTTTTTTCCTATTTTTGGCAATGTAAAACACACACTCGTACACAAGAATTCTTTTTGATTCCTTCTTATTTCATTTGATTTCTTTCAATTTGATTCTTTTTCGTTGTAAATGTAACAAAATCATCATGATGATGATGATGATGATGATGATGAACACTTTTACACAAAACACACACACACACACACTTGAAATACGATCGTAATCGGATCGACCATCATCATCATCATCATCGTCATCATCATTTTATTCAGAAAAAAAAAAAAAAAAAACAGAAATTCTGTAATACAGAATACCAAAAAACCTGTGTGTGTGTGACTGTGTTGCACTGTCGAAAAAAGAATAAAATAAAACATGAAATTGGTAATAAAATGAAAACAAATAAAAGCATCAGATGTTTTTTTTCCTGTACGGGTATAACAATAATAAAAAATGAAATGAAATGAAAAAAAAATTCTTAAAAAAGTCTGAAAATGATCCAGAAACAGTGAACAAAAAATGGAAACAGAATTCAGAATTTGTTTTAAATTCAATTATATCCAATGGCTTTTATATTCATATTTTTTTTACATTGAATTTTTCAAAATTTTCCAATTTTTTTCTCTTGACATGGAATCGAAAACAAAAATAAAAATAATTGATAACCACCGGGAATCTAGGGCCTCAACTGTATGCCAAAAGTGTACACACTGAACAATGTACAATTTTTCACTAGAGAAAAAATGAATCAATTTTAGCAGCCAGCTAAAAAAAAGGCCCATAAAAAAGGCAATAAAAACAAAACAAAAAAAAAATTCTTAAAAATTCGAATAAAAATGAATACAACGGCAACAGAACCAACGATCGCATTTGTAGTGTGATTCCTTGCCAATCGATAGAAAAAAATAGAAATAGAAACAATAAATAAACAACGAAACAACGAAAATGATAACATTGACATACAAGTGAATTGATGATTTAACCAATACCAGAAACCACCATCGACCATTCATTTTTATTCATTTCGCCAAACGCTAAAAACAGAAACCAAACCAGAAAAAAAACATTCCAAAGAAATTTACGGTGATGGATTGGATCAATATAAAAAATGATTTATTTATCTGTGAAGATTTTGTGGAAATATCATGTCTGTTTTTTCATGTCTGACAATCATCATATACACAATGTTTCGGTTTTTTATAGATCTACCTGGCTACAAACAAAAAAAAAAAACCAGCCAGCAAAAAAAAAAAAAATGGATAATGGATAATGGATGTATGAGTCAAATTAGACCATAGAAAAAAAAACCGAACCGTTATGTTTGTCAACTATAAACTGAACTTGGTTTTTCGATTACATTAACCAATTTTTTCCATTCATTCATTCATTCGAAACTTATTTTCTATTTTCAGTTCATTTACTTTGATGGAAAAAAATTTTTTTCTTCTTTTACTTTTCTCGTGTGTGATGATATTTGGCAAAACTTTGCAACTTTGTACTCGAAATATCCACATTCGATGATGATGATGATGATAATCATGAATTGCATCATCATCATCATCATCATCACCATCATTAAGATGAATCGTTCCATTTGGATAAATAGATTTTCACCATAAATAGCATAAGTACAGACACACAGGTATACACTTTCACTACACAAATATCAAAGTCATGAAGGCGAAAAAAAAAATAATAAATTCCACATCCAGATGGTGAGAGAATAAAAACGAAAAGAAAAGTTTTTCCATTCATTCATTCTCTTTTGTTAGCATTTTCTAATGGTATAACCAAATTCTGTATTCATTGAAAGGAATCTTTTTTCCAAAATTAAAAAAAAAAAAAACAAAACAAAACAAAAAAAAATAAAGGATTCCCAATACGCTAATAAATTAAAGATAAAAGAAACAGGTTCGTTATGGATCATTATTCAATTCAATCATACAACATACAAGCTTAACTTTTCCATTGATAACAACAACAACAACAAACAACATGAGAGAGAGAGAGAGAATAGGGAGAGAGCATTTTTTTCTACATTCTGAAAATCAATTTTAATTTCAATGCAAACAAAACAAAAAAAAAAATATGGCAAAAATATTGCCAACGACAACGAAAAACAACGTATTACATAATTAAATTGAATTCATCGAATATACACGCACATGACGAAAAAATGAAAAAAAATTTTTTTTTTGCACAATGAATAATAATGATGATGATGTCTCGTTATCGTTATCGTTGTTGTTGTTGTTGTTGTTGATGATGATGAGAATCATTAAATCATGTAGAACATATAAAGAATATGATGATCATCAAATAATGAACAATATTGAATGGCCCATAATTTGTATTCAATCATTCATTTCTCTATCATCATTATTATTAATATATATGTGAAACGCCTATTGTGTGTGTGTGTGTGTGTGTGTGTATATTGAATACAGGTTTCCGTTTCAAGATTCTAGAATCATTTTAGATCATTTACCAACCGGTGTGAACACACAGACATACATACATACACACACACACACACACAAAACATAGAAGAATAATGGAATAATAGAATCAATTTTCAGAATCAAACAAAATTAATAATAATCACCGATTCTTTGCGCTAGAATATTTGGAACAAATATCATCCTATTAACTATCTACTACTTTTTTGTGTAACAAATTTTTTTTTTCATTTTTTTTTATTCTGTGTCCATTTTTCTTGGTGATCATTAGTATAGAATGGTTGAAAGAGAGAAAAATTTTTTTTTTCGGAGGGCATAGGGAAAAGAAATTTTATTTTTATTTATTTTTTTGATGGAAAATTCACGAATATTTTATCTTTTATTGTTCACTGGAATATTTTTTTTTTTTTTTTTTTGAAATTCATCCATTCATGCGAACAAATTAATCATCATTTGAAGTGAAATAGATTCAGAATATCAATGAAGAAAAATCATCACCACTTGGTTCAATTGATCGCGTGTGTGTGTGTGTGCAGTAAACTGATTCAAAAGTAAACAAAAAAAAAACAAATCACAATGATGATTTCATTTCATTTTTTTTGTTCAATATCAATAAATCATCATCATCATCATCATCAACTTTATTGAGCTATTTCTTTTTTTATCTACTTGTGTTGAATTGCAACATTTTATCGTCCATTTTATATATATATATATATAAATGGTGAGAAAATATGAAATTCAATGCCGCTATTGATTTATACGAGAATCAAATGCTGGAACCACACACACACACAGAGGACAAGAATCTCACCTATTTAATATTCATGATATTTTTTTTCCATTTCCAAAGCATCAGAAAAAAAACAACAACAACCACAGCAACTGTGAATTGTGAATTGTGTGTGTGTGTGTGTGTGTGTAGAACGTATTCCAAATTTGGAAAATTCTGCAAATGAAAAAAAAAATCGAATCAAATTTTCTCCTTTTTTTTCTTTGCTCACACACACAAATTATTTTTCTCATTAAATAAAACGTGACGTGATGACACTTTTATTTGAAAAAAATGAATACAAAATAATTGCATTTCGAAAATTTCGTGAAACTATTTCATTATTCAACATCCAAATGTAGATGGGAAAAAATGAATCGATACTATCGATACATTTTTGAATGCATCGGTCCAAAAAAAAAAAAAAAAAAATTCTTTTGTGATATGGACGGAATAATTTATTTGAAAAGAAAAAAACATTTTAATATTCTGAATCTGTTCATAAGGTGTATCGCAAGAATTTTTTTTTCATTCTCTTTTGGATGATTGAATGGATTCTTCATAGCCATAAAAAAATGAATGGAGAAAAAAAATTTGAAAATCAAATAAAAAAAAAGATGATGATTTGAATACTAATAATGGACAAAAATTTTGACCATAAATTATTGATTCTGGAATGGTTTGTGTGTGTGGGTGTGTGTGTGTGTGTGTCTATTTCCATTTGCTGACCTTGACCGAATACAGAAACTTTAAAAAACAACAAGAGAATCGTTTCAAAATTCTATTCATGTAACAAATGGCTTTTTTTGTTGTTGTTGTTGTTGTTGTGGTGTTTTTTTTTTGTTTTTGTTTTCATTAGTTTGATGGTTTATTTTTGTGTTGTGTTTGTTTTTTAATGGATACAAATTAGGAAAATTGATATGATCATCATCATCATTATTTATGATTATGACCGTACCTAATGATAATAATGGAACAACAAACAAGATGACCAATTCAGAAATAAAACATGTGACCAATCGTTTGAACATGCATAATAAAATATCAATAATAATTTCTGGTTAATAGACGATGGATAGAAAAAAATGCCAGGATTTTGTTTCGTTTTCTTGTGAGAAAAAGAATTTTTTATATAAAAAAAAATATTGGCCATTACAAACAAAAAGAAGAAAAAAAATTTCACCACAAGATGTTTACATTTGTTTTTCTGTAACAAAATTGCTTTTCGATGAACGAAAAAAAAACTTGATGTAAAAAGTGAATTTCAACAAAAAAAAGAGAAAAAACAATTTACCGATTTGTCAATTTCAAGTGTATTCTGATTGACATCAATTGATTTACATACCCACACACACACACACACACTTCAGATGATCAAACCAATCGTTTTTTTTGTCGTTTTATTGAAAGAAAAAAAAACCAATTGACCACAAATAGCTTTAGGTCATTTCATTCAAACATACTTGGATGGAGATGTTTGAGCTTGTGGAAAACCAGAGAGAGAGAGAGAGAGAGAAAGAAAAAAAATCCAATGGGAAAAAATTGTCAAAATGAATATTCAATGTTGAGGAAAGAAACAAAAAAAAAATTTCAATTCATTAGCATTAATCAAACAATAGAAAAGAATCTTTCTTTTTTTGTTTTTCATCAAACATCAAACACCTGAATATATAGAATATTCTTTTTTTGTGCGTCATTTCATTGGAAATGCAAAAAACCACCACCACCATTACCAAGAAAAGAAAATTTTTCCCACTTTATCAGAAAACATCTTCGTTTTTTTTCTATTTGCATAAATACATTCATGACATGAATTGAATTGATTCTTCGTTAACGTCGTTCAAGAATCTCTTTTTGGAATATGAAAAAAAAGCTCCAAAATTCAAGTTATTAGTGAACATTTCTTTTTTTCTGTTCACTGGTTTACTTTTTTTTTCATCATCATTATTATCAATATTGATTGTCAATGGCCCTAAAGGTATTTCCAATTAAATTCTTGTTGAATTGAATGAAAAAAAAATTTTTTTTGCACACATGAAAAGAATCGAATAAAATATTTCAGAAAGAAAAACACAAAAACTACCAAAAGAAACAGATACAAAAAAGAAAAATTGAAACTCTGAAAATGAATGAGTGTGAAAGCGTGAAAAAGAATGAAAATGAAAATGTTATTTTTCCATTGTGTGTTTGTTTGCTGTTCAGGTTGCGGAAAGGTGGAATTTTTTTTTTTGCTTCAATAAATCTCAAAATAGGTGGGTGTGCATTCTGTAAATTCTGAGATTTGAAGAGAATTAAATAAAAAAAAAATTTTTTTCCATTTCTTACCTGAAGATTGGTCGATGTATTGCCACCTAAACCAACGGTAGCGGTGATTGTTTTCGATGTCGTTATGACCATTTTATCACAATATGAACCTTCCAAAAATATTATGCCCGAAGGTTTTTGTGTATGTTCATTTTCAAAATAAAATAAAAGATTTTGAAATAAAACAAAATAACGTAATTGCCATTTTGAATTTTCTGATGTACGTTTGAATAGAAAACCACGTATGCCATTATCATGCAAGGCTTTTTCAGCCAATGCCAATAATTGTATCTCGTTCATACGCATTGTTGCCGCTGTTGTTGTTGATATGTGTGAATTATGAAGAAATCAAGATGACAACGATGGTGATGGCTGTTGTTGTTTTTGTTGTTGTTGTTGATGTGGTTATTCCATAATTACACGAATTGAGATCTTTACAAAATCAATCAAATTATCATTCCTGGTATTGGAACAAATTACATTTTTGGAAATGAAAAAAAATGAAACAAATCAAATCAAACATACGCCCACTCACGTTCGCCGACAAACACACACGCACACAGACTGACAGACACACACACACACACGAATATTATAGAGAGAATCGGGAAATTCATGAATGAATGAAAAAAAAAATTTTTTATGCGGAAACAAGAAACAATTAACAAGAATCAGATAATCAGTAATGAGTAATGAAGAAAAAAAAACCAACCAGCATAGAGAAAAAAAACCCGTAGATATTGAGCCCCATTCAAGAGGAAGAAAAAAAAATTGATGCAGAAATTAGATGAAAACACACCCATACACAAGAAACAACAACAACAACAACAGAAATCTCATCTTAATTGTCATCATCATCATCAGTCATTGTCGCTTATTTGTTGTTGTTGTTGACGTCGTTTGTTGTTGTTGAAGAATGACAAAAAAATTAATGAAAAGTTTTGACAAAGCTGAAAACAGATTATTCCGTATTATTCAAAACAACAACAACAACATCAGAATTCATCAGTTGATCACAGAATTACGAAAAAAAAAATCAGATCATGAGCTGGTTATACTTTGTTTTTTGTTGAATTTTAAAACAAATCGATCGATTGAACAATCGATTGTTTCATGAGCATTTTGATGGATTAATTCATTAAAAAAAAAATTTATAATTAACACGAGAATTTGTCACCAACGCACACACACACACACAGAATTTTTTTTTTCATCACTTTTAAAAAACTTCAAAAAGCTAAAAAGCCGCCGAAATTTTTTTTTCTGTTTACAAGTTTTCAAAAAAACGACAAAGAAGAATCTATTAAAAATCTCTATAGAATTCTATGTGTAATCTACACACACACACACACACTAGAACGATGATACTGTTGTTGTTTATTTATTTATTTTTTTTAATTTGCGTCGGAAAAAACGGCTACTGCAACAAACGATATACTAGAAGAGAACACAGACACACAGACAGTGAATAACATAGACATTACAGAATAATGAACGAAAACGACAGAAACGGTAAACACTACACTAAAAGAGGTTTGAATCACGAATGAAAAAATAATTTTTTCTTTTTCTTCGTTCTTCTTTTTTTTTCATCTTCTTCAATTCATTCCATTCCATTCCATTCAAGAGCAATAACACATATATTCATTCTTTGCGCCTGGGTAGATTCTTCGTTGATTCGTTTGTTTGTATAGATGGGCGGTAAATATATAGATAGAATAGATAGATAGATAGATAGATAGATAGATCTGTACCACCATATTCCATTGCGTCATCATCATCATCAATATACGAAGGAAAAAAAATGAAAAATTTTTTATGATAAAAAAAAATAGATGATTTCGTCATCATTGTTGGTGATTATGGGGACCAAAGGCAAGAAGCAAAAGGTAGTTCTAAAGCAGCAGCAGCAGCAGCAACAACAACAAAAAATAAAATTGGTATACTTGGTACTTGCCTTTGGTTTATATTATCTGTTGACATGGCTATATGTATGGGATATACGTGCGCAGCAATTGTTTGAAATCCATGAAGGAAAAAAAAACCAAACCAAACCTATTCATACAGACACAGCAACAGCAGCAGCAGCAGCAGTGTATACAAAATTTTTTTTCTGATCCTAAATAAAATCCAATCTCCTCCTCCTTTCATCACACCCCCACCTCATCCGCCCCCGATGAAAAAAGAGTAATATATAAAAAAAAAAGAAAAAGATGAAGAACATGATCATCTTGATGATGATGATGATGATGATGATGATGATGGCATGACAATCGTTTGAGAATTTGAATCTCAAAATTATTCTATTGCGTCGTCGTCATCATTGTTTTGTTATCGTCATTGTCCATACACACACACACACACAGAATATTTACAAGTTTAGGCGCGATTCAATTTGTCTATCTTTTTTTCTACTTTTTTCCCACTCTTCAAACACACACACACACACACACATTTATTTATGTGGCCTATGGTTATTCAATCTCTCACTCTTTCCATCTTTTTATCTCGTCATCAATTTCATTTTCTGGGTCCAGGATTTTTTTTCGCTCTCTCTCTCTCTCTTTTCTTCACTTTTCTTTTAGCTTATCGAAACACGCAACAATGAAAAAGCCTAGAAAATCGAAACGAGAGAGAGAGAGAGAGAGAGAGAGAGAGAGAGAAAGAGAGAAAATGGATGCCCAATGGGCCAATATATGAAATGAAAATGAAAGAAAGAAACGAATAGATTCAAAATGGAAATATATATATATTATCATGCTAAAATGAATAAAATGGCCAATGCAGTCAATGAATGGATGATGTTGAAACATTGAATTGGATGTTTTAGAAGACCTTGATGATGAGAATAATTATTGTTTGTTTGTTTATTTGTATCTTTTTTTTTGATGGCAAAATCCTCATTATTTATGTGCTTACTGTTTGTATTGTGTGTGTGTGTGTGTGTGATCTATTCGTATAAACGGATTGCACTAATGTAATCATATTTACTTGATAGATTTTCATTCAAATTGATTCGATTTGTTCAATCAATGATGCTCAATGAATTTTTTCCTGTCTCTCTACTTGCTATGGTGGTGGTGGTGGTGGTATTGGTCAGATTATGTACTATGTACACACCATAGACAATAATGATCGATAAGTAGAATATTCTCTATCCATTGAAAATACAGGACAAGTTTTCTTTTAATGAATAATTAAAATTATTATTATTATTATGTGACAATGTTTGTGATTACAAACCAAATTCTCTGGGCTTTAATCATACACACACACACACAACAGCAATAATTGGTCAATAAGCAAAATTCGGGGCTTTCATACAAACATAATCATCCACCGGTAGTTTATTCGAATACCAAGAAGAAGCCAGAAAAAACAAAATTTGATTGGATCCATTTCCATCTAGCCATTACATTAGAAACGTTATGTGTCCTGTGTGATATATATGTATTCGATCAATACAAATCGATACAGCAACAATCATGAATAAAATCGAATCGAATCGAATTGTGAAAAATAAAAGAAAAAAAATGAATTTTGATACTTTTTGAAAAAAAATCAATATTTTATGCATCACAGAAAAAAAAACACGAACACAAAACGAGTATGACGAAATTAGATATGAAAAAGCAAATACAAAAAAAAATTCCCAAGAAAAATGGTAAATGAAACAATCCAAGGTGCTGATGGTGGTGGTGGTGGTGACGATGGCAATGGTGGCGGTTGAGAAGAAAAACAAAAAATGAACAAAAGAAGATTATGTTATAATTCCAACACTATCCTTTTTTTTTCTCTCCAACATACATAATCAAGTAAACGTAAAATATGGATGTCATTGTGCATGAATTGACAAAACAAAAAACAGATGTGAATATCACACACTCACACACACGCACAGAAAAGTATTCGTTAATCATCATTATCATCATCATCTCTCCAACATACACACACACACACACACACACGCACAGAAAAGTATTCCATTCCATTTTGGCATTCTTTATTCCAAAAGAAAAATGAAAATGGTAAATGAAACAATCCAAGGTGCTGATGGTGGTGGCGGCGATGGCAATGGTGGCGGTTGAGAAGAAAAACAAAAAATGAACAAAAGAAGATTATGTTATAATTCCAACTCTATCCTTTTTTTTTCTCTCCAACATACATAATCAAGTAAACGTAAAATATGGATGTCATTGTGCATGAATTGACAAAACAAAAAACAGATGTGAATATCACACACACACACGCACAGAAAAGTATTCGTTAATCATCATTATCATCATCATCTGTTGTTTTATTCCATTTTTTTTTTGGCATTCTTTGGAATATTCTATTTATAATAATGAAAATTTTTATTGTATTCACAAAAAAAAAAATTCCTGAAACCACCACCACCATCACCACCATGATGAGCAATTTTTTTTTTACTCGTTTCAATGGGATTTTCATATCCGTTTTTTTGTTTTGTTTCTCGTAACCAGAAGAATTCCTGGAACTTTTCATCATCATCATCAATTTGATAGAGTAGAGAAAAAAAAATTTACAAGATAAAGATACCAGAGACATGCATATATACTGTATATAATATGATATGATATGGATAAGAGAAAAAGAAATTGAAACCAAATACTATGCCAGTTTTTATGACCATCATACACACACACACATAGATAGATGGAAATGGCCATATTTGTTGTTGTTGTTGTTTTTGATAGATTTAAAATAAAACAACAACAACAACGTTAACGGTATACTTTTCATTTATATATATATTGATCCTGTAATTTTCAGAATTCAAACAAATATAAACAATATTGACAACTACATGTGTTAATTTTAAATAAAAAACCCAAGTAAACTATAGTTTGATCGGTTCATCAATGATGATGGTGTAATTTTATTCTGGATTCTGGATGATGATGAAAAAATTCGTCCACATAAAGAGAGAACGAGAAGTGCAAGTTTCTTCTTTCATTGAAAATTCATGAAAATGCAAGAAAAATGAGAATGAGTGAAAAAAAAATTGCGAAACTAAAAAGACCAAATCTAAAACTATAAAAGCTAACCAGATCTTCTTTTCTTTTCCATTTTTTTTTACCATTGTTGTTGTTGCTATTCATTTCTAGCCAAGTTACCGTGTGTGTGTGTGTGTGTGTGTAGAAAACGGTCGTGATTTTTTTTTCATCATAAAAAAATGCTCGCTCACACACACACACGGTTATATAATGTGTGGTTTGTGTGTGTGTGTGTGTGTGTGCGTATCTCTAGTAGCAATTCATTTATTGTTTGGGATTTTTTTTTCTCTCTCTCTCTCTTTCTAGTTCAAATAAAGTTTATTCTTTGCCATTTTTTTCAATGATTTATAATCATCATTATGATTATGATTATCTAGATCAGAACGAATATTTCAAGAATTCAAGAATCCAAATTCTTTCACTCATTCATTCACCAATCAGCCAATATTTGTGATTCTTAATCATTATTTGTGTGTTTGTTTTTTTTTTTGGCTTTTATTTTGTGGTT